AAAAAAAAAAAAAAAAAAAAAAAAATCAGGCACATCTTTGCAAATGAGCTTCCGCTGAATTCCCTCTTCTTGTTGTGGCGGACAGGGCAGGGCTTGCAACTGTACCTTAACTGCCGTATCAGTAAATCTCAGTATAATTCCTTCCCGAAAACAATTGAAATCATAGGCTCTGAATTTTATACAACTGATCTAAATCTCAAGAGAGGGTATCTCCTACGAACTTTGGCTGGGATAAACATGTGAAATCTATGACGATAAAGTGCTCACGGCGCGAACATGCTTCTGTAAGCGTGCTACGCGCTCCTGGTCGGGAAGTTTTAATTCCTCGCCGGCGATATATTCGCGAATAACTTCTTTCAAACACGCCAACATCTCGGCTTTCCGAGCCTGGTTGCACCAGCTTCCCTCAATACCAGCGGTGGCCACGCGCTCCCACTCCTCCACACTCAGTTTGAACGCATCCTGCACAGCGTAATAATTGTCCAGAATGTATCCACCAAAGTAAGCTGGGTCATCGCTGTTCAAGCTGAACCTCACACCGGCGTCGAGAAATTTTCGAAGAGGCAGCTCGGCTACGGACTTGACGCACTGAAGGCGTACGTTGGAAAGCGGACATACAGTGAGCATCGTCTTTGTTTCCGCGATGCGCTTCAGCAGTGATTCGTCCTCGGCGAGTCTAATTCCGTGATCGATACGCTCAACGCCCAGAAGATCAACTGCTTGGCGGATATAAGACGGATCAGCCTCTTCGCCCGCATGCGCGGTGAGGCGGAGTCTACCCGAGCCATTGCTCGCCATTCCGGCGGTGGCTGCTGCTTGCAACCCTTGCGCTTCGGCATACACACTTTCAAAGAGCTGCGGAGGGAATGGCTTCTCGGAGGAATCGAGACCGATGCCCGTAATTGAGCCGTCATCCTCAATGGCCGCCCTGGCAGCTTTGAGCGTCTCGTGGGCCGATGTCGCAGGCAGGTGCCGCAGGAAGCACATAATCAATTGTGTCGAGATACCAAACTCGGATTCGGCGGCAGCGCAGCCGGCGCGCAAGCCTCGAACAACCGTGTCAAGATCGATACCACGCTCCGTGTGCGCCTGCGGGTCGAAGAACATCTCTGCATGCATGACACCGTCGTGATGCGCGCGACGAAGGTAGGCATACGCCAAGGCATGAAAATCCGACTCGTGCAATAAGACAGACATGCCAATGTAGTAATAATGGAGGAAATCGTCCAACGAAGAAAAATGTTCGTATCGTTCCAGTAGGGTTTCAGGCGATGCGAATGCAGGGTCATCGTTGGCTGAAGGCAGCTGAATTTTATTCCGTGCGGCAAGGTCGAAGAGCAGATCTGGCGATAGAGAACCCTCGATATGCAAATGATGCTCGCATTTGGGCAGAGCCCTCAGGAAAGTTTGGATAGTATGATGGGACATGTTCCAAAGTTAAGAATCTTGGCGCTTGAGGTGCGCAGTTGACGTTGACTATTTACCAAGGAGGGAAATTACCAATGCAACACAGGTCGATTGGCAGTATAAAGCGTATGATTAGAGAAGAGCAACAATACTCCAAGTTTTCAGGTTGGAAAAGGCTGAGTCGAACTCGCTGGTAGTGCTATCAACAAAAAAGCTGGGTCAAAGGAAATTGGGATATAAGGCCAAAGCACAACAGATGACCCTGGGTGGAAATGACAATAGGAGAAAATTCCAAACAAGCAGGGCTTTATAAAAGAAAGCGGGAAGGTCACTTCTAAGATTACATGAAAAGATAATGAGAAAGGGCTCTTCAACAGCTCTCGGCCCTTTTCTTACCCAGCGGGTCTAAAAACTTAAAATTCTTTTGTCATAATTGAGCCCTGGGCAGGGGTAGCAGTGGTGCAGAGGAGCTTTCGAGCGGGTAAACTTTTCCCGATTAGAAAGATTCTCAATCTTCATTGGCTGCCACTCAAACCCATGCTCGGCTGACTTGAAGAACTCGTCCGCTCCAGCATCGACCCAGTGGTTGATGAGTTGCAGTAATCTCGTAAGAGATCGAAACATCTGCGGAATCTTCGCAGATTAATTGAACTTTTCATCGTTCCAAGATGACTGCAAGTAATACATAAGAGTATAGGGTCGTTGATGAATGTCATTTAATCTGCTAACCACATGTGTAGGTCAGCACAACAAGATCTCTGCTTTTTGGGGTTCTTGCATCTTGTCATCTGGCACGTGAATTCATAGAAGTTTATGAAGAGAAAATAAAAACCGAAATTCAGACACTTTGCAACCCTCCAAGGCTAAATTCGAATAGCTTCGGTGCGTGCTAGTCGCTTTCTTATATTTGCACGTGGAGATTTCTATGAAATCTGCTCTTTTGATTATCTTATCGTCTAGCCTAAATTATTCCTTGTTATAGAAAAAGGTAACAATCAACTCCACCGTTGGACCAGCGCCATTAGGAACGAGGAATCGAACCCAATACCAGTTATATACACACTCTCGGCACAGTTATAACGGTCTGCTGGATTTCCAGAGTGGTGTTTAGTCATAAATAAAAGTTTCGTTACTGGCAAAGATTTTTACTTGAAGGCAACCATTCTCCCTTCAAAGAAGTACTTGAGATGCATTTTTCGATCTCATATGATGATTTGAAAACCCCCAAGTTTTTAAATACTACTTAGTAAGCAGGTACTGTCACCTAGACAGGCTTACCTCCCTGGAGGCGGCACAATACTGCTTGCTACGATGTTTGAGATTTCTGCTATTAGTGAGCGTCAATTTTGATTCCTTGACCAAATTTGTCACTGTGGATAAATTGCAGTTTAGAGGTGAAGAAACACGTACTATCATTTCATAGCCCTCCTGATTGTATTGATCGTACCTACCACCATGTGAAATTCGATACTAAAAGCCGGCGATTTGATTCTTCCACACTAGCCTTTTTCTTATCTTATAGTTCTCTACTTTGAATCTATAATATCTGTCGGGTTAAATTCTTCATTATTGCCCGGCCATGCAACCGGGGCACCGCCCAACTGGTGGTAGTTTGCTGAACATTAACACAGCACTCAGAGGTCTCCAGCAAACTGGCTAAGTTCTCATGAGGAGGTCCCGGGTTACATGCCTCGATATAATTATTGAACTGGGACAAAGGGAACGTTTCGATCGACCACAAAGCTTTCGCCTATATGCAGCAGTTTGTGCTGGTCAGTCCACTTCATATTTACAAATACTACGTAGACCGGGTTTCTTGCGTCAGATGTAACACCAAATTTACTTGCGATGCCCTGCTGATTCACGGGTAAGGAGTTCCGGTCCGCAGATTTATACAAACTATATTTTGACGCGGCCCACCTATGTGAAATTAGGAGCATGAAGCACCCTCACGAAACCTTCAAGAGCATCTGACTCTATTAAGCGCCCAGACTCGCTGTCTAGTTGATGATGCCACCTTATCTTTGACGAAGCTATCCATAGAGGCCTCAATTTTCATGCTGAGCACCGGTGATCGCCAAGTAAAGGGTCCTAAGGAGTCGAATCGACCTACCTTAGGAAGTGAAGGTAAGGAAGGCCACCAATTCTCGTGTGCAAACCTTAAACCCCGAGAAATCTCCGCTTACAACGGACACTCATGACGTGACGTTGAATTGAATCGGCTTATGGGTCGTTGTGATGTTTCAACGTTCTGCGCGCCACAAGGGCGATGGACGACAGATATTGATAAGGGAAAAGGAGTCTACAGAAGAGCGGAAAGCGTGCTAGCAAAGCAAATGGTCTAGACCTATGGCGCTTTCACCAACGACGCCGCACGTAACAATGCACCTATATTGACGTCCCATTATTCACCAAAGGATAGAAACAATTTTCTTATTTCAAGCCACATGTTTAATCGGCGTAAAAGTACCTACGTGCAATTGCGTCTTTCCAGAGCTGGATTAGTTCAGAGAAGTTGGGTGATAAGAGACCGGAGCAGGAGAAACGAGGAACTCGAACGAGGTTTTTATTTGGAATCTTGTTGCAAGCATCCGGGTCACGCGACTCTAGACCACCTTCCTAGGTATGCAAATACATTTGAAGAGATATTCCTCTCCTCTATGTGCCAATATGGGGAACTTGGATATCCTATAGATACAGTTAATCGCCCTCTGTACAGTCGGCATGATTTCGACATTATTCCATACTTGACGAGGCAGTAAGAAAGTCGGAGCAGCCACAATCGCTTCCCAAGCTTACAAAAGTCATTACTTCTCAAATGGTAACAGCACATCAAAGCGAGGGCTTTCACTCTTGATTCCGCACTCTGACTGCAATAGACATGCCACAACAAGCCATGATCCATAACTACTAGCAAAGGGTAAACGGTAATGTCAATAAATACCCACCGCTATAGCCGAGTCAAGTTAGTCCCTTGGCGACTCCACCCAGATCATCCTGTCAATCTCTCGGACGCCTTGCCCCGAAGGCGGTTTCATCCTCGGATAGAGCCGATTTGAGGCTCGGCGAATGGTGAGATGTGGGTGTGTTCATGTCCTCTGCATCACTGCTCCGGTATTATCGCACCACGACCCCCTCAACACGTGTTTTTGATGGAGGGATCTGATGTATTTTTTTGAAAGTTCCGTCCGTCGTGATACTGCCTGCGTTGCTACAATACTAAAATATTTACACCATTTTATAAGGGGGTGGATTATCAATCAATCCTAAAAAGACTTGAGACTCAAGCCGCGACACCCACGACTGTCCGTCGTTGGAACAGGTTTGAAGTAGCGGCCGGTAATGGCGGTATGACAAGTTTGAAGCTGAGACGTCCAGCTGAAAGCTAGTGTGAACGGAATCGCTGAGGAAAGTATCACGCTGCCTCAGCTGAATGGTTAACGGGATGCCGTTCCACGATCCGCGCTTGTCGGAAGCAGAGCTAAACTCCGCCGCAGTACTAAGGCCCTCCTCATTCGCAATACTCGTAGTGGCGGGCCGACCATTCAATCTACGAGCACCCTGTCCGACCTTCGAAACGTTGATAGATCCGCACCTAATCGATGCACACCATGAAGGAAGGCTGATCCTTGCCAACTCTCATCCTCGCTATCTAGTACGTTGTGCTAGCTGCGAAAGCAGGTTCGCCTGGCCGGGAAATTTTGCCCGGAATTGTGATCTCTTTGGTCGCCAATTTTGTCGGCCCATTATAGCACTTTCGGTGGCTACTAATTAGACGGCTTCACGTCCTACCGAGTACCACTCCATAGGCTCGTCTCCTTACTCCAATAGGATCCTCTGATGCGGTCAAGTATCGGTACGAGCTGTCAAAATGAGTCCATAAGAGGTACCTTTCCACAAATAGGCGGCCAAGATGCCTGGGGAGACTATTCGCATCGAAGCGCAAGGGAAGCGAGAACGACGGTCTCGATGGCGTCAGATTAACAAGGGTCTGGCGCACTATTGCGTCTCGAAGCTCAACAGCTTCGTGGCCTTAGCGGCATACCGAATGACTACTGCCTCGTCCGTACACAGAAAAATGGAAGGATCCATACCCGTCCAAAACAAGCTGATTCTCCCGCCAGAAACCATCATGTACGGAGTCATCTGAGTCAGTCGCAGAGCGCGGTCACGGCATCTGCTCCGGTACGCACCAAGGGAAAGGCATGAAGGATGATGGTCTTCAGAAATTGGTATCCCAAAAAATGTGCTGCAATGATCGGAACGGTTTCGGCATCCGGCCCGAGCTCGTCTCGCATCTACCACAGTAGATGTCGCCCAAAGGTCACCTCACTGAGGTAATCAATTGCATCCGATTTTGTTGCTCACCATGTGTGGACTGTTCCTGCGCGTCAGGGAGAGACCCCGCGGGGTCGCCCCCCTCGGTTACCGGAAAGAACACCGCGGCATCAACAAAGATGAAATACGTCTCTTCACCATATTGCTCAAAATGTTCGTTAGTGCACGATGACCACTGAATCAGGATTCCAGACCTTGCATCCCAAAGCCCTTTCATGTGGAACCTATTGTAAGAAAACACACACTCACACCCCCACTCCAAAAAAATATTAAGATGGAACTGTGACCAAAGACTATGGATCAGCAACTTTTGAGCCCTTTTTTTTTTTGGTGTGGCTAAGGGAAGTTCCGAATGATGGAAGCTATGATAGACCCAGAAAAGACTCTACTGCCTTGGTATAAAAAAGAGGTTGGCACTTCGCTCCCATTTGAATTGCACTGGAACTTTCCAGCACGCTCGACTCGATTCATCGCGTGTCCTAGTGAGTGCTTTCCCCACTTCCCATAATCAGAGGATTATATTTGCATTGGCACTTTGGTGGATCCTGGCATGTCTGGCGGGCTTTTTCAGGCGGTTGGTGCCAGTGTGACAGGCAAGCTCCTCCGGGAGGTAGTATTGCTGCTAGCTTTGCCAGAGAATATTGCTTTTACTTCTTCGAGGAAGGCCCCGGCAGGAACCGGTCAGGATGTGTGATACATCGTCGCACCGATTGATGTACGACATGGGCGAAGCCGAGCTTTTTGATCTAGCACTGGCGGCTTGTTGAGAAAGGCTGACGGACAACCTGGTGGCACCGTCTAGAGATTACTGGATTATTACGGACGATGGCCGAACAGTTTCCTGTCCCTCATTGGCTAGAATACCCCGAGGCGTGCATTTTACAAGAAACTTGAACATCTTAGCTCCGTTAGGAAATCATATGCATCTTCTATGCGGTCTCAGGCACGCGCCAGGCTGCCATGGGTTCACTCGCTCACATGCTTGACACACGGTCCGCTCCGACAGGTCGCAGACCTCGAGCAGTGGCAAAACAGTCGAGAGTGAGATGTGTTACTACTATGTACTTTCCTTCTCGATTTCCTTTTCGAAGACTTGTTTGCTTTGGAAGCTTGCCTATTTGCAACACTTCTTTTGACGCGTCGTTGCAGGCAAATCTTTACCTGCGCATTCAAGCGGCCCACTAGGCTGTCTCCTGCCCGCTTACCAGTGTAGAGCGGAAAATCCCGTCGCCTGTACCTGCTTTACGACTCCCAGGCTTATCGACCTCTCGTTGCATTAGAAAATTAGATACCTCTCCAGCAGCACCTAGTGCTGCCGAGGCGAAGGCCCCGCGCAGGAGGCCGAAGCGGGGAGGGCTGCGGCGCCGTCCAGAAGCTCCAAGGGTACAGGCTACTATTTTCAAGAGCAGTTACTCAGGTGGGAATAGAATGAATAAATAAAGGGAGAAAATGCAGCACACCCCCTTCTTTTTTTTATTTCTTGCGTGGTATTTATGTTCATTTTCTTTGGTAGGAAAGGAGCAAGGCGTGAGAAAGAAAAGCCGCATCATAGACAGGGAATTGCCGATGCTCCGGGCCAGGGCTAAGAGCAATCCTAAGATCTGACACCAAGCTTCTTGTTGGAATATGTGCTGCGAGAATGAGGGTGAAGTTGGGTGCGCGTGCGCTGCCTGTGTCAGTTTCATTTCTTCTGGAGTTGCCGACCAGACAGGCGGCCTTGAGACGACAAATTGGGAGCCCAGCGCTTCTCAGTCGATTCAGGTATCACCAAACAAACCTGTGGCCCCATAAAGTAGTGGTGATGGACCAATTACTGTACAAATAACCTTTTCACCTCCCGCCACTCATGCTAGGATGCTACTACTGTAGAAGATTGACGCTGCTGTGTTGACGAATCCCAGACCTGGGTCGAAACGTTGCCGACAGATGGAGATCGTGCGGAATATGGAACCGGCCAATGGTGCCGTGGCCAAGGGGGATGTACTCTGGATGAGAACAAAGGTCGGTACCAGTACATACCTAGGACGAAGAGGTGGACAAAGTACGCTACGTCTGACCTAGTCATAATGATGGGCGCGATGGAGTTTTCACCAGCCTTCATTATTCGCTCGATTTTCACTTATCGAGTGGATTAGCGGCTGGACAATTTGTACTAATGCTCAAGCCTTGCGGGCCGCGCCCATGGACCCTCTTGACCAGGGCACTTGGCAGCTCGCCTTCTCCGCCTTTCCGCGCCATCGTTGACAGGCAGAGCAGGGTAAGCTAAACGCTACACCGTGCCTAGAATGATCCCCGCCTACTGGTAACGTACTCTTGTACGAGCGACGAGCCAGACCATTGGGATCTGCATCCCATGTGCCTTGCGTGTCGGACTGCTGCCGTTCAGAGTTACCCGTTTGGATCCGATCTCGAGGTGGCCGCTAAGTCTCCTCGCTCGCAACCTGTCGTCATTGGGCCTTCATTTCTCGCACTTGCAGCAATACTGCTGGCGGGATGCCGTGGGACGGTCACAGGTGTGCAGTTCTCCCATGGGACAAGATGGGGCCCCTTCCTGGTAGGAACGAGTACTGTGGTACAGTACGGAATAGTCTTGGGACCCTTGCTTTTTCTGCGTCCTATAACTGCCTGGGGCCAATCCTCTGCCTACTTTACCGGTCCGGCAACCGACGACCAGGGTTCGATCTGCGTCGCTCCCCCCACTGGCGCGTACCCATGCTCGCTCACTCAGTCGCTCCCTTTTCATCTTTTTTTTTTCTCTCTCTTTTACCTTTTTTTCATTTTTTTTTCCAAGCCAACGACGAACTTTTTAGAACGACCGCTGCTTTCTGGTGCCAAGAGGCTTGATGGCGGGCCATGCTCCAAGCCCTTTCCGCGGATCATGCCCCTTGAACTCCCTGCTACCGGTTACTAGTGTACAGAGGTACTGCGACCGATGACAGAATGATTGTCCGCAGCACGTCAGATGCTATGCCATGCTCCCACACCCACACTCACACACGCACACGCTACTGTGCCCTCCCATCATTCTGACGAGGGTCTTCTCTCACTTAGCACAACTGCGACCTCTGTAATCGACATACGGACAATATGTTACTCGCCGAGTCTGAAAGTCGCTTGTGACGGCCGTGGACCCTTCATGCCCAGCACGGCCCCTTTTCCCACCGTCAATCAGTCGTTTATTCGGGATCATCCTTGGCCCCGTTCTGGACAGCCGACGATCAGCCTTTTCTCCTCTCCAGTTGCCCATTTACAGATGCCCATCTCGTTCTTCTCCGATCCCGTCTGATCATCTGGTTCTAGATCCCAACGAGATTTTTCTGGAGGTTGAGTCGCCCGCTCGTTGTTGCCCCTTCTTCTCCCCCCCCCTCCCCCCTGCCCCCGGGTCTGAATCAGCCACAGACCAGCCTATTCCAGGGACAACGGATCCCTCGTGGCGGGTCGTGCTTCGGATTTGCTTGCGGTGTTGGTTTGCGTACTGGATGCTGCACCCTGCATGACTCGTGCCGTGCAGGACACAATTGTTTTGTAGCTCCCGACGCCGCCCCGTTGCCCTTCGCTGGGCTAGCAACACCAGAGACATCAGCCTTAAGGTCATTGCAAGATGCAGTTCATGTCATACTTTGTTTCTGGCGTATGATTTCCCGAAAAGTTTGGGGTTCTGTGCAGTACCAGCAGCTCCTCGCCGAATCTCCCAAGTCCATTCCGTCACAATTGCAATCCCAAAAGATCGTATGGAGGTCCAGCGACGGCCGGTTCACCATCTTTCGCCCGGTCCTCTTTCATCAATTCGTCGCCCATCACCCAGTGCTCCTGACGCCTTGATTGAATCTCGAGCTGCTGGTGTCCTGGGTTCTAACCCCGCATCCCGTCGCCGTCGACCGCTTTCTCTGACCATGCTCTCTACCCCCCTTGCCGGCTCAACCGCCTATGACTCCCTCAACGCCTCGGGCTCGACATCTCCGCCTCGATCCAGCGGTGCGCCAGATTTAGTCATGACCGCCGTGGTCAATGTGCCCACACCAGAGTTGTCGCCCTCACAAGCTTCCTCGAGCAACATGGCTGTCCAGAAACGAGCATATCGACAGAGGAGAAAAGACCCCAGCTGTGATGCTTGTCGGGAGCGCAAGGTCAAGGTAAGCGTTGAAAGTTGTCCCTCTCCCCGACCACTCAATCAAAAGACTCAATTACAACCCAGTGTGATGCTACCGACACGACGAGTTGCTCCGAGTGCTCCAGCCGCAATGTGCGTTGTCAATTCACAAAGGAAACGAATCGTCGCATGTCATCGATCAAGTAAGATTGCAATCCTTGCCCGTGTACTTCCCATATGAATCATTGCTGAGCGATATCAATTTCTGCCCCGCAGACAAGTACAAGATCTCGAGAAACAGCTCGCACATGCGCGGGAGCAGGTGGACCATCTCCGCTCCCTCATGAAGGAGAACGGAGCGACGAATATCGAAATGGACGGATTCCGCACTGGACCTGTCGATCTTCCGCCTCCACTACCCCAGACCCCGCAGCGCGTCCTGCCGAGCCGCAAAGATTCGTTTTCCCGCGTGCGATCCAACCTCTTGGACTACAGTCGAGGACTTTTCAAGCCCCCTACCTCGTATCAATATCGGCAACCAATGACGGTTCTCTCCCACGAAGCCCCGGCCCTTCCCCCTAGATCGGTCGCGGATCGTCTCTTGGCTCGATATTATACGGTGGTTCACACTTCTTTCCCCGTTCTGCACTGGCCTACGTTTTACCACGAATATGAAGTCTTCTACCAGACCGGGAGACTTGAAGGCGTGTCAAGTGCATGGCTCCCACAACTTTTCGCTGTCTTTGCGCTGGGGACTGTCACGACCGCGGAGCCTTACACCAAACGACTGGCAGACGTGTCGGCCTATTTGAGGGTGTCTGAAGCATGCACAAATAACTGGAACCAACAATTTACTGTCGACCACGTCAGAACGTGCCTCTTGGTGAGTATGTGTTTGAACGAGATGAATGCAAAGTCTGGCGCTTGGCTCTGGCTCGGGTCAAGCATAAGGATTACTCAGGACATTGGACTGGACTGTGAACTCGCTTCTACATCTGCCAACGATGACGAAATGAAGAGGAGAGTCTGGTGGGCCGTCTACGTCTGGGATCGGTGAGTACTAGCATCCACCCTGTTAAGGAGCTCAGTCAAAGCATCTGAATCTAACAATAGCAGCCTGCTCTCTTTAGAACTCGGTCGGCCTGCATCAATTCGTGACGAGGAATTTGAGGTCACTTTGCCCTTGTCCGTAGAAGATCATTACGTCCGGCCTCCTGGGTTCCTTGTATCCCCGAACCCTCAAGGCGTCTCGAGCCCTGTTCTCGCAATTATTACGGTAGCGCGATTCATCTCACAGCTTCAAAAGACCTCGAAAAGCTACACAATCTCAGCTGACTCACTCAAATCCTTTGAGGCATATTTTGGAGCATGCTTCTCTACGCTCCCCGCGGAGTATCAAATAGACAGCCCTGCTCGTCTGGAAACATCTTCACTTTATCCCGTTATTTATTTACAGAATGCTCGTCTCTTACTGCATCGTCTAAGCCTTTCGCCTCGCTTTGCGCGTAGTGTTCGTGGCGCGGCATTGAATTACTGCGTAGCCGCTGCCAAGGACACTGTACACTTCCTCTCGCGCTTTGTCCATGCTCCTACTGCTCCTGGACCATATGGTGCACCCGGGCTGGACTGGCATGTACGGGTTCAGGAAGCAGCTACGGCTATGCTAAGTACGCACTTGTGGCGTTGCATTTTATTCTTGTGCTTTACTGGACATTACTCTGAAGCCATTGTCTGCGTACGGGTCAGCGCGGCCATTGGTGATCGCTACCCCATCAATCTAGCCTGTGGGAGATATGCTGCATTCTTTTTGCACTGTCTTGCTGAACGCAGTCAACGTCCAGGCTGGGACCATTTGCTCTCGGATGAGGAGATGATTGCGTACCTGAGTGCAGACCTGCAAGGAAATGTGCACAACAGCTGGACGTGGGAAAGCCATGATGTTGGATTACCTCTACATCAACGTCGAATAAATCCAGCTCTTGGCGGAGATGATCTTGCTCGAGACCCGATGATTCATCCTTCTGTCACTTCGCTTACAGAGGCTGAAGCGTCTGAATGGGGCGGCTGGGATGGTATCGAGTGGACCATCCACGCGCTTATGAGTGAGCAGCAGCGCCGCACTACCACTGTACAGCAGCAGCAGCTACCGCAACGACTTACACACCAACCACCTCCGCCCAATGTCGACCGCCATTTGCCAGTGACCTCTCCGCCGCATCCGCCGAATACTTTGCCTTCATCATCGACATCTCGTCTCTCGTTTGGCGGGTACCCGGCTCAACCCCAACCCCCTTCCACCATCCCATCATCCCATGCACCGTTACCCTTGCCGACGGGCAACAAAGTGGCTGCACAGGCGAACTCGGGAGCTCCTTTCCGCATGAGCATTGCAGATATCATCTGAAAATACGTTGGTTGTGTTGAAATTGTCCCTGAGAGGTCGGAAGTCAACCGCAGGATGCGCTACTTGGGCGAGAAACTGCCATATTGCATACATTATATCTTCTGAATTTACATGGCCACCCAGCCTATTCTAATCGTCTCTATAATGCCATCTTCTTGTCTTCGACTTTATCCTATCTATTGTCCAGAGTCACTACCTTTACCCTTTCTGACGCGGGCTTTTGAGCCTCGCCGATTCTCCCGCACACGATTTTGGAAAAAGCAAGGCGTTGAGATTCTGGTGTATTTTTCTCTCTTCCTTTTTGGCCTGTTGGGCCTCCTTCCTTTCCTTTTTCATCTCATTCTTCAAATACACATTTTTTTTATTTGATCGAGTTCAATGTCACATACCCTTTGTTCACAGTATCCTGCCATATATATGTCTCTATATACACGTTAGCCAAGGATATCCCCGTTCGTTCGTTCGTTCGTTCGCTTGCTTGCTTGCTTGCACTCTTGCATTTGGCAAAAATGATGCGTGAGGGGGGAAGACTCAGGGCGTAAAGCGTCCGTTGGTCTCTTGCTCACTGAATTAGAAAACTGGAAGCTCTTTTCTTTTCTTCCTTTTCTCTCTTTCTCTGTCTGTCTCGCTCGTTATAAGGCCAGTCTGTGGTTGTCGTCTGTGGTTGTCTTCAATAAACGTACACAACAAAAGCACAGTATTTATACGCAATATAAAATTTCTAGTGCTTCTTTCTTTTCCCCCCATTTTGAAGCAGACTTCTCTGCCTGAAGTGGAAGTCTATAGGAGTCTAGAGCCACGGCATCTTTACCGCAGAGAGCATATGCAGGTGCATTAACCGCGGAAATAAATAAATGCAGAATTCAATTTTTTCCTGATTAAAGGGCTTGAATACGCTTAGTCCACATTGTCTGTTTGTTATCATACTACATTATTTCGCATAGGATCCGAACAAAAGCAGGAATAATCAGCGTTGCGTAAAAGTAAAATAAAACTCAAGCCTTGCTCACTTTGCCTGACGCTCAATCGTCCCGTCACCCATTAAGTCTCCACGACGTCATTGATTTCGGTCTTTGTCCTCATGATAAGGCTGAGATAAACTAACCTGAAGCATGCCATTCAGCGCCCGGGAAATTAAATAAGAAAAGAGGAAAAGAGAGGACAACAGTCAAAGATTTTCGTTAGGAGCGCAATTGAAACCATACACTTGTGAGTGGACAATTAAGTCAATAAAATAGGTAAATGGGAAAACGCAATTTACAATGGACAATAAATGAGAGAAAAGATGATCCAGCTGGAGTCTCTGGGACCCTAGTCCTGCGTTTCATAAGCGCCGGGCATCCGGTAAGCACCAGAGGTACTACCAGTTCCGGCGGCTCCAGACGCACCGGTAGTGGACGAGGGAGCTTCGACACCAAGGTTTCGGACATTTTCAGTGCGCTCTTCTTCAGTGCGCTCTGCACGGGGGAACGGGCCCGCGTCGACACCTCCAGCCCCAGTGGTGCCATTCTTGCCGACGTTCATTGGCCGTTCGGTATGCGGTTCATTGACAAATTTATCTTCTCTGGACTCTTCTCCCTGAGGTGCAGGAGGCTCGACTCCAAGGGCACGGACATCTTCAGTCCGCTCAGCGCCAGGGAAGGGGCCGGCGTCCACGCCCCCAGCACCAGTGGTGCCGTATTTGCCAATATTCATGGGGAGACCGGTATAAGGCTCCGTGACAATTTTATCCTCTCTTTTCTCTTCCGCGGGTTTCGCGGATGGTTCGGCGCCAAACTGGCGGGCATCGGTCGTCCGCTCAGCGCCAGCAACGTTCCCAGCATCGGTTCCACCGGTGCCAGTTGTGCCGTACTTACCCACATTCATGGGAAGGCCGGTATAGGGCTCCTTGACGATTCCTTCCTGCTCTGCCCCTTCAGAACCAGTAGCGCCAGATGCTTTTGAGGCCGCGGCACCGGCACCGGGACCAGTGGCAGTGGCGGTTGCAGTTTGAGAGGCGCCAGTAGCCGGAGTAGTCTGCTGGTCGGCCTCATTGGGGCTTGTTCTCTTTTCCTGCGTAGTATATCCAGTAGGTGGCTCTTTGTGCAGGCGATTTCTGCCCTCATTCTGCTCATGCTCACGAGCAGCCATACCGGCACCAGTAGTCACACCAGCAGCACCCGCAACTTCGGCACCAGTACGCTCATGCTCCTTGCGCTCGGCTTCCTCCTGCTTCAACTCGTCGTCGGTCTTGTCGCGCTTGAAGAAGCCAAGAATCGATCTTCTCCTCCCATGCTTCTCCTCCTCTGGTTCATGGTGCTTTTCTTCCTTCGTCATGTGCTTCTGAGTTTTCTCTGCGTCGTGCTTATGAGCCTTCTGAAGTTCCTTTTCGCGATGCTTCTCTTCTTTCGCCATTTGCTTTTCGTATTTTTCCTTATCCTTAAGCCGTTGTTTTTCCGCCTTCTCAGCGTCGTGCTTGGAGAACTCGTGGGCCGCCGTGGCGCCAGCAGCGGCACCCCCGACAGCGGCCGCATCCCGATCGTGGTGAGTCTCACCAGGCTCGTTCCTTTGGGCAGCTTTATTGTCATAGTCTACTCGGCTATCAACCGGCGTGCGGCTGTATGGGTTTTCTTCGTTAGCACCTGCATTCTTGCCCTTCATCTTCTGAGGGTCCGGCAGAACACGGGGATCCAATATATTTGCCCAGTTTGAGCTATGACGTCCATGGGTTTTAGAGGCAGGACCAGTCGTCATCGAAGGATCCGCATCGCCGGCTCTGTAAGTATCTCCCGCGGCAGTGGTGGCACCTTCGTTCCCGGCATATGCGTGGGGGCCTTTTGGTCCTCCGGCGTATTCACCCTTCATCTTCGCCGGATCAGGCTGTACACGAGGATCGGCTACGTTTGCAACATCGGAGCTGTGCGGGCCTATGGTATTGGAGGCAGGTCCGGTAGTTGTCGAGGGGTCTTGATGACCAGCCTCGTAAGTGCCACCTGCGACAGCAGCTCCTGTGCCCACCAATGCTGCATCACGGCCAAAATGATGACCACCCTGCTCCTTTTCATGTGGATGAGTTTCTTTGGACTCTGAACCGGGGGTCACACCAGCACTCGTGTGTTCTCCTTTCATCTTGGCTGGATCAGGCTGGACACGCGGGTCGGCCACATTTGCTATGTTTGACACGTGGGGACCAATCGTCTTGGACGCGGGGCCGGTTGTGGTCGAAGGGTCTTGATGGCCCGCTTTATATGCACCCCCAGCTGCTGCGGCACCAGCACCGGCCATGGCAGCATCACGGCCATAGTGATGCTTGCTTTCCTGACCAGATTCAGTCGCGGGAATTGCGCCTTCTGAAACGCCTGTTCCCTGCCGAGCCTGACCGCTGGAAAGCTGGGGATCGAGCCTGTTAGCGGTGTCGGTAGCATGAGGCCCGGGTGCAAAGAGTCCCTCGCTCTGTTTCGCAGTTTCCGGCCCACATGGATCTCCTTCGAAACGATGACCGTGACCACCATGCTCATGTCGATACAGGAAGGAAAGTATGCCCCCACCAGAACCGGCGTTACGTTCCTTATGTTCCTTATGAGATTGGTCTCGTTGAGCAGTGTCTGTTGTCGAAGTGGGCTCATTGGTGGTGCTTCCACTCAATGGGAATGCACGTTCGGTTCCCCTGCCCTCCGTGCCAATTGTCTTGCTTGGCTGATTGGTATCTGCAGTGAGATTGCTCCCAGTGGCTGCGGAGCCAGTCAGCGTAGATCGAGGCGGTCGCCCTGCAATCCCAGACTTGATGCTTGCCGTGCTTGCATCATCATCTGGCAGCATCCTCTGTGTAGCAGGGCGAGAGGCGAAAGAATTACCTTGGTCTGTAGTGCTGTCTCTTGGCTCTGGCCGGGTCTGTGGAGGGACGTTGCGGCCTGAGCCCACATCTGAGACAGCTTTGTTTTCTACGTCGGATGACCTTGGGCCGGTAGCAGTTTCAAGTGGTCGATCGGCCTCAGTCCGCTGATCGGCTTCTGCAGGTCGTTGAGGTGGAGTTGTAGTCGTCTGTGGTGCTCTCTCGATATGGCTGACGGTAGCTTTTGTACCGCTGCCATACATGATCTCATCATCCTTGTCCTTCCCCGGATTGCTGTCGGACCAATGATTAGCATCGAGAGGTAAGATTGAGTTGCAAAATCTATGAGGAAAACATACATGATATTTCTGAGAGTCTCCATTGCTGAATACGTCACGAAGATTATTGAATAAAGTACATGCGAAAGTCAATGGCTAAAAGAGCTCAGTAGAGTGCAAAGTGTATTCAAGTGTGGCTGAAGGAAGAAGATGTATTGTGAAAGGTTGGGCGTTGTCTTATAGAGCGATGTATTAAGATTGAGGGTATAATGGTTGAAGCTGGTAGGCAATAAGAGGGGGGTTGGAGAAGATATTAAAGGTCAGAGCGAGGTTGACTCTTGCGTGCATTTGGTTTGGCGCCATCGATGAGGATTAGGAAGGGTCACACTGAACAGGTTCACATACAAGTTTGTTTACAGATTTGGGGGTCGATGAGATCATGTGGCGTCACCTGCCACTTTCTCAGAGTCTAGGAAACCCTCTTTCCTTCAATCAAGCTTTGATGAATGACTGTGTGCACAGACTAAACGGCACCGGCTTGGTTTCCTCACTGCTTCAAATCGACAGGATCTGTTGGCGCTTAACCTGTTGGAGGGTATGATCGGACAGGATCTGCACCGTGTAAGGGACTCTTTTCAAATACCTAATCCAGTTTCGCACTTTGGCGTCGTTCCGATGCATTTCAGGGATTTTTTTTTTTTCATTTTCAAGAATTTGGAAATTCACGTGCCCAAAGTTCTTTTGCTAAAAACTTGTCATACAAGCAGATGCATTGTGCTGCTACTGAGGGTCTCAATAACAATGACTTGTGTCCGCGAAAGCTCCTCTAATAAGACAACGACAAATGTTCGTAACCGTCTAATTTTGAACTTCTACAGAGGGGCCATGCTATGCGATGATTGAAGCTACTGCTCATCTGATAATTCGCCAATCTCAAATCTTTAGAAAATATCAATGAACGATTGAAAATGTTATGAAAGAGGACGAGTGAACGAGGGATTGAGCTTAGTTGAATCACAGCTACGTCAGACGAATTGAAACGCGCCGAAGTGGAAGACGTCAAGCCCTTCCAAACGCGGGTAGGACGGGGCGACGGACAAAACGGACAATAGGCAGTGGTTTAGCCAGCTGGATCGCAAGTCCCATTGCCCTTCCCTCTCCCCCACGAGGCAGGGCGATCCGGACGAACATGCCATCATCTCCTTACTTTGGCTTCCGCTTGGCTTTTTGGTGGCGTTTCCCTTCCTTGTTCCCCAGATTTTGGATGTCGGTGGGTATCGGTACTCTTGCTCCGTTCCGTCACTTCCCCGTCTCTTGAAGATCCTCCGCGATGCAGCAAACACAATGTCAAAAGGAATGACAGCTTCACTGCAAACAATTTATACGGGCGACTATACTGTTATAGCTTTTCGATATCAAAAATCTGTCATTATACTTGAATATGGGAGCAGGTGGAGGAAAACACGACAAAGCCGCAAGTACCTCTGATCTCGGACATGACGCAAGTTCCTTGGCATCGACATGATCCGTTCGACGGGTGCTGAGTCATCCGATCGAGCTTGACTGAATTTGTGTTGAGGTCGGAGGGGGAAAAGATGGAGAAAGTGGAGAGAGAAGAGGCACAGGTGGGTGATGTTGTAGAAGAGCTTGAAAGCGTGTAAGTAGGAAAGGACATGATTTTAGGAGTATCGATATTTATCAATTGTCCCGGCATCTTGGGCCGAGGGTGAAGAGAATAAAGTGGAAACAAAAGACAAGCCAGTCTGGTCCCGTAGTATAATACTCGCAGCATTAGTTGACCGCCGTCACTATTGCCGTCCGATTCCTCCCCGGAAATCGACTGTCTCTCGAGCCAGAGCACCTTTCTCAAGACTCGGCCCTTCCAGACCGCGCTCCCACTCGACCAGCGGCGCATTTTAGGCTTGGCCTCTTCCATTGAAATTTAAAGCTCCCCACGAGACTACCCTCAAGTTCCCCAAACACCCAACAAAACAAACTTGCTCACCTCCTCTCTAGCCGTTCAATTTCATTATCCTGACCCCGGCTTTCACAGTTATTTTCGGGCTGTATACTGGGTCAAAATTTATTTTGCTGCCTCCAGAATAACATCTCATCAGAGCCCAAATGCCTCTTCGAGAGCGGGTGCGAAAAGCGCTCGGGCGCCCTTCATCAGACTCGGAGAATGGCTCGACCAGTGGCAGCACTTCTTTCTTAAAGAAAATCACCTCTCGATCAGAGAAGGAAGAGCCAATGCCTCGTCCGAAATATGTCTCCCCATATAATAAAGAGCATCATGACAAGCTTCGAGCCTTTACCTTTGCCGGCGCCTTCAATCGCCGCATGAGTGACCAAGGCCAATACAGCCCATTTGGCTCACGTGTACCCAGCCCTCGCCCAAGTCCTCGTCCAAGCCCTCGTCCGAGCTTCCAAGCCGGGAGGAGATCTTTGGTTATGTCACGACGAAGTAATTCCGAGCAGGTGGCCGAGGAGAGCCAGAACAAAGGTAAGGGGCAAACCTACTCTTTGCCACGAATAATAGCCCAATACTGATAGTAAAGAAGAACAACCCAAAGATCAGCCATCCGCTCCGGCAGAGGTAGCCAAAAAAGGCCCCATTGGCCTCCCTCAAACAGCTGTTAACGGAGCAAGCGTCTCCAAACATCCAGAGACCAACCCAGCGAAACCTGTCAGCGAAGCCAATGACCAGCAAGCGTTTTCAGGCGACCAGTTAAACACCGCTCTCAAGAATACTAATATGGTTGCCTCGGGAGCGACAGGAGCCAACCTTTAATGCCCGGCGTCAGAAATTTTATGAATGCGATTTCCTACCAAAACAGATCTGCAAAACAGTTTCAGCGGAACGATTGTTATTTATGATACCTCTACAAAAGTACTTGGGGGGTTTTTTTTTTGTGAACAAATACTGGTTCCGTTGGATAGATTTCAAGGATGCTCGCGACCGCTCTTAAGGACCGTGCTCTTTTTATGTTGTCAATATGGAGTTCTGGAAGCTTTTTCACGTGTGGATATTGGGCTTGGTGTTTGTCATCGACTTTTGCGTGAGAGGGATTGACCTTTACTATGCACATATTGAAATTGTATATTGGCCATACCAGCGCACATATTGTACAGCAATGTGTATACACACCGTCATTGACACTGGGTTGCACATGATGCTTGTGTGTCTTTTCATTTGCAGTCTCCCAATTTTGCCTGAACTTTTGGATGTGCTCGGGATCCTTGTCCGGCAGGTTCTGGTCAATAATGAGTTGTTCATTTGCAACAGTGCTTTTTCGCCTGTCAGTCATCGTTATCACTCTGGTCTGAGACTCTTGCCCATCTGTCGCGTGCGGATATTATTATAGGAAGGTGTGCTGTGATTATGGATTCTCGTAATCGCCTTCATTGCACACGAAGGAAGGAAAAGAAAAGAAAATTAGGGTAAATGAAAATAAATCTTTTCAAATGAAATTTAATAATTATAAAAGAAGAAGGTGAGGAGAAGAGCGGATGCAGAACCATTTGTTAGCACCGACACCAGAAAACGGCTAAGAATCCATTGCAATCAATTCATAATAAGTGCACGAAAATGATAATCGCCAGCTTAATTTAGCTCCGTCGTATCGGCCATGAATATGATTTGGCGCATCGAAGACATCAACAGAGGCTTTGTTGCCTTGTTACCCAAACGGGAGATGATCCTGGGGCTGGACATGTCTCTGCCATGCGCGCGCTTGGACGGTGCTACAGGGAGGATACAACGCCCCTCTCCCATTCAACACACAAAAAGACAAGAATCAAGCAACCCCGCCCATCTTACCCCTTTTGATCTTTCTGTGACATCGGCTTGAAGCCCCGACGTTCAACTCGCCGGTCGATACCAGATCAATGCCCTCGAAATTCTCCCTGTTCAAATCCAACCGTTCCCAGGCTTCCCTGACCGGGCAACCAGAAAGAGGCGACGACGACGATCAGCTCCGCCAAACGCTTCCGCCCGAGTCAGACGCGGCACCTGCACGCTGGTCGCCTGGCTTCCCACAGCTGGGCCCTCGATCACCTCTGCCCAATACTTTTCCAAATCCAAGCCCTACATCCGCAGAATTTGACCTTCTGCAGACGTCTGACTATATTGAACGAACCCCGCGGACCGCTTTACCCACACGGTCACAGAGTCAACGGTACTCTCGTGCCAGCTACAAAGATCTTTCCTTGTCTGCGGCCGAGGACCCTTTTTCTCGGTCAACCCAAGACCCGGATAGCTCCACGCATCCCACAGAACAGAAACGGTCAAAAAGATCCTTCTTTGGCCTCGGTCATCACTCCTCATCCGCATCCTCGTCCAAGGAGAGTTCCCCATTGATTGGGGGAGACCAGTTTCGACAGGGCCAAACCTCAACCCCGAGCCATCACAACACAGCTCTCGGGCGGTCTGTGTCTCTTCGACGAAGAGACGGGCGATCGCCTCAAATTGATTCTGGCCCTTTTAAACTTCAGCAAGCTCGGATTCCACCTAGAGCCTCATCTCGACTTCCCGCTCCTGGCGAGGTAGACGAACACGAAGACCTCGATCACTATCTAACAAAACCCCCACAATTGCAACTCCCCCCTTCAAACGAAGATTACGCCAACCAAGGATTTTATAGACAGCAGCCGCCCCGGCTAGATACCGAGCAAGCATATCAAGACCAACAACGACAGCAACCCCGAGAACACAGCACGCCAGACTCCCCAGAAAGGTATAGACAACTTCAATACCAGCAAGACCTGCCGCAGCAGCACCGTCAAGCCTCCTTTCAATCTACCTTATCAAACACACAAACACACAATCCACATCGTACAGAATCACCGGCGTACCAACAACGACAAGACATTATCTTGAATAGGCACCGCTCGCAACTCCAACAATACCAAGCCTACGACCCTCAACTAGCGACGCAACCTTTGCATCAACAGCCTGGGCCTCCAACTGGGTTACCCCCACAGTCTCGACAGTCTCCCGAATTGAGCTTACCAAACATGCAAAGCGGACAGACAAAAGAGAATTCCAATCTCCAACCTTTCCCTCAGGGTAGCCAAGGAGTGAGCCAACCACCGACACCTGGCCTATCTCCATTCGGAACACCGTCCACTCCAGCGCCACAGGGCCAAATTTTCCGGGGCACCGTACAGCAACAGGTTACAAATGAGCAAGGACGAGAAGCAGCTCAGAGTAGATCCAACGACGGCGGTAATGGCGACGTTGCACAGCTTGCCGACCGCCATGCTGAGCTACGTAAGTTAAATTTCATGCCGCTTCCAGAAGAGTATTGGGGGCCAGCTGCTGATAGTCGTTGATGCAGAGGCGAAATATCTCAAAGTGAAGAAATTGTTTTTCGACCGAGGCGTTCAAATTCAGCAGCTGCAGAATGTCATTGCTAACCAGCGAATGTCGCTATCCCGGACCTCTTTAGACGACAACGAATATGCAACCAGGTTCAATCGTCTGGACGGCGCTATCAATAACTTTTCCTTCAACATTCGCAAGGACTGGAAGTTGATCCCACCGTGGCTCCAGCCTGTGGTTAGCCAGGATGCGATCCGGACGGGAACTAAGGAAATGACCACAATCGGACGAACATTCATTTCGCACTGGATCTACAACGAGGTCTTTGATCGACACTTCCATCCTGCTATTGAACCTTCTCTCTCAACGCAACTCAAGATCATCGAGAAGAACCTTTGGCGTTTTGCTCCGCCGGCTCACAGCAAAGAAGAGGAAGAAGCAATCACCTCCAGGATCGCTAACTGGCGTTTCGCCACGATCGACGGGCTTCGGGAAAGCTTGAATGCACCTGCGATTGATTACAAAGCCCAACTCACGACGTCGCTTGTCGAGAAGCTGACGGCCAGCCTCCAAATGAATCTAAATGACCCACCGCCACCAGGCCTTGAAGGTGGCATCTCGATGATTATTGAATTAGCAATTGGAATTGCTTCAAACTTGCCGCTCGAAAGTCGCGATATCTATGTAAAATACTTCATGCCCGGGAATCCTATTACTCAGGAGCTTATGCGAATCGAAACGAGTCTTCCCAGTCTCCAGGGCTCACCGTCCGTCGCCGACGCTCTTGCTTCTGAAGCTGCCGGCAACGAGAAAGCATCTGCATCCGGCACCGAGACGTCCACCCCACTTCAGCGGCGTGACTCGGGAACCTCAGATGCAGAATCTGCCAGTCTCAAGGGGGAAACGCCATCTTCGAGAAAGAAGGGTGGTATCCTTGGTGGCCTAATGAATAAAAAGTCATCTCAGCAGTCGACGCACAGTTCCTCGCCTTCATCCTCGTCAGGACAAGCTGCAGGAACGAGCGAAGCCAAGTACCAAACATCCAATGCTGGTCTAAACAATGCGTCCCACGCATCTCAGTCTTCATCAGGCAGCTCTACTGTCGACAAAGAAGGCGGCGGCGCCGGAAACTTTGGATCAAATGAAAGCCAAAAAGTGCGCTTCTCGCCCTTCATGGCCATTGGTATCCGTGGCAAGGGAGTGCTCGTTCAGGCGCCGGTTTTTGTCTGAGTCGTCTGATGATTTGACCCCTTGCATCTGTACTCTGCCTCTAAGTAACGCTTCTTGTTGTCTTTTTGGCCACAAATACCAATGTATACCTTCACGTCGATTTGTTTCTCTTAGGGGGAAGCGACAATTGAATAACTTTTGTCCTGACTCCTCGACCTGTTCGTCCATTTTGATCCTGCCACACATCCAGCGTTTACCGCATTTCCAGCACCACAAATACCTGAATGCAGAGTCTTGATCTTTCATGGGAGAATGAGCGTTGCCAAAATAAACATGTTTTTAGCGGTGCGCCTTGAGCATACCATGACCATTTAGATTCGTGATATCACCATTATCATGTTTCTTTCCCTTATTTTCAGGGGAAAAATCTATATTTTTAGATGGTGATTATTTTTACCATGCCTCTGCATTATATTCAGCTCTGTCATCATCATTATCATCATTTATACAAACCTATCAGCGCGTTCCAATTCATTAGCCCATCCATTGTCTTTTCAATCTCACAAGCGTCATTTTCACTTGTACATTTTTACTATCACTTTCTTCATTTCCCCGTCTTTCCCCCTCAACACCCCCCCTTTTTTTTTTTTCTTTTTTCTTTTAGTTCAACTGTCTTTCCATTCGTGAGTCATAGGACTTTTTGGCTTTTGGTTTCAGTGTCAGTAGAAACTAGGGGCCCAAACAAATCAGGGACGTTAAAGTATCTTTTCTGGACAATATTTTTTTAGCGTGGGAAAGAAGATTTTGGAGAAGCCTAAGTCTTAAAGAATTTTGTTCAAACCGCAAAGAGAGAATGAAAGAAAAAAAGGCACCTCATGTTAGGATAGCAGCATAGCAGAGCAGCGAAAATAGTATCACATGGGAGATATTGATCAGACATTTTTTTTTGTTTTGCTTGGATCATGTCTTGTGCTAAGTGAAAAATTTTTCTGAAATTGCGTGATGCTCGTTCTGATCAGATGTGTACAAAAGTGCATACCCAAATGATCAAGAGGTATTTACCCACACATATCAAGGTCTCGCCTTAGGAGGAGTGACTAGAAATGTAATGAGAAAGATGATGATGATACCCCAATTCATGTTTTGCAACAACGTGGCAACTGTTTTGGTAGGGGAGGTATCATACCACATATACACATTGGCATGGGAGGAGACAAGTCATGGATATGAAGAGGAATCGGTGAGGCATGACTACACCTAAGATACCTATGTTACACACTGTCCAACAATGGACAGAATGATCCCCTCGATATTATCGAATGCCAATCGACCAAAGATACTTTCATAGGGTTTCTGAATGGATCAAGACACATCTTCTTACGATGATAAGATGATGAGGAAAACGTGAATAGACAGTCTGGGCTATATTGAGAAAAAAGGTAATGCAGAGTAACAATTCCTAAACTAATTTAAACATATCCTATATAAAAATAACCCTTTCCAGCGACTTCATTCTACACAAATGCGTGGCCATTGACCATCTATATAAAAAATGCTACTTCTTTCAAGGTTTGCTTGACAGCTTGACATATTGACAGTCAGAGCTTACGCAACCCACTCGCCGTCAAGCCAGCGGTTGAGCATGTCCAAGCTGGCCTCGGGCTGGTCAAAGGGAACCATGTGTCCACCAGCGTGAAGACGGATAAAGGTAAAGTTCCCGCTGGACTTGACCTGGCCAATCTTGGAGCCGTCATCGGAGAGAGAAAGGTCGCCGAGGGCAACCTTGTTGTACGCGGCCTTGCCAGGCCACTCGAGAGCCTCGGTCCAGGCCTTGTTGCCGAGCCAATTGCAGATGTAATCGGCGTCACCCTGAGAAGGATTAGTATAAGCCTTTTGCGGCGCGAAGGAAATCGTCAGAGAGTTAGACTTACAGCGTAGATGAGGACAGGAATCTCCTCCAAGAGACTAGGGACGAGACGGAAGAAAGGCTGCATCCAGTCTCCCTGGAACAAGAAGTTTCTGTTGATGTCAAAGTTGCAGCTGTCGTAACCAGAGACTTCAGCACCAAGGGCCTTTTGCACCTTGGGCTCGTTCAGGTAGTCGCTGATCCAGCCAAGCTGCTTGTAGCAAAGGTTGCCATCTTCGCACTTGCCTCGCACGTCATAGACGTTCTGTCCAGTGCGCTGGTAGGGGCCAATCAGAGCATTATTGCAGTAGATAGAGGCGGGGACACAAGACCAGACACTGCCGCTGTCATAGCAGCCCTGGATGAGATTGGCGCAGCGAGGGTAAGACTTCTCCATGGCAGCACAAGTGCCCTCGTCCAGAACAGCGGGCCAGCCGCCCTCTCCACATCCCATGGGCTTGTAGTACTCATATTGGGTCAAGCCATCGGTAAGACCGTTGCCAATGAGGACGGATTTCAGGTTAATGTTGCGCTTCTTGTGAGACAGAATCTCAGAAGCAAAGACGGGAATGTAGTGACCCGCGTACGATTCACCGGCAATGTGGAAGTCCTGATGAGCGTACTCGGGGAATTGCTTGAAGAAAAGGGTTAGGAGAGCATACACGTCCTTGCCGGCGGCAACCGTGTTGCTGACGGAGCCACCACTATAGGAGAAGCCAACATTGACAGGCTGGTCAAGGAAAATGACCGAGGCATTGCTGTTCCAAGAGTATGGGTTCCAGACAGGCTTGATGTTTTCGTCAATCGAGGATGGTCCAAGCTCCATGAAAAGACCAGTCAGGGAGGAACATCCGGGACCACCGTTGAGCCATAGAATAACGGGGTCTTTCTTGGGGTCGTTCCGAGACTCAAAGAACCCTAATTCCCAAGTCAGCAACCAACTCCTCCTATATTAGAATAGTGCATGCTTAGTAGCTTACAGTAGAAGAGATGCTTATCCTCCTCTTCGTCGTCAAGATAACCACTGTACTGCTTTACACCAGGATCAATGCCGAGCTCACTCGGATCGACCTTCTTTGTCCGCAAGTTATAGTTCTCTAGCTTTCCGCCAACCTCTCTCTCCTTCTCGCCTTTGGAGTTCTGGACCCAGACGCTCTGGACATCCTCACCTCTCATCACGAAATCCCATTCGTGATCGGGTCGGCGGGAGTGCGGCTTAGGGGAGGAGAAAAAGGTAGCTTGCTCAATGGCTTCAGGGAATAGTGCAGAAACCTCATCCCAGGCCGCGCGAGCCTCGGCGGAGAGGGACTTCAGCGAGTCCTGCAGGGAGTGGAGAGGCTTGGACCAAGCTCCAGTCGCCGGCTTGGGAGCCTGGAAGACCTGCTGCTGCGGTGCAACTGCAGCAGAGGCAGCCCCTAGCAAAAGAGTCGAGGCAAGTAACTTCATGATGAATGTGAAGTAGATGCTTCTGATGATAATGATAAACAGATATCGAACGTGAGAGCTGTGGCAACCGAACAGGCAAACGGGTGATACGCCACTGAACGGAGCTCCAACCGCGCAACAGATAGGACGGCGGGAGAGAACCGATTGGAGGGTTCAATAGACCCAACAAAAGATGGATTTATTGAAATGAGATGAAAATGAATCTAAATAACACAGATTCAAGGAAGAGATGGAGGATGGAAGGGGGAAGAGGATGGCAAGTGACCGGTTGGCGGATTGATAGGCGGGAGTCACAGGCAGCTACCTACCCGTATCGGGAGCGTCATCTCCACAGTGACGCCGAATACGTGGCTGGGTACTGCTACAACCATCATTATCGCTCCCCGTAGGTATCAGAATCCGCCGTCCTATCACGGGATTTGCCGGCTAGGGCAGCGACAGGAAACAAAGATGCAGAATAGTGCGTCAGTCGAGAATCTTTACAAAACGCAGGCGGAGAAAGTAGAAGGAGCAAAAATAATAATATTTCGTGGCCATCTTTACCCGGGTTTGTTGATTCAAGATGCCTATTAATCAGGTAAAGTCTCTCGAAAACCAAAACTCGAAGAGATGTGTATATTGATCTTTTAATAGCCGTCAAATCAAATAAAACTCACAAATGTCTCGCTCGTGCGCATGAAGAAAGGTTGGTGTGGTCCTTTAAAATCACGTTCGATCACCACGTTCAACCAAACATACATACAGGAAAGAAGCGCTACGAGATTGCGTGCTACAAGAATAAGGTGCTAGAATGGCGCTCTGGCGTGTAGGTGCCAAAACATATCATAAAATCTCAACCAGTTTCGCTGAGAATGGTTACAGAGAAAAGGATCTTGACAATGTCCTCCAAATTCCTACTGTCTTCCTCTCTGTCAGCAAAGGTCAAGCCGCACCGGCGCAGGACTTGCAGAAGTCGTTTCCAAAGTTGACGACCGACGAAATCATCCTAGAGATATTAAACAAAGGCGAACTTCAAGTTGGTGAAAAGGAACGGCACGCGCAGCTTGAACGACTGCACAATGAAGTCATCAATATTATTGCTGGAAAATTAATAGATCCAAAGAGCAAACTCCCTTATACACCTGGTATGATCGACAAAGCCCTGGATCAACTGAGCGCACAAGCTGCCCACGCGCAGCAGGATGCCAAGGCCGCAGCCTCGGGAAATGCGACTCCGGGAGGAAGTGGAGAAGAGGACGTTACCACGCCCAAGCCCAAGAGCAAGGATATGCCGACTTGGACAGGCGTGGTCACGACAAAGTCGGCCAAGTCACAGGCACTGGATGCAATGAAGGCCCTCATTGCCCACCAGACAATTCCTGTGCAGAGAGCCCGCATGCGGATTCGGGTAACTTGCTCCACCAGTATCTTAAAACAGATGGTGAAGGCGGCGCCAAAGAGCACCGAGGATGGGGAGGAGAAGGCAAAAGGCACGGTAAAGGACAGAATTCTCGGCTTCATCGAACAGATTGAGACACAGGACGCCCTCGGTGACGAGTGGGAGGCTGTGGGCTTCGTAGACCCAGGTGCTTTCAAAGGCCTGGAACAGTTTATCGGCAGCGAAACAAGAGGCCAGGGCAGAGTGGAGGTATTAGATATGGCGGTGGTCAAAGAAGATTAAGAAAACTGGTGTGGCGTTTTGCATTACCTTAGAATTTCGGCATCTATGATATCAATGAAGCATAATCATCCATATAAAAAGCATTAGTTTACGAATTTGGGATCAATTATTCGGGAAAATCAGATTATTATGGGAAATGATGAGCCATTTTTGCTCCAGTGGAGGTGCACATTTTTCAAACATATGCAGCCAGGAAAGAGAGAAAGTGCTGAGTATATGGGTGGGATGGGATAGACATCATTTCTGTCGATCGAAATTGAGAAATACTGCTCCAGCCAGTGGAACACGGCTGAATCGCTTCCTTCCTCTCTAAATCCGAGATCGGTGGAAGGTTGTTCGGTTCGAGCGAGGCAATGAAGATCGAGTCGCATGCGATAAAAAATCTTTCGGGCATCATGAAAATCATCCGGATTGGCTCCCAAAACTCGAAATTGACACCAAGACTTTTTGTGTACAACAAGTATCCATTTGTAAGGCGCTCAACCATGAGCTTCTGCAGTACATCATGAGAAGACACGCGCCCACAGAACCCCCACGCAAACCAAACCCATTGTGAGGCGAATTGTTTATCCCTTCTTCTTGGAGACACCGACGGTACGGCCTCTCCGACCAGTAGTCTTGGAGTGCTGACCACGGACACGGAGACCCCAGTAGTGACGGAGACCACGGTGAGCGCGGATCTTCTTCAGTCTCTCAAGATCCTCACGGAGCTTGCTGTCGACACCGTTCGCCAAGACCTGAGCATCCTTGCCATCGACGATATCGCGCTGTCTGTTGAGGAACCAGGTAGGGATCTTGTACTGGGTGGGGTTCTGGATGATGGTGACGATACGCTCCAGCTCTTCGGTGGTGAGCTCACCAGCGCTATCCAAAAGACATCAGTATCTGAACTGTCCATCTGCGATTTCGCGCTTGATCTTATCCGTAATTGCTTACCGCTTGGTAAGGTCAACATCGGCCTTCTTGCAGACCAAGTTCGAGTAACGACGACCAACACCCTTGATCTTGGTCAAGGCGTACATAACCTTCTGCTTGCCATCAACGTTTGTGTTGAGCAAACGAAGGATGTATTGGAAGTTCGACTTCTCTCCGGATACGAGAGCTGTAACATCATCAGCGAATTGGTCCCAGCGAATATAGCATCTTCACGGCTTCACGACGAGCCGTCTAAATCGAGCACATACACATGGTGGGCGATCTGTCGTCCTGAACTTGTTGTCGTGTCGGCGGCGCAATTCGAGGAGTGGAGGAGAATGATCAGAATTTGTGTGGCATTCGCTTAGTGCCGAGGACTGCGCTTTACGTAAGCGAGCCTTGACCTTCGCGATCTCTCACCTCGACACTTCATTTTGTCGTCTTCTTTCATGGCAATGTGCTGACAGAAAGTGGTTGAATACTACTCAGTTCAAATATTGGGCATTTTACACTTCCTTCAGAATAGTTAAGTCGACACAGTTTTATGTCGTCACGTTTGCGGCCATTTGGACCAAATACTCTGGACCCTAACTCGCCCTTTGCCATCCTGCGATCTCCCAAATGCATAAATCCGACCTGGGTCGCATGAGTTCCTCTTCGACCGTATCAAATTGTTTTTCATTTATTTGATTATTTTAGATTTGATAAGATTATCTTGACTCATGTTGCGGCATATCCACGCCTCCTGGCCTTTTACTTCCTTTTCTTAACAGAGTTTCCTGTTTTGTATAATTTCCCCTCGCAGATTTCTTATTTAGAGGCAGAGCTGTTACCAATATGCGTTCATGAATTTTAGTCTCTGAAAAAGTCGAGGTAGTCGTCAAATACTCTTTTGATCAGACCGGTGGTGTTCCATTTCTGGATTGTCGGATCACGACGTATGAATGCCAAGTCTGGGATTATCACACCAATCACTGCTCATTACAGGCATTAATGAGGAAGAACATGAACACCATTCAGGCTTGTAGTAAAAGATGGATTCTATAAGACTTCTGATGCCTTGTGTGCAACACGAGCCAGTAGTACGGTAGATTTTGCAACGATCTGGGGCATTCTGCGAGAGCCAAAAGGCTGAGGCCACCAGAGCAAAATGGCAGAGTGTCCGAGGCTGAATGGTGTCAAAGTGGACGCACAGGGCACCCCGTTGTGGCTGACTAGTCGAGTGGCTTGTTCGTTCTCCTAGTTTATCTCTGTTTGTGGCTTCGTCTGGCCAAGGTCAACCATACGTAGTATAACTGTCCCTCGGTCAAATGAATAGACTGTATTGAGACACGATTGGTGCGATTAAGTGGCCATTCGGAGTAGGCGCAGTAATTTGCCATTATTCTTGCCAATAATAATGATGAATGTCCGGAGACAGCCGAAATGCAAAGTAATTGGGTTTCTCACCTTTCAAACTTTGTACAGTGTCGAGCCAAACTACAATCCACGCCAACACTATAACCCCACACCCCTACCATTCTCTACCTAGTGACGCATCATTACAAGCAGGGAATCTCTCAAACTTTGACTCTCCCCTCTTCCAGCTCTCATCTGGATGGTTATAGCCTTGCACGGGCCCCTCATCAATTGAATGCCCCCACTTCCGACAATCTTTTGAACTCATGCTCATACGTGTCGTCTGAGCTGCCTCTCCATCAGTGTTTGCCCGGACCCTTCCGAGCTACCTCCCAACTCTATCCTTCTTTAAGCAGTCCTGTACCCGAATTTGCATCTCCATCGATATCTTTCCAATCGACTTGAATCATTTGAAGTGGCTTGAAAAAGTGCCATCTTCACTCGGAATTATTTCAAGGACTCTAGTTCACAAATAGACGTTGCCGCTTAGCTTGGAATATAGCTTGCTGGTCACAATTTTCGCTACAGACATTTAAAAATGTCTCCTTCCAATAAACCTATATTTGTGGCGACCCATCCACGGGCCTGTTCCACCGCATTTGAACGGGTATATCAAGCTACATCTCGTTCTCTTAAAAAAAAACTAACCTCATCCTTTTAGGTGTTTATGACCCGCCGAGATATCTTGACAACTGTTCACGAACCTCTGGGTGACGCTTTTTACTACGGCCCAGAAAGGCTAAGTGACCGATACGAACATGATGAGAAAGCTAGAGAAGAGAGTGGCTTCGGCCAATCTACCTTTAAAACTATCTTCGATCGAATTGATAGTGAAGGTTCCGAGGTTTGATCTACCCCTCCTTCAGCGATGGTGTTTGATCACGCCTTGACCCCATTCCTTCCTATTTGCTATTGGTCACAGCTATTTTGGAGATCCTTGATATTCCGAATGGTCAAAATCCACCCGTCCCGAGCTTGTGCTTCCCTTTATCACGTCTTCCTGCATATGCACAGAAAACCAATGCAACAATTCGCACCGAGGGAGTACTTGGAGACCTAGGTTCTCTAACTGTTCCTTCGGGTCATCCTTCAAGGGTTTCCGTTGCCTTGAGCCGTTGTGCTCGTTGCTTGTTGTTTTGCTCTTGTTGCCGCTGCATCTGCTCCTCATTGCCCCAACAATGCCGCGAGCTGAGATGCGAGCACAACGTTGAAGAGCAGTCAACTTACCTTTTCCGCAGGGCAAGCGCATCTTCATTAAGGATATTGCGCACTACATCTTCCCTCCGGACGCAAAACCCGCCTCGATTGCGCCATCCCTCCTGCAACCGAAGAAGGGCGTCGGCACTGCTGAGGACATTGATGGTGTGAACGGTGTTGATGGTAGCTCAATCGCCACCAGCGCTCCTGCGAACCCGAACGCGACGTCTATTGCAAAGCAGACGGGAAAAACTGTGCCGCCCTACCCGTATGCTACCGTCATCGAGCCCAGAAATCCCACTGTAGTGCCCGAAGCGCTCCTGAAGCAGTTCCACTTCACGTTCCTTATTCGCCATCCGCGTCGTAGTATTCCGAGCTACTACCGCTGTACCGTTCCGCCGCTTGATGAAATCACCGGCTTCTACAATTTCATGCCCAGCGAGGCTGGCTACGACGAGCTGCGTCGCCTTTTTGACTACCTCCGCACCACCGGTCAAATAGGACCTAAGATTGCAGGACAGTCAAATGCCAATAGCGACAGCGTCGCGGAATCAACTTCCAAAAGCGAAGTCGAAATATGCGTCGTCGACGCTGATGATTTGCTTGATAATCCTGCTGGAATCATTGAAGCGTATTGCAAATCAGTCGGTATCAAATACGATCCTGGCATGCTCAAATGGGACTCGGACGACGATCAGAAGGCTGCCAAGGAGGCATTTGAGAAATGGAAGGGGTTCCATGAAGATGCCTTGGACAGCAAGGAACTCAAGCCACGCTTGCACGTTTGTCTCCCATTTCCTTTTCCCCTTTTATCTTGCCCTTAGCCTTTATCTTTCATATCTGCCGTCTCTTCCCAGCTCATGGAATACTCAGCCGCGCTGACATTTACACCCACTGGGTTTCGAAGAAGAAGAAGGTGCAGAGCAACAAGGACGAAGATGCCGAATGGGCCGAGAAGTTCGGCCCAGAAGGCGCCAAAATTATCCGCCAGACCGTCGATGCCAATGTTGCGGACTACGAGTATCTCAAGCAATTCGCCATCAAGGCTGCTTAGCGCAGCGAAGATGGCGACTTTCTGGTAAATTGTTCCAGATATTTAAGTTGCAGCTTCCCACTTTTGTTTGGTAATGAGATATTTTGGTTTTTTCATTGTTCGAATCATCCTACCCGTTTCCAGTGGTCGATTTCAATCCCCTTATTCATATTCACATGAATCCAAAAAAAAAGTTATCCGGTCCCTTAAAAATATATTCCACACGAAGCTACGCAATAAACTCTTCTCAGCTAGTTCTGATGTATTCTGTTTCTCGTTTTTCTCCAACTTGCCTCTGAACAGCAAGTGAAACTAATTGGAAAAGCCTGTGAAAAGCTGCCGAGACTACCATCACTCATTAGGATACTTATTGCTAAGCAATATGGCAAATTTGAATTGAGTTTATATATATCTGGCACAAGAACAAAGTCTTCAAAAAAACATGGCTTCAACAACAGTACCATGCTTGCTTGCTTGCTTGTTTGCTGAATTCCTCGACGGACAGAAAACGACAACGGAAGAAAAACAAGGAGCACAGGAGCCCAAATAATGTAGTGGTCAATAGAAGAAAAGTACACAGGGACTACCGTGAATAATGTAAATGAATATTATAACAAGGGTTAAAATAAGTAATGTTTGAGGCTTCTGGATGTGGGGGAAATTCAATGAGGCTTTCTGACGCTTTCTGACACAAATAAAAAAAAGAAATAGACAAGTAAAATCAAGGTATCTACACAGCGCTGTAGCCGCCCCGCGAACCGCCTCCTTGGACTGTACTAATGACTCGGCGTGTCCAGTCTCTGAGCAGATAGGGGATATCCCGAATAGAATCGCCGTGAGGTAGAAGATCCCAGCTGTTAGGAACGAGAAACGAGAGTGTTAGCGTTACATGGTTTATAGTGAGTCGAAAAGGTGTTGGGACAATGACAAGAAAAGGTGAGGCAGGAAAGGAAGAAGATCTCGGGACACAAAAAGTTAAAATTTAAAAAAAAAAAAAAGGAAAAGAAAAGAAAAGAATACATACCCTCTTGCACCGTAACGGTTGTAGTTTAGCCAGGAACCAAAAATCAAATATGCTGCAATGCCGAGGAAGACACTGTTCGAAGAGATAATGGCGTTAGTATGAAGCATACGCACGGTAGGACGGAATAGGCGTAAATGGAAAAAGTGACACGAAAGCAAGCCAGGATGATGACAAGGACATGTAGGAAAGGCGACAAGGGGCGGGGAGATGGAACTTACACGATGATGAGCCAAGTAAAGAAGCCCCAGCTGCCTTTCTGCTTTGGCTGATCCTTATTATCGTTATCATCGCCATTTTTAATACCCTCGCAGGCATATTTGGTCCGCCATTCCAGATACAAGACATCAATGTCCTGTTCCGCGCCGTAGCTGACGAATTGCAAGCTGGCATTGCTCTTATTTTTGTCGTCATCCTCATCGTCGTCGGGAAGGTCATCCTGAGAGTCGTCGGCTTTCTCTACAGCGGCAGTAGAGCTCCGTTTTGATTTTTCTTCTTCTTCGTCGTCCTTCTTCTCATCCTTTTTACTGTCCTTCTCGTCCGAAGAAGGCTCGTCCAATTCTAGTCCAGTCCGATCCGCATCGCAGAGAAACTCAACTACAGCCTTTTGCTTACGGCCACTATGGCTGCTGAATGGAAATTTTCCGCCATTTAATTCTAACCGAACTCCTTCCTTGTCTGCATCATCGTCTGACGTGGACGATTTTAATCTGGTAACTCGTGCGTCGAGCGGCCGGGACTCGTGGATGAAGTCTCCTGCAATGGGATACACACCGCCAATGACGTCCTTGTCTTCTTCCTTGTTGATTATGCGCTCAATACCGCATACTATTCATCTCTGTCTCAGCATATATATGGAACAAGAGTAGTTGTTTGGATGTGGAGAGTAAAGCTCATATTGGCGGGGATAGGGACGGAAACTGGGAAAGCATGTGCAAAGTGTGGGACAAGGAAGCATACCTCTTGTTCCGCTGGGGCACTCTTCATCTTTCGGCACGCCTTTGGTACGCTTGAGAGGCTTGCATACATCAACCGTAAAAGTAGTGTTATATAAGCTCGGCGGGTGCGGTCGAACCCATGATACTGAGTGAGGCCCGCTGAGAGGGCTCAGATCAAATGACTTGCCCTCGACCACGACATGCTCACAGTCAAAAGTAATCGCTGAAGAGAGTGATGCAAATTGCAATAAACTGAACGCTGAGACAGCTGCAGCGTCCCGGGACAACCGCATCGTGAACTACTGCTATCGTCGGAGGTCGGGACACTGTCGAGTGAGTTTCTCCTGTTTTGAAGGCTCAGGAGACAGCAACCGGAGATAAAAGAGATACTCAAAGGTCAGTGTAAGAGAGAGGAATAGTGAAGCTTGGGGTAACTAGAAGTGTCTTGCCCTGTCTCTAACTGTGAGAGTTTGTATTAGGCAAAACGGTCAGCAAGTAAGGTGCCGACACAACTCGGTGGACGCACTCGACAAGTGAAGCTGGTTGCGGATGACATAAGTCGTCCTGAAGCATTCATTAGAGTAGCAGTACTTGGCCATCCACTTCTAGTTCTCGGAAAGCGAGGTACAAGTACTTTAATTGCTTATTTACCCTGAAATATTCTGGAAGCTCACCCGTCGCTATCTAGACCGATATCCGGATCAGTAAAATTAAGAATACAGAAGAATCAATAACAATTAAAAAGCAAATCAAACATTGCCACTCGAAAATGTCCGTTTAATAGCTCAGTTGGTCGGGTCACCTGGAGATGAGCGAGTCTGCTGGGACAGCCAAGGAAGTATCACCTGCCACCTAAGCCGCCTTTGCCGCCCTCAGAGAATCCACAGTTGGTCCAAACGGTGCAGCTTTGAGCACCCTGGCAATGCAATAATATTTCAATGAAGGACCAGTAAAGGAAGAAACGGTGAGAATCACTTCATTTCAGGTTCACATTCGGTATATCCATTAAATCAAATCGCAAATGGAAACAATTTTTGTTTTTATTTCTTGACCCGAAGATTATTTTGCTCAGAACTACCACATAATTTTAAAATTATACTAGGAAGCTCGGAATACAATATACAACGCCAACCCTATATTTTAGCAGGCGGCCAGCATAATACATTTTTGGGCGATTGCTTCCAAACTATTGCAAATCAAGCAACAGTCCGCTGGTCCCCAAATTCAGTGTTATTAAGTCTATCCTGAGCGCTATGCTTCGCCTCATCAGAGACCTTCGGGTTGTTGAGCGTGCTATCATCGCAACATTAGCACAGTGTTCCAATCCAGTTGACTCTCTAGTCAGGCAGAGAAATGTCAAAACATTGGAATACTCACGCCTTCAAGCCCCCAGCAAAATTACCAGGGTTCTTTTGTCCATCTTGAGGAGACTCGTACTGACCGCCCTGGAACTCGTCATCGAGCACCTGTCGAGAGTGCTGCTTGGCATCCTCCGAGACATCTGATTACTTTTGCATCAGCAAGTGTTTTTTTTTCTTTTTTTTTTTTTAATGTTGTCATTAAATTGCTTGAAAGGACTCACTGGGGTTGTTCAAAGTAGCCTTGTGGCCGCCAACAATGTTTCCGGTGGACATAGTGATGGTATTATTTGACTTGAGTTTTAAAGACTTCGATTGGTTGCTGATATATTGAGAGCTGATGATTTAAAGAAGTTCAATGAACAGGGAAGACAGAAACTGTTTATATAGACTTCTCCCCCTCCTCTTCTCATCATGTTGGACTGACTCGACGAACACTCAGCACAACAATTCCACTCGCACATCTTGCAAAAACATGCCGGAGCAAATCGAATCAGGCAGTGATGACGCAGAAGATGCAAGGAATTTAGAAGATAATAACGCCCTTGAAATTAATCATGACGCGAAGATCTGAGATGATGAGATATACAGATCAGCCATTGTTAAGTGTTTAGCAAACAATCTCGATACTTTTCACCATTTTCTTCAGATCTATCTTACAGCTCCTTCCTTTAGCCGGTCAGTATGAAAGAAGCTTATCCCTAGAAAGCTAATGGTAAATCGTTAGTGTGGGAGACAAGGGTCCCCTTTCCTTCAGACCAACGGGCAAGCCAGGAACCATGTTTGCTATGAGGGGAAAAGAATCTGCAAACGGCCGTGCATACTAGGAAGCTTTAGGTAGTAATCTACCTTCGGCCGGACCGAATATGTGGAAATAAATGACGATATCATGAATAACCCCATTTTTTATTGTGTACGTACAGCAGAAAAAGCTTCTAATTGACAAGTTATTGGTAAGCTACTCCAGCGAGACTCTCCGAGTACTGTCTTCGTATAGTAGTAGATTTGAGGGCTTCATGACTCCTCTTTAAACGATGGCTTAAAGGCATGGAAACTCAGGGAATGCAGTGCCGATAATTTAAATACTTCATGACTGTCTAAAATCAACTAGTTTCAATGGTGTAACTTTGGAATTTTTGTGAACGTTGATTCTTCGATTGGACAGTATGATTTGAGACGAGATTCTTTGCCCGACGCATTCATGGCGTAATACCTAGGAATATAACATCAACTCGTATGAATGAAGATACTTTGTAATTGTAATCAGGTCACATCATTAAAAGAGAACTCATATATTAATTTTTACAGTCATGATGTTATGGCTAGTCCCTCGCATGGGACTAGGTAGGTCAATGACGCGAACGACTCTCTCCCAGACGCGTTGACCTTGTCCCGCTTATGCCGCGATCTCATGTGACGAGATTTGTCAGGCTGAACACAAGCATCAACATGTGTTGTCCTTTTCCAAAGCTGAAACTTCACGTCTATCTTCGATAATTCAATCATATCTCATAATTAGAACACTAGCGAGTCTGCAAGGTCCAGAAGAGGAACGGCAAGTATTAGTACGAGTACATAGAGAGTTCATGAAATATTCCTCAGCCCTTAAAGCACAAATTGTGACTCCTGAAATCGATTCACGTAAATCTGTCTCGTTTCCTTTTTCGTTCTTCCCCATTCAAGCAGTCCTGGTTCTGTAAATAGGCGTAGCAAATAGCAGATATAGTCCGAAAATAAAAGATACGATAAGAAAGCCAGCTTGACAGAGTAGATACGAGTGTTTAAAAAGATTAGTCTTTTATCTTTCGCAACGAGTTCGTCTTGTCTTTAGTGTACTGCCGAAAATTTTCCCCACGTCTAAGAAAACCTGAGCGTCATTGAACACCTTCCTTTTAATAAACCTTTCTCTTCTCGATAGCGAGATCTGTGGGGTACAAGATGTGGTTAGTAGACGACATTTATACTGCAGCTAATTGCTTCGCTAATCTACCAGGATATGATGGCTTACCTCTCGGCAATCGGTTTTCGCCTGGCCGGTAAGGCTCATTTGCAGTCTCACGAGCCATGTCATTGATCCATCGACCATTTGGTTCGAGCTTGTGACCTTGCGAAAGCTCCGAAGCAAGGTACAACCAGGATAAAGCGTTTCCTACTGTACCAATCTCATCACTGACACTGTGAGCAGCATATTTGCTCATTTTCTCATAAAGCTCATCATTGGTCCAGAGATCGTATAAGTGCTGCGCAACTGCATCGGTGTCGTAGACTTTGACAAGATAGCCATTCTTCTCGTGCTGCACTTGGAGAGGAATACCGCCAGCGAGTGTCGCAATGACAGGCTTGCCCTTATGGAGAGCTTCTGAGACTTTGACTTCAAATCCCTCCCGGGTAGAAAGCTGTAGAGCAACGTAGGATTCGGACAAAAGTGTGTTGAGCATCTGGTCGCTTGGACCAAGACGCATAACGGAAATGTCGTTGGCAAGATCAGAATAGAGGGATGAGATCGAGTCCATAGTCTGGTCGTAAATCCATGTAGCATCCGGATCGTCGACAGACCCGTGACCGCATCTGCATGAAGAGATGAAGGTGTCAGTCGTCGAAGGACGTCGGCTAATTCAATACGGGGAAGAGCTGCACCGATATGCACTTACAGGAGAAGCTGAGGAGTGTCAGCTCGGTCGAAATTTTTCAAATGATTCCGTCGAAATTTGGCATATGATTCGAGCACCTGAGGAATGCCCTTGGACGGATCGAATCGAGCAACCTGAACAATATATTTGCCTAGCGAGATCGATTAGTTTTGTCAGCCAGGGGTTTGCTGAGGTTTGACCATACGCGCAGGGTATTCAAGCTTTGTCCTACTCGATCGTAAGCCCCTGTCACAATTCAAAAAAAAAAAAAATCCCCATTCGCACTTACATATGAATGTCCTGACACTCTACATTGAACGCATGCCCATAATAACCCAAATCCCAGCTGTTCATGTTCTTGTTCAAGCCGTCAAGCCTGCTGCTGTCAGAGCCAGTTACTCCTAAAGCTAGAATGCTCTCACTTACCAATCCGTAGCAGCTCCTAAGTACCCGACCATCTGTTCAGGCACGTTGTGAGGGACAAAGCGGCTCACAGGATGGCTTATGAACATGTCGGCCTGCTTAATATCGTTCCACAAAAAGTTCCACGCCTCTGCCTGGGGACTGCCTTTGATATCCGTCAAATCGCTTCGGATTTCAATGTGGCTGCGGTAGACCACCAGCCTGTCCGGGGTGATCTTCTTGATCAGAGGAATAAGTCCAGGCATCTGAGGATCGTCTATGAAGACAACATCGACACCACCTTCAGATGGCGGCCGCAGCGGACCGCCCTTGGAGAACCAATATCGTTCCGCATTTTCCTCAATCCAGTTGGACAGGACAGCGCCTTGCGGCTCAGAGAGACGCTCGTCCGGCTTTGAAACGCCTTGAAGGATGTTGTGATTGGTTTTGGTAATGCGGAAGACGCCGGGCTTTGGTTTCGGAACATACCTTAAATTATTTTTAGCTGCGTTTCTTTCCTTCTGGAGGAGATCTAAACGGGACAAGAATCTTACCATCTCATGTCGACACCAATTGTCTTGAAGAAACGTATGAGGGCGTGCCGCATCAGGGCTACACCTCCGCCTTGAGGCGTGCTGCTGAAAAATGCTGCTTTCACCTTTCGTTTCTGAAGATCTTTGGTATACTTCATTACTGCGTTCCAGGTGCCCTCGCCAACGGTATTTTGGAAATCCTCCAACGTCACCAGTTGCGCGTGAAATCCAGCGTCTGTTTCAACGATGCCTCGGAAACCTACTTGCAACAGAGGTACTCGGCTTGGCCCAAAATACCTTCATCGAAAGCAATAAGTAACTGCGTCAGATACGTTGATCAGAAGGGGCTGCCTTACATAAGACATTTTCTGGCCATTGAGTCTGCTTGCTCATCGATACTCTTGATTCCCCAGTACTCAGAAGTATCCTGCATAGAGCGATCCAAATGAACATGCATTACAAATGGCACAATATCGAGTTGAGACCAGAGCCTGGAGCAGAGCTTGGGGCTCATCTCTCGCAAAACATCCGGCAATCCCACCCCCAGAAACTTGCACATGTGTTCACGCTCATATTTTCTCAGCTCAGAAACGATGTATTCACTGATGATGCTGGCTCGATCAAATTCAGCAGGCGTATCGTCCAAGTCAAGGCGGGCAACTGAAAAGTCGATGCTGTACACGCTGTCGTGGATTGAAATGGCCACAGCTAGAGTTTTAGGGGATTCGAGAGTGGCAGAGATTCCGGCGAATACAATCTACAGATATCGGTCTTGATGTAAGCATCAATGCCAGACAAAGTTAGGACCGTTTGTGCTGCAACTCACTTCTAGAGGAAGACTGAAATTGCCTTCTTTCTCAACTGCCATGCTCAGCCTTCGTTTTCTGTCAGTCGAGGGCCGAGTCTCAAACTTGTGCTTGAGACGGAAGGCCAGGATGGCGAGGGCCACCGGCCTCAAGCTCCTGGGCTTTCTGCCCGAGGGCGTCGAGGTGCCCGACGTGGACCGCGAGCTCATCAAGGATTCCAGTAGAGGCGTCATCTTGAAATATAATGTCAAGGCAACGATGCTGATTGAGGAGGTTCGCTGGCTACTGAGTGCGGACTTTTATAGGAGCAGTGCAAAATGAAAGAACGACAGCAGAGCGACGGTGGCCGTCTTGAGTGTGCTGCAGTGGTATGATGACTAGAGCGCTCACGAAGTAAGCGCTTCGTGAGAGAGGCGTGAGATGGAGGTCTAAAAGAGGTCAGGCGGTCGATGAGCCCTTAATCTGGCAGCTCTCGGAGCATTGGTCTGGATTGGACTGAGAATAGACGGCCCTTGGCTCCCGCGAGCCAATTCCAGGGGAGGACAAGCTCTGCACCATGTACAGCAAAGTGTAAGGTGCGTCACTGTTTCTGGACAGCAGTGACGTACGACAGATATGGCAAGGGACACTGTGGTGTAGACATGCTTTCCGGGGGTAAACCACAGCACAATACACGGAAATACATTGTGCGCCTGCCACACTGCAGCGTTCGTTGGCTAGACAAGATTGAATTGAAATTGATTCATGGCTCGCTGATCAAAGCAGTAGCAGTCTGGGCAACACAAATACTGCGAGCCTCCGTTTGGGTTTCAGACTACAGTTGAATCTCTGATTACCTCGTGCATGAAGCCAAAGTAATGCATGCACGCCCCTTTTTCTCCTATCACTTTCCACCTTGCGCTGCTTATGGCTGCCACGTCCATCCGAAATCGTGGGTGGCATGTGTAGTACCAAGGTGTGAAGCGTATATGTCTCGCCATTAGGACGACCAGACTGGGCGCTATAGCAAGGGATTGACGCGGGGGTAGACGCTCGGCCGTCGGGGGGATCGGCAAGGCAAGCCTCCACCCATCCCGCCCACGGCCCTTGTACCCCTCCGACCCGACTGGGAGGGTAGGGCGGGAAACAAACAAGTACTTGTGCATGAGAGAGCTACACGGCTGAGCATAATGGAAAAAACCATCGCTGGCTGGAAGAGTCCCCGGAAACCGCAATGCAGAGCTGAAAGTGGGAGCCAGCAGGGCGAGCTATGTGGGAGTAATGTCGGTTTAAAATGTGGGTAGTCATGTGCTTCACTGTGTGGTGTGAGACCTTGGAAGATTCGGAACAGCTAAAGCATCGTCGCTGCAATTACTAGCTGCAAACACTCACGCCGTCAACACTCGTACTCGGACATACCTAGGTAGGTAGCTATTAAAAGGTTCATTGCAAGACCGACAATTGAAATCTTTGAAGGAAAATCAGTATTCTTCTTTCTCTTCAGAATATTCTTTCTCCCGCGTGTCGTGTTAATCACCCCATTCTGACTTCACCTGATCGTGGGATACGAGCAGGGATGGTTGATGCAATGACGTTGGAAGAAGGACGGGGCAAGACTGAGTAGTTTGTGGGGAGACAGAAACGGTACTGAACTGTACTTTAGATAGCGTGGGGAAGCCAAATTAGCGGTGAAGGGGCTCTTTTTGTCCACTGTCTTCTCGCTAAACTTTTGAGTTGTACTCGTACACCGGTATCCCTTGTCTCCACAGTTCAGGGTCCTGCGAGGGTCCAACCGCCCTCCTCCCCAAAATCAAAACTTTTCCGACCACGTGGTCAGCCACAAGGAGAGAGAAAATTTAAGAACCTCTATTTCCTTTTGAAACCCAACCAAAAACTTTGAGTGTACCGAAAATTCGTTGAGACCTTGTTTCGTTTCTGCTGTCCGCATCAAACAAAGGGCTATTCGAGTGTTGTTTTGCTTCATGAGAGCGAGATCATCGCAAGGTATGCAATTTCCCACATGCGGGGTGTAACATATTCCCATACCATTGGCCCCGTAAGCCAAGCACGAGCTCTCTGGGCAGCACAATTTGCAATTGACGAATTGAAATTGCGAGTCATGCGTTATCCGGGGTTCTGCCCTAGAAAAACAATTTGACGAGGTTGCTCCATCAAAGTAGAATCGCTGGTAACAAAAGCCCGATTATCTTCGCGGCAAAAAAAAAAATTTTCAGATTCTTGACATTCAGAAGATCGATCAGTAATACGGATGCCGCGAGGAGAGGGGCTGATGCTGCCGTTGAGAAGATGCAAGACATACATCACAGCAAGAAACATATAAGCTGGCATTGGCGCTAGTCTATTCCGTAGGTACTTGTACTAAGGTATCGATTGGCACGATCCTTTCTTCATCTTCTAGATTCTGGGCAGTCAAGCTAACATTTACCGTTCTCGCGTGCTTTGACAATTGTGATCGCGAACCTTCACAAAGAAAAAAGAGCTGATATAGGACAGAAGGGTAGTGAAGATTCGACAAAGTAGCCCGGATATATGGGTAGTCAAGGATTGCGTAAAATTGAAGGGTTTTAATTTTTTTTAATTCTTTTTTAGATAGAGGCAGGTAAGCAGAACGGTACCCAGTATTAGCAATGAGTGGATGAAGTTTGGACTGCAGTCTCGGGTTGTAAATGGAAATGGTTACTAAATGAGCACAAATTTGTATGCTACGGGGCATGAGAAGGAGTCAAATTGAATGTACGAATCCCGACACAGGTGTATATGAAGTGAGGATGCGAATAAATAAAGGATAGTGGTAAGGATTCGGCCTACGCTCTTGATAGTGTAGCCGTGTACTTGGATGACAGACTGTACATATTGCTCCTCTTGATATCGCAAGATGTCATTTTACCTGCCCACGCAGCCGAAGCGAGCCATTTTATACCAGCAGTAGAGCAGTGCATGGCAAAACCAGGCATGCAAAATTTTCAACAGAATGTGAAGAAAAGTTGAGCGGGGTCCAAGTAGAGTCAATTCACTCGTCGGATTAATAATCGTATTCCGCATGGGAGGACAAAGCATGAAATGCATCTCCATAATGAAAATGATCCGTTTACTAGATCCTAAAGGCTTTTTCAATGTTAGCAAATCAACTGGAAAATAATTTTATTCCAGAACGAGGATTAGAGACTAAGATAGACAGGTATCAGAAGTGCGACAAGCGCTTTGTTGTGTAGTCTTGCGGCGGGGTCTTAAGCCGCCTCTTCAACACGGACCAAATTGTTTCATCATAGTGTTGCGGACCAGAGGGCCGTGAGGTAGGGTGAGGTGATGAAAGAGAAGGAGAAAATAAAGAACACACCTTCAGTGGCCAGCCATCGGATGGATTACATTTGGGTTTCAATTGATGCATACGGTCAAAGAGACCTGACTCCGGATTAATGAATAGTCCGCCCAGAGACTTGGTTTCACCCAAGCTCTAAATTGTGCACCAGTTGCGGAGATTAGATTTTCATCTCACAAAGCCCATTCCTACTATGCCTGTGGAGGGGCATGTTCCACGTCTTCAGGCTGCCATATTAGAGCTCTCAAGCAGATACTCTTCAAAGAAGAAAGCTTCACCGGGCTTTTCATTGACCGCGAGTGGAAAAAGAGCCAATCAGCCAGTAGAGGCGAGGGGCCGAAATTCTTCCAATTCAATCTTGGAAATATGCATGCCCGGAACGACGACGAGTCCCAAGTATCGGCTTGTCATATCCAGCTTGAATTTCGACTGCTCAGGCACCGTCGCGGCAGCTTTAGCAGAAGCAGAACGAATTGCTGCTGGTGAAGGATGGCGGTACTCATGCGTTCCTGCCAGAATTACATTTTGATCCTATCCAGGCGAATCCAGTCAGCTCTAGGTTCGCCGAAATTGCGAGATTAATGAGAAAGTAGAAATGGGCGTGGAACTGGTATTACTTGGAGACTTCAAACGAGTGTCAGTTGTAAAAAGAGAAGCACATACCCTATCAGTACATCTCATCTGGCCAACGAAGATGCGTGTATCAGTTGTGGTAATGCGCAGTTGCTTTCCCAGGAGCGACTGGAGGAAAAGCGTCGCTCCAGCATTATCGGGAGCATTGCTTGCCATGATGATTACTCATTGAAATAGCTGCTGCTGCAGTCTAGTCCAAACCACCCAAGATTATTAGAGACGATAGAAGGTCTCAAATATCGGGGTGACTGGCTTCTGGACGTTGGAAAGGAAAAAAGAGAAAGTGTGGTGTACGAGAGATGAAAAGTAGCAACCGAGTGAGCGCTGGGGCCCGGTTAAGTTAGTGGATGACCGAGGGACTGTCATTGGCTAGGCGAGGAACCGACAAGCACAATTTCGCGTGACCTCAACGGATAACTACCTGAAGGGAAACACAGGTTGTATAATGATTTATTCCTGGTAAAATAAGATTTGTTTTCCTGGTCTATTATTTTTAATGCATTCCACTCTGCTTTATTGTGAAACAAAAACAATACGTATTCGCTAGTTAAGAGGATCTGATGAAGAACAAAATGTGAGAGACCTGGACAGCAACGGAAGCTCGAACTGTAGCTCTGGCGACTATCCCGGGTTTGCTAAAGGAGCGACGGATAGCGACCAACATAGCAACCGACAGAAAGAAAGCCTGTCGATAATTCCAATCAATGCTTTCGGCCACCTCACATTTGTACGGCTTTGCTTACATCGCGCTCTTTGTCTGCAAATATGCTGAGGAGCTAATAACTACTAGTCATGCTTGTATGTAGAGGTAAGTCAATAATATCCGGTGAGTGTTTAGATGAGTTGGTTCGATTCATTTCCTCAAATTAAATCCCTGAAAAATATAATACTTGATCTGAAGTAACGCGGCTCCTGAAATTTTCGTCCTGGTTTTTGCATAAGTCTAACATTATCTGTGATATTTTCTTCTTCTCAATATTTACATCTCTTGATAATCAATCTATTAAAAAGAAAATGAGTTTATCTCTATAGGTTTGGTAAAGACAGGGATACTAATCAGGTACATTGATGAAATTGCAATACAGCTTACATATTATCCTCTCACATTTGCAACACTGCCAGCATCAAGTACTCTGGAAATTTGGTTTGCCTTGTCGTGATTTCTTTCCATGTACGAAGTATGGAGATTGCTCACCTAAAAAGCGGATTTGTCTGAACGGCGGGAGATGCCGCTGGGGAAGCTCGGGACGAACCCCAACGACTAGTTAGCATTTCCCCACAATCTCCATTGTTTGGTTCCTTCGAGTGTTTTCTCTTTTCTGAATACACCTGATCATTCGCAAAATCCGTCGATGCCTTTAAATGTTGTTCCATATCTTTTGCTGAACTCATAATCCTGTAAAATCCAAGTTCTTCGTCATCTAGCGGGATGAAGCCGACTACAAGGCTGCTCGCGCCCGGCTTCCTGAAGCGGAGCTTGGAGGAGCTGAAGAGATATACAAATATTGGTAAGTACATGTACTTTGAGAAGAATCTGCGGCAATTCGAAGCCCTCGAATCTCTTGACATCTATAAAATCAGTATCTTTATTCATATTGATTGGTGTAGTCATAAAACAGGAAACCATTTACGGACCATCAGGGCCATATGAGCTGGTTAACTTTGCGGACCCCAGCTCAATCACTGCATGCAAGACCATGTCGGATGTCGATATTGGAGGATTTTCAGAAGTTGCCTTAGATCATGTGCCAGGAAGCAATGACGAGCCCGCACATGCGCGCTTTCACGGGTCTATATCTGTCGAACTTCCACCAGATAGGCCCGAAGTTCATCGGACAGGCTACGCTGCCTGGCGCACGAAAGATAGGCCTCCAAGTATATTTGGAAAGAGCCTGTGGGATATCGATCCGTATACTTATGTCGCACTCAGAGTGAAGTCAGATGGACGGAAATATTTTGTCAATGTTCAGACAGAGTCAATCGTGCCTACAGATATACATCAGCACCGCCTCTATACTCGAAAGCCTGGGCAATGGGAGACAGTACTTATCAAGTGGAACGACTTTGTCCGTACCAATCATGGGGTTGTCGTGGAACCGCAATCCGAAATGCTTCGGCAAAGAGTGCGTACAATAGGAATTGGATCGATAGATAGGCTTCCCGGCCCTTTTGATCTTTGCATAGGCCGGATATGGGCTACCAACAAATTGACCGAAGAAGAACTTCGGGAGGATGATAGACTCGATCAGAACATCCCTTGGAAAGGAGACACTGCAGAAGGAACGCAACGACTTCGAAGAACCAACCATTAAATAATTCTGCCAGAGTAAACCAATTGAATATGATGACCGGCTGGAGAGTTGTAGACTTCACTCATCTCTATAATTTCCACATTGTGAAATGCAATTACAACTCAATAGTCTGCTGGTTGTCGACCTATTTTGGAACGTATAACGAACCTAGAAGTCATTATGAACGCAAACTTATCCATCTCATTGGATCATCTTTCGTTGCATGTCCTTCAAGCTGATACCTCGATTGTCGCAGCGAGATACAATTACATCTCTCTATTACGACAGTTCTTCATGCTACGTCCCTGGCATCATGATCATGATTATCTCCAATCTGACAGCTTGCCTAAAATAGCCGGCTCGTCTCAGGAAATTTCTCGAGAGGATTTATTGTTTTTAGGAGATTATAGATGTACAGCACATCATTGTGGATTATTTCGGCTGTCCTTGTGGTGATACCGCAGCCGCCCTGGACAACCAAGCCGTTGCGCCTGGCAACCCGATAAGCCCCCGGACATATACAGAGACTACACACCGCCTCATCCGACATCCGCGGCAGTACCCACGCGCTCTCACCGTCTGTGCGCAGAACCAGCGCTCGAGTCTGTGCCATTGTTTTTTGATCTGTCTGCCCAGAGGCTGTCTTGAATTTTGCCGTTAATTCGTATGTCGTTTTCACAGCGTGTATTGCAGCCGTTCCTCCCCTGGTCAAGCATTGTTTACTTTGAAGTTACGCTTTTTGCAAACGGGAAAGACGAGCCAAACATTGACGAAGAAAAAAAGAGCGCCATCTGTTTTCTTCAAAAAAGTGTAGTGGATATTCGCCCGATCTTGTTTAGAAGGCTTCAATAATATCCTTGGCGCGCAGGACGCCGCCAAAACGTCAGCATGTCCGCAGGTGCCGATTTCTCAATATATACGGACCCCTCGGCGCTTCCTACACCAGATTCTACTTTGGGACGCTCTTTCGATGAAGCATCTCTGGCGGCTGTGGAATCAAAATATGAACAAGCAGGCTCAGTCAAAAACCTCATGGACAGCATTGAACATGAAGACATGTCCCTTCCTCGCTCACCCACAATGACGCATCAATCCGAAGATGTCATATCCGAAATGCCGGAGGATTCGGTGATCCAGACGATATCTTTGGATGAGCGGAGCGGACAGTATGCTCCCTACAAACAGCGTTCTCCATTCCGCAGCCCGTCTTCCGTGCGCGCTCTGCAGATGGAGACTCCGCCGCCTTTCAATGACTTTTCTTCGCCAAAGTCCTACCGACACAGACTCAGCACAACTTCGCGCCACAGCACGCCTCGCTCGATCCGATCCGAGGGAATGACGGTCAGGTCAAAAAAGACGTCTTCGAATAACAATAATAAAAAGGAGTTTCCGCTCGTCCTCTTACATGTTACCATCATGCCGATTCATTTTCCATACTCGCAAGCCACAATGGACGCGGTGCTTCCACCGGCCATTATCGACAATTACAAAGTTCTACGAGACAAGGTCTCGGACACGGTTCTTGAGCGAGGAATTTTGCTTCCCCATCCAAGAGACGAGTACGAGTTGCTCGAAGAACGTCTGCTCGAGTCACTTGAGCTAAAGGCCCCTCGGATTTCGAAATGCGGACATTTTCACTACCACAATGAAGGCGACTCGAGCGACGAATGCAATGAAGAGGACGAGGATGAGGGATTTGACAGCGAAGGAAGTAACAAGACTGAAAAATGCGGAGATTGCGGCCAGAGGGTCAAAGATGATCGCCACGGAAGCGGAAGTCATGGCCGAAGATGGAATATCAAAATCTACGCTGCTAATGGGCTTATGCGGGCTGGGGCATGGACCGCGGCATGGCGCGAGATGGAGCGTATAGATGTTGAAATCTCGCCATGGGTGCCGGAAGCACTACGCCGAAAGCTGGACTGGAGGCAGGAAAGGGAGGACGCAGGTGTATCGCGCGATGCTGGAAGTCTAGCCAACGGCGAGGACAAATTCCTTGAGAAAGATGGTGAACAATCTGAATACGTCTTCCATGACCAATCATTTCTGGATGACGACGGAGAGCAACGGGACACCTCATTTCCATCAATGCAGCCGGTGGGGATGAGTAATGATGACGAGTTGGACATGACATATCAAAATGGTGACCATCGTCGACCACCAAGCATGACCCCACACGCAATGTCCGAATTTGATGCTGCAGAAGGTTCCTTTAGAGCAGCGTCGTCCAGTGGTATCGACATGGGTGCGAATATTTCTGTCCGAGGAACACCTACGCCCACACCTGGCCCCTTTGCGATCTCTCCAGAGGGACTTGCCACGCAAAGAAGCAAAAGCGCCGGTCATATTCCGCTCGATCAATTGACTGAACAAATTCCGTCCTCTCCTCGGCCGCGATCCCGTCGAAGTCCTCACCATGACGAAATCCCCTTGGCAACGTTGTTGCGAAATTATATTTACGTTCTCGCTCGCGATCGGCGGAATGTTGCGATTGCAATCCTCACCCTGCTCGTGTTGATTCTGGCCCTGCGTTCAGCTCCTGGGGTAACAGTGATGCCTGCGACGTCTATACCTGCGATGCCGTCCATGCCATCAGTGCCTTTGGAGGTGCACAATGAGCAAGCCAGGCAGGGACAAGGCTACCCTGGTGAATCAAGATTTCCAGGGACAGTTCCTTCGCCAAAACCAGCTGTATCACATGACAACACCAATGACTACGAGGAGCCCTTTTCTTCCTCTACTGGTGAACATGTCACTCGTCCACGTTCGTCTCACGAACCTGCCAAACTATCTCGTCAGGGTCATGATGACCCGTACGTGGCTGTCCACGAGGCCGAACCACAATCGGAATCATTGCGACCGAAGAAGGGTCAGCTCAAGCCGGTCAAACGTACAAAGAATACGCCAGCGCATGGAGAAGCTGTCACCCAGGATCTATCTCCAGGTGCACCACAGACAGATGATTCCGCAGCACATGCCAAATTACCTATTGCTCCTGCTCCTGCTGCTGCTGCTGCTGCTGCTGCTGCTTCTATCCCCAGTGAACCTCCCGCTGCAGCATTTCCCGCTCCCGTCGCTGCCGGAGTTGGTGCTGCTCCTGCCGACGTATCTTACCCTCTTGATGCTGAAGAAGACGATGACGAACACGGCAACGACAACGACACTGATACTGAGAGGGATAGTTATACTGCTCATCCTGATCCGTTACCCTAGAGGAAGCTACATCAGAACATCATCTATCCCGCCTCTCACACCGCCGTTGCAAACTCGCAACGCCACAACGAAGTGACTATGACGCGCACTCGGCTTGGTTCACATGCACATGAGCCAGTCCAGGAAATGACGAGCTTCCCTTTCATTCTTGACTTTCATATCTCATTTTCAAACCTGGCAGCTTGCTCTAGATAACTAGGGACTCAGCAGATGCGGAAAAGTGTGGAAAAGCGTGGACATGCGTGGAATAAGCGCGTGAACAAAGACGCAGACGGAAATACTTACCACCGACATCCCTCTGGAAGATGTTGACGCTGACATTGACGCTGACATTGACGCTGACATTGACGTTGACATTGACATTGACGCTGACGCTGACGCTGACGATGGAATGATAATATGCGCATTTCTTTCTGTTTATCATACTGATGCTTACTTGTGCTGCTGTTATTGCTGTTATTGCTGTTATTGCTACTGCCTTTTTTTCCATTTTATTCCTTTTCAACCGTTCTTTACACTGCCATTTCATCATCATCATCATCATCATCATCATCATCATCTTCTTCTTCTTCTAATACTCCAGTTTGTTTCATAAGCGTTCATTCATTTATATCCTAAATCTATTCAGACTTTACCATAGCACATAGCACACCATTTATTCTGTCCTGCATTCATCTCCCTTCCCTCGTTCCATCGACACTATTAAGTCGTTGCCTATCTTTTGCTTTGAGAGAAGCATACTGGAAGTATTGCCGCACAATATTGATACGAATTCCACATAAACCCCAGCCCAGACAAGGACATATGGGCGTTAGTAAATATCAACACACACCCACACACCCACATACCCACAAGCTTTCTCTCTGTCTCTCTCTCTCTCTCTCTCTCTCGCATGAGCAAATTCATTCTGTATATCAATAATCTAGCATTTCAGCGTAGTGAAAACTTCTTTAATAAACCTCCTTCTATCACTAGCGGACTAGCGGACTAGCGGACTAGCGGGCCAGCGGGCCAGCGGACCAGCACAGGCACTTTGTCATTCCTCATACTTGTCCAGTTCTTTACACAAAATGTCACATTGCTGACATGTACAAGGTACATAAGACACACCATATCTCCATTCATATCTGATGGATTGAATTTTGTCTATTCATAGTATAATCATACTTGCACGCAGACATCTCCATGAGATTCATATGTAAATTATATAAATAGAAAAATAAAAAAACATCACACGTTGCAATCAGAATGGCAAAAGTAGTATATATGTAACTAAATTATTTAAAAGTAGATATGTAAAGCCAAGTACCAGTAACAATATGAAACCATCTATACACACATCATCATGCCATCTCTAATACCCATAAAAAACATCTTTGCCTATGTTGATTGCAATCGAGTATTTAGCATGGGGGAGCACAGCATAAGAGTAAAACTTGTGTAAATAGTTGCAAGAGCAATAGGTTGCAAGCTATTGAGCAGCACAGGTGTATTACAGGTTGATAAAAGTAGAAGAGAGATTACTCAAGTGGAGAAGATGACAAAAACGATGAAAGGAGATAAGACCGGAAAAAGAGAAAGAAAACAATAAAAGCAAAACAAAGGCGCTGGCAAGGGACAAGGTATCTTAGTCTATAAAAGTGGAATACTACTGCAACAAATCTTCAACAAGGAAACACGCGAGTAACAATGGGGAAAGCAGTCTCGTAGATTGAACGAAAAGAGACGCGGAAGAAACGCAAAGAAAAGAAGATTCGCTAGATCGCTGGAGGTAAAAATTAATGGAATGCGAAAAGTAAAAGAGAAAGACGCAAAGAGATTAGCCAAGGAAGAAAGAAAAGAGAGGACAAGAATGTCCAAGATATTCAGTCGAGATGAAAAGACGTTTCAGCGACGTATTCAAGATGAAAGAATACTGCTAGAAGGACATGGAGAACAGACTAAAGGCGAAAAAGATGCAAAAGATCAACTGGAGATGCTCATCTGCCCTGAACAGAGAGTGTGAAAATATGTAAAGCGAAAATAAAATGGCATCCCAGCTACGTCAGGAGGCTAATATTTTGACTTTCCGACGAGAGAGTAAATGTACGCCGTTTCGGCCTCGGATTTCAACTAAGATTCAATCAGCATCTTTTCATTATAGGGCACAGGCCAACTCCGTTGCCATTTCCCGGATATGGCCTCTCTAATAAATCGTGGCTGGTAACATACCTGGATCATATAAATGTGTGCCTTGGCTCCGCCGACACCTCCAATAGCACCAACGCCACCAATCTCGCCCTTCGTACCAACACTTTCTTCCCACACACTCATGGCGATACCCGTGCGCGCGACGCGCTCAAAGCAGCTGTCAGTGAGACATACATCAAGCAAACTCTCGCCCTTGGTCTTGCCATTGATGACGATGCGCTTCTCGTTGCCCTTATACAGGACTTGCTTGAGGCCAGGGGACCCGGGCAGGGCACCGTCGGCAGGAGGACGGAGGATTGTGAGACGCGCCGAGCCCATGTCCCGCCATTTCGAGGCAGTTTCACGACGGTAGAGACGAATCTTCATGTTGGACATGCCGATGGCACCTTGGTTCGGGCTGTTGGGATCAATCGGTGTCCCAACGGGCGATGACCCGGAAGATGTAGAGTAGACGCTGTTAGGCCGACTGGCGGTATTGTCGCCATTTCGAGACGTCACGGTGCTCTTGGATACATTGAACATGGCGCCACCACTGAACCGTTTGAGTGCAGAAAATGCAGATGTAAAGCTGCCCACGCTACTCTCGGTTTGGGCAATGCTGGGCGTTCGTGTGCTGGAAGCCGCGCGGTAACTGCCTCGCCGGCCGAGACTGAACCAGCTACCGCTTCCGCTGCGCGTGCTGTTGCGACGAGCGATTGACGTAGCGTAGCCATCGCTGTATGAAGGACGTGCATTTTGCAACGCAATGTAAGTCGGGTTGTTGATGCGGGATGTGTTGATCATGGCGTAGAGATTCTCGCATTCTTCTGCATTTCGAGATCGAAACATGACATTGTTACCGCACTTTATTCTCGAGTTGGCCGTTGGAGGAGAGCGAATGGAAATATCTAATGCTGTTCCCCGGCGGAGCTGGACGAGCGGTGTCAACTCCAGTGCCACGAGGGGTCGCTCGCCGCCATTGTTGCTGCCTCGGTCTTGCGGCGAGCCTCCGCCACTGTCGGCATTCTTTCCGGCTGAAATCGGGCGAGAATGAGCTGCACTCATCTCAAAAGCTTCAATCAAGCCCGGTGTAATCACAACACTGCATTCATCAGGGTGCAGGTTCTCCCACATGCCCTTATCGGACCAGCTGAAAATAGAGGCAATAGCTTTAGATGATTTAGCTGGTTGCGGCGGCACTGTTTTGTAAGGCGCCTGTGAAGCTGATTGTGAAGGAGTCAGTGTTGTGTTTCCAGCGGGGAAAGAGTAAATAGAGCCATGTGGCGAAGTCTTTCCAAAGCGATGGAGTGCCGCCAATGGCAAGAGTGGAGTGGGCGCGTCTCCATCTTCGAGCTCCTCGGAAGATTCAGATGATGACGACCCATCGTCGGATTGCGTATAGTCACTTCCAGAAGATGACCCTGATACGCTGGATGGAGCATATTCGTGCTTGAGAGGTGACGAGGAACGTCGCCGTATGTGCCCTCCCGATTTCGGTGGTAAAATTTCTGGTGGACGAATTCTATTTGCCTGCTGGGGGCTAGGGGATCGGTGAGGTGGAGGCGGTGGCGGAGGAGGCGATGGAGGCTCTGGTATGTCGCGCTCAGATTCGGCTTGTTCATTCTTGAATCGGTCTGCTGTTGGCTTCTTTCGAAGTGCTGGCGGAAGCTCAAATGATGCTGAAGTTACCGAAGGTGGCTGTGAAATGGACTCTTCTGGAGATGGTGGTCTGGTTTGTTTGACAGACGAAATCGACTGGCTACTTTTTCGAAGGCGAGGCATGCTAGGTAGCTCCATTGATGGAACGGATGAAACAGACCGAGCAAAGAGGGGCCGCACAACATTTTTGATGTCTTCATCTTCATCTTCGTCAGTGTCTCTGTCGTGGGCATGAAAGGCCCGATGCGTATCAAAGCTAGGCTCAGAATGCCGTGATGGTCTTAGGATAGGATCTGACTCCGCTCTTGTGGCAGCACCGTGAAAGATAGATGAGGACGCTGCACTCTCAGCATCTGTTATATCGTCATCTATCTTTGGAGGGGTATCAAAGGTAGAGTGCGCTCGTTTACCATCCTCCTTAAATCGCGTCGATAGAGGAGATCGCAGATTCGGTGAAGATTCGTGAGCTACCCTCGAGACCCTTGTTGCTTTAGTTCGTCTCAGGCTTGAATTGAAATCGGTCGAGGGCGAGTCCAACAGCTCATTGAGATCATTGGGAGTTCTTGACTCTCCCGATACACCCGAAACCCTTGGCGATTTCTGTAATCGTCTTCGCGGCCCATCTGCATTAGGAGATTTTGATTCTTCTGGTTGCTTCTTCTGCAGTCGTGCTCTCTCATTTGATGGTGGAGCTTTGGGAGCAGCTTCCTGGCTTTTGTTCTTCTGTTCGCTTGATCTGGGTGGCGTCTTCGGGCTCCAAGTCATCGATGATGTTCTGGCCTGCTCTCCAATAGGCATGTCAATTTCTGTGGGACTTGGAGGATTAAAATTCCGGTGTGCCGTTCCCGGACGCGATGAACTCGAGGGTTCATCATGATTCAGACTGTGATGCCGTTCATGCCGACTAATAAAACTCTGTGTCCTGGTTATACTAGGTGGGACAGGATTTAGCCCAAGCATTTGCACCCATTCAAAGCCCGCTTGCTCATCGTCAATGGTGAGTGAGAGAAGTTCCTGCCACTCTTGGCCGTCACTCAGCGTCCCACGAATCATGACTACTATCTCTCCTTTGAGGTCACCATTGCGTGCAGATACACGGTTCAAGCTGGTGGGTGGGAACAACAGCCACCGGCCTATATCATCAACTTCGCAGACGAGGAGATCGCCGCTTGAGCCTTTTTCTGAGGCGTCATCTCGAAGGAGAAGTTCCACGCGACAGTCAATCCACTGCCCACTTGTATGCTGCAGCTCCATGTCAAAATAATCCCTTGCACGTACGTGCCGGCTCGGATCAACCATGACACCGTCCAATGGCGCAAGGCTATGCGGGTCTCGTGCGCGTGTAGCATCAATGGCTGCAGCGGCCTCGTCTTCCAGTCTCGCTCTTTCGTCATTGGACCGTCTCCGGGCCTCCGTTACAAGCTCCTGATAGCGGGTTGCCGTAGCCTTGGCTTCCTTTGATGGCTGTAATTGATTTAATCCCTGCAGCACAGTTAACACACATAGTGGCAAAAATCACGGATTGGTTCGATACGTGCCTTGAATGTCTTTGCAAGGTACTTCAGACGAACAAGAGGCCGCTTCAATAAAAATGCGACGTCAACTCGTTCCCCATCACCATTAACGATATCGCCATCTTCGTTCATGGGCAATCCGCTATATCCACTTCCATCCCGTCCACTCGCATCCTGGGATCTGTTGTCGCCATCAACGGTAGATGACTCTTTTGACGCAGGAGCCAAGTTGACCACTACATCTTGAAAGCCCATTCTCCAGGATTTAAGATAGTCCACGTAGACTCTTTGAGCCCCTTGTGCCCACGTGAGGAGAGCAGCTGGATCACTTAATGGAACTCGTTTGTGCATTGACTTGAGCCGCTCCAGAGCGACGCCCATGTCTACAATTGGACGTGTGATATTCGGATCGTTGGGAGATGCATGCTGATTAAATAAACCAGCAGCCACAGCCGATTCGCTTTTGGAGAGGACGCAAGAGAGCAAAACGGGAATGACGCCATCAACCAAGGTACACAGTTCGCGCATGTACTTGGTTTCATCAGAGGCAAGCTCTTTCATCAAATCGCCCGTCGTAGCTGTGGCCAGGCGACTTCGATTCGTCCGTATGCTACGAGCTGATCTAATGCTCCCGTTGCGGCCCCTGGGCAGGGACAAAACGGACATGAGATCCGCGTGTGTTGTTAATCTCCGTTTCAAACCCGTTTGGCTACCAGCGACTGAGTGCATAAAGTTAGGATCAAAGCTGTCACCGGCTTCAGACTCCGGAACATCAGGGTGAGGGGCCTCGGCCTGAATGGTCTTTTCCGAGAAAGCTGTAGCGCTTCGCAGCGTGTCAACAGAAGCAATGGTAGACAGCTGCCTTCCTTGCGTAGGTGGGAAACGCCGCTTGAGAGTACCATTTGGCCCCTGAAATACGAGACTTGGCTGAGAGGGGTCAGGCAAAGAGAGAGCAGTGCTATCCGCACCCTCGGTCTTCGACCCCGGTATCTCTTGAGATGTGGGCCGCGGGCCACCATGCTTGATTGTTGTGATCGACTGGCGTTTTGCGCCTGACCTTTTCAGCGGTGAGCTCGACCTAGACTCAGAGGGTTCAGGCTCGGCCAATTCAAGCGCGGAACTGTCGGTAGTAAGACTCCTGGTAGGGTGATCAACTGAGGCGGGTGGCGAGACGGGAAGTTGCGAACGACGAGCGTCCCTGCGTCTCTTGCTGCCGCTGCTTCTCGGTCGTTGCAGCTCATCTACCTGGTTTTGGGGGCTCGAACTGGTATCCGACACGGGCTGACCTTTTGGTTTAGCAACGCTCGCTCGCTTTACGGGCTTTGTTGCCTTGCTTGAAGGGCCAGGAGGCTCAGTTTCTGCAACAAAGGGATCTGCGGTCCCGGTGAGCCAGGCTTCAACCCTATTTCCAGGGATGCGAAGCGGTGCCGGACGTAGGCCAGGTTCATTTGATAAGCTCCTTTCCTTCTGGACCTCTTCCGTTTGGAGGCTTGACTTGGAGGCTTGAGGATTGGGGCTGCGCTTGCCCCCACTGCGGGGGGAGCGCATCGATAGTTCAGGGGATTGGATGTTTTGATCACGGCTTTGGCGGTCGCCTCTGCGCTTTTTCGTTGAGCCAGCTGTAGGAGAAGATCTCGAAAGATCATTCTGACTTCTCTCGCGGCAATTGCCTTTGCTCGGTGGAGTCAAAGTCGCTGTTGAACTTTCGCTTTTCCCACCGTCTCTACTACGCGACCTTGGCCTTCCTTTTCCTTCTGTCGTCTTCGTCTTCATATGCTTCGAGCGACCACTCGCTGGTGTACGATAGACACGTATGCCGTCATCCGTAACAGTGCGTGATTTCGGTGGGGAAGTTTCTGCATCTTTGTCTGGCGTCGAGCGTTTCTTTTCTCGTGGTTCTCGGATTGCTTTTACTCGGATGCCATCATCGGGCAATTTGGTCTTCGGAGTCACAGGTGTTCGCTTGCCCATGCCTGTTGTGATGGCTTCCCGTGGTGGTGACCGTTTACTTCGCCAGTGTTGATCACTGACTACCCTCTTCCGGGGGGCGCTACCGCTGCGAGCTCTTGCTTGTGGCTCCTCATCGATTACTTTAATCTTATGGCGACTGCCTCGGTGTTCTGGCGTATTCTCCTTTTCACTGACACCGCCGGGGCTCCGCCACTCGCCAATGTAATCCTTTCCGTCTTCATTCGTAGGAGATATGATGTCGTTGTTATTGTTCTCGTCACCCGATGGCGTTGACACCTGTTCCTGCCACTTTCGTACCCTTTCCATAACTGAGCTTGAAGCATACTGGGTACCAATCTCCGCCCGATCGATGGTCGGGCGAGTTGCCCGCTTGATCTCAGAGGTCATCGAGTCGGAACGCGTCACATCATGGCTATGGTGCCTTTGGTGATGTGGCCGATGGGACGTGGGTGTCGTCGAAGGAGACGGCATTGCCTACGTGGAGCAGGAACGAATTAGAAAATGATCCGTCGACAAAAAGTTGTCATTGTTTACGTACTGGTCACACAGCCCGCATGTGCGGTAGGCAGGTTATGGTGGGTTATAGTGATGGTTGTAGCGTTTCACAATGAGCAGCGTTTCTGGCTCAGTTGTCGAGGCAAGCTCGGCTGTAGGGTGAAGGATCAGCGATCGGGACGGTCAATCCATCTGAGTGGTGCAATGCCCGACAAAGGATTCACTTGAAGAATAACGGCAGCAAAGGTGGCTTGCAGAGCGTGGCCAGTGAGATGCTGTGACGAGATGCGGTGTCGTAGCAACCAAAGCGGCAGCCGATAAGGTTGGGGCGGTTGTAGGGACAAGAGCATGCCCTGTTATTATAGACTGGCAGGGATGGTGGCCCAGTTCGGAGCTTCAGCTTTGATTGTTTGTATCGTGGCTGATCTCTTTCAAACAAGCCATTGGACAGACATGGATGCATTTTATCAACGTGCCTTGCTAATGCCATTCTTTTCCATCGATACTAGTAACCTAGGCAGACTTCTTGAAAACTCTTCAATATGAGTCTGTGTGTGCGAAGATTCGTGCATGAGAGACTGGGTTAGCAAAAGCTTGGCATAGGGATCCTCCCGTTATGCCTACTACCCAGTAAATCCACTTCACTCAATACAATTATCCAAAGAGAGATTACAGAACATATGAGATGTAATTTTCTTCATTAAGAAAACCTTTGGTCGTAGTAACATTTGTGTCAACCCTAAGTGAAACTTGGTTGGAGCGATTGTTTACATGTGTTGTTGTTTAGCTGAACGTGGATGGATTAGGAAAGGACGGGGTGGGGGAAAAGAGACGAAAACCCACTTGGTGCCTCCCGAGGTCCCTTCCTCGCTCCTCAGCTTGTTTCTGATCATGGCCCGAACCGAGCACCCAATCATCCATCCCTGTCCAGCCACTTCCTCATGATAACCATTGTACTCCGTAAACATAATAATGAGCATAATGCGGTTACCACATAGAATAATGCATAGCAGCAAGGATGGACACGACTGTGCATAATGTTGCAGTCCTCCGATTAACTTAGGGCATATCTCCATCCTTCCATCCATTGTTTTTGTCTCTGTTTCCCTACGCGCTTGACGCCTAAGGCAATTAACTTACGTGGACCCCTAACACCCTATACTTGTCTCAACGGCACAATTTCCCTTCTTTTGTCTGTGATTCGATCTTGATGTCGAAACCCTGGTCTCTGTCCAAACGGTAGGTCCCTTGACCACTTACTTGACTGTCTCTCAAAACCATAAGGTAGCTACGTAGTCTTATAATGTTGCTAAGTAATATGGATTCACTTGATACTACTAATTTCTCATCTTCGAATAATGCCCCAAACTCGCCGAACCTACTACTTTAGAGTCACATGTCCAACCAAGGCTTGTTAAATGCTAACAAATTGAGGCTCCAGATATCCTGTGTCCATCGAGTAGAACTACATCTAAGCCCGGAGAGCGAGAAGCTCTATTCCGTTCCTCTCTAGACTTCGATCGTCCACGGGCTTGTCATGTTCCAAGCATTGCTTGGCCGTGGGTAGAGGCTCAGCAAGTGCGATTAGACATGAACAACAAAGTCCAGTCCACAATGGACTATGACCGAACACAAGCTCGAAATTTCCAATCAGAACACAATAATAACGTGCTCAATAATGACTGCATGAGAAAAAGAATGCTGCTTCGAGGCGAAGTCGATCTTGAAGAAGCACTAGAAAGCGAGGAAGATATGAGGTTAGCGCTGCAGTACCCTTTGAAAATGGGCGAATTCTATAAAGAGATGGCAGAACGGTCCGAAGAGATTCAGGAGCTGGTTGCATCACATTTCGGTCTTAAACGTAACGAGTCAGCAAAGATCACTGTCGGGAAACCCTTTTCGGCAGACAACAAAGAAATATGGCAACATGGAAGCTTTAATCTTTGCATTCGCGTGTCAACCGAGGTCAAAGGTTTGCCAAGATGGCTGGCATTTAGAGTACCTTTGCCGTTTAAGCTGGGCGACAAGACTGCAGAAGGAAAAGGGAACTGTGAGGAGAAGCTGCGATCTGAGGCTGCAACACATATCTGGATCCGGGAACACTGCCCGGACATCCCAACTGCTAAGCTCAAAGGGTTTGGGTTGCCTGGTGGGTTAAGTGTAGGTCTAATCTTTTGGTGTTTCCCTCCAAGGGTTGGCCCAGCATGCTAACAGGTAACGGCTGCTTTCAAGTTTTTTGAGTCAAAGTATCTCTCTTTCTGGCTTCGAATTAAAACCTCAATCTGGAGGGTTTGCAGCTATCTCCTTCGGGGTTCGCGCTTCTGTGAATATATCCCACAGAGGAGATCGACCTTTTTGGAACATGGATATATCATCACCGATTGGATTGAAAATCAGGATGAGCGCCTTCTCTCCTCACGAACCCTAACGCCAGAGCAGACTTGCAACCTCTATCGGAGCATGTCGCAGATCATGCTATCCCTTAGCAGAGTCTCGCAACCACGCATCGGCTCCTGGACAATTAATGATCATGGTCAGATCAGCTTGTCAGGTCGTCCATGCATGTTACATTTATTTGAGCTGGAGAACGCCGGAATTCCCACTCATATCAAACGCAACATAACATATACAAATGCAGATAGCTTCTACCTGGACATGTTATCTTGTCACAATAAGCGCTTTGAAATTCACCCTAATGTGGCTCAGGACAGAGTTGATGCACAAGGGGTAGCGTCTGACTTAGTTATGATGCAAATCCTTTTCCCTCAATTCATCGATCGCCGCCTGCGGAATGGCCCTTTTCTCATGAGACTAACTGATGTGCACCCTAGCAACGTTTTTGTCGATAAGGAAGGGAAGGTCTCACATATTATAGATCTTGAATGGGCTTGCTCTTTGCCTCTGACTTACCAGCTCCCACCGCTTCGGCTATTTGGTGAATTTCCCGAGAGTCCCGATGACCCGAATTATGAAGCATTTTGGACAGCCTACAATGAGTTTGTTGCTATATTTCAGCAAGAAGAGCAATCCAGGGGCTTACTCGACGACAACGGAATAGCTTATTCACAGGCAAGCATGATGAAGGAGGCGTTCGAGACCGGCCGAATCTCATACCTATATGCATTACAGAATCCGCTAGGCTTGTTTAATATTGTCAGATGTCAACTAAAAGGTTTCTTTGATGAGGTTCCAAAAGAGCAATTAAATTCTACTCTTTCGCGATTCTGGACAGGCAATATGGGCGAGTTCATGTCAAAAAAATTGGAACAGTTTGAGACTTATAAGCAAGAAGTCATTAGCATTTTTAACAGCGATAGATCCCTATTCATTTAACTTTGGAAAGAATACAAGAGGGAACGTGTCTCATCATATCTCTACTCCCTAGTCTCAAATGAAATAGGCATTTGAAGAGTTCTCCTTTGGGGGATTTTCATTCGCATCACCCTCACAAGCCTATTAAAAATTTCAGATCAAACTTGTCTTCTTCTGCTCCGTGCTGCAGAACCGGAACTGCTAAGTGCTTGAGCCGAAGCTGCATTCTGATGCATTGTCCGCGCAAAATTCTCCGCAGTCCTGTCAGCGACCGGACTGGGCGGCCCGCCGTGTTCCAATGCCTCAAGTGTCCTCTCGTGGCTCTCTCGTGGCTCTCTCGTGGCTCTGTCGCATCACCCTCTGATGTGCTATTAATACCTGTACTCGCACCTCCAGCGGAGGCCATAGAACCCCGAGAAGCTTGGGTCCCAGACGGGCCTTCGCCAGCGCCAGTTAAGGAGCTAGTCGCAACACTAGACGTGTCCGGGCTCCATCGGCTAACAAGAGGAGCTGCGGCTTCCAGGCTCACAGTGGTCCGGCTCGACAACCCCGACGGCCCTTCTGTTGTGCTTGAGGCTGCAAGGTCGGAAGGGAGATCTGTCTTTGATTGAGACGCGACCGACATGAGACTTTAGTTACACTATTTGTAGCCTGACCAAAGCTTATGTGAACATTTTCTTTAAAGATTTTTTTTTCTTTTGGCAGACTTTGGAGTTAGGCAGTTTTCCAATTAGTCAATGGTTTGCCTAATGAGCCGAACAAGATTGCAATGCCGCGAACAATAAGCAGCTGAAGATTACGACAAGAAAAGAGGCAGAAGTATAATATCACTGTCCAGGGGAGATGCGGGGTCAATGCCTCTTTTTTTGTCGGTATCATCATGCGCAGAGTCGCAGACTGACCAATAAGACAGGGGATTATCAACTGACGTGGCTCTTGGGTACAGCTCAATTCCGGAGTAAAAGGACGTAGCATTGGGGGTTTTTGCAGTGTGCAAAAAGCGTGTCGGCAGCGTGACCTCAATCTTCCGTTCTGGTGAAGGCATTCTGGCCTCTTTGGTCTCTCGACGCAGTAAATTACACTGTTACTAGTGTTTGCAAATCGGATTTATAGTGACTATCGCCCTGCTACCTTGAATGACGACAAATGTATTTGTCCGGAATAAAACCCATCAAAAACTTCATTTATTTCCTTTTGTTGGGCTTATATTAACCGATCAAAAGTCATTGAGCTAGTTGCACTTACTGCTGTAACTCTGATATGGTTCATTACATTACACTATCGTAGTCGATCTAGATAATTGTCTATGTGTACAATATATGCTTCTATAGCACGGAAAAATATATCGGCTCGACGACGAAATATCCCATGGAGGAGTGATATCTCCTCGGAGCCGGGAAAGAAGATTTATCCCTCGGTGATGCGTTTTTTCACTGAGATCCCCGTTCTTTTAATTGAGCTTCTTCTGGCGGGTCTTTCCAGCAGTCTGCTCAGCAATTTTGAAGGCGCGCGCCGTGGCGGTAACACTGTTGTAAAGAAGAACTAATGTCCATTATTAGCATAACAGTCCAACAAAAGCTAAAGATCGCTGCATAAGCCGTACCAAGAGGTATGATGATCCAGAAGGTGTTCATAAAAAAGTAGTATCCCCAAAAGTAGTACGACTCAGGACGGCAGTATGAGAGACCCTTGTGGAAGTGGTCGAACATGCTCGTCGTATAATACAAGACATCACCGTACAGTTGTCCGAGCGAGACGATTGCCTGCAGGGGATAGCGCAACGGGCTCTCGGTCGTAATGAGAGCAGCCACCAGGAAGGAGAGGGGGCCCCATGCAGCCTGAAAACATTTATATCAGATCCATGGTGTGACAATAAATTGTTGGAGGAAGTCTCACCGCAGTAATGGTCTCCATGCACAGAACGAAGGGATCACTAGTGAGGTATCGAGAGTCGGAGAGAGAGTATTCCTTCCAAAGCTGACCGAACAGATCCATTTGACCGCCCATACGAGTGTGATTGAGGACGTAGTAGCCTGCAGATAGAAATCTCCGTCAGAAAAACATTTTCTAATGTAGCATCCAATGAGGAATCCTCTATACCTTCGAAGAACAAGTGAATGCATCCTGCTGTGAGTGCATTAGCAAAAGTTGTGTAAAAAACAAAGACTCGATATGATCCATACACAAGACAAACCACAAGACGGTGAGCAATTCTGAACGAGGCAAATGAGGCCGGATCTTCGTCACAATCACAGTGGTGATGGAGAAGATGGCGGCACATCCCGCTGCGAAACTGACGAGAAGATGAGGAACGGATAATTGATTTGCGACGTATCCAACGATTTGAATTTCCAAAGGATAATAAGGGTGGACCGGAGTTTCCAGGCGGGTAATATTCGCTATCGCCTCCATTGTGTTCAAATTTGTCTGTTTCCAAAAAAGAAGACGAAAGGTGCTGAAATCTGGTGTTGGCGCTGATACCAGTGCTGATGCTGGTGCAATGACAAGGAGAACACTGGGAAATTTATTCAGGGTCCCTCAACGCAGATACAGAGTAACGGCTTGCCAGCAACCGACGCGGAGGAGATGGTCTGACCTAGGATTTTCAGGTACCCGAGGGAGGCGGACGACTACGGCGTCCGAAAAGAGAGCCCTCTCGTCAACGGTATTCGGATCATCCGCTGCCCAAAGAGTTGCATACGTAAATTATCCCCACATTCTTTTCTTGTTCCTCCACGAAGCCGTAGAAAAAGGCCGTTTTGGCTGACCATTCTAGTACTGTATTCCGTACTTCCCGATCATAATTATCCATGCATCAAACCACTCAGAAAGACATAATTGCGTCTCCGAAGTTTGTCCGTACTTGGTCCGTGACGACCCCCCAGCAACTTCTCTCAATCACCACACCCGAGGGCAGCCACAACCACTTTGATTGGCCATACAAGCGATGATGACCTCAGCGAGCGTTAAGCTTCCGAATTAGGCAACTTTCCAACTGGCTTCCTAATCGAACCAATCAGATCGTTCCAGCACTTTCTCGTATCAACTCCACCCCGCCATGAGCTTCGATGTTGTTCCCGACAACTTGCCGTGCGTCACTATAAAAACAACTGTCGCTCTGAGCTCTCACGCCAGCTACCCCTCTCAACCACCACACCAACCACACGAACAAAGTCTCAAAGACTTCCAGATAGAGATCATCTCTTAAACACTCGACTTCTAGATTAGATAAACAAATTTATCAACACCATCGAAGAGATCGCGTATACAGATCTGACACCCATATATCAATATTTCCGGAATGGCGTCCGGACTTCAATTCACAGATCGAGCCACCAAGGCATTGGGCGATGCGCATGAGCTGGCCACGCAATACGCCCACTCACAGTTGCTTCCTCTTCACCTTGCAGTCTCCCTTTTCGATCCTCCAGAGGACCTCTCAAAAGACCAGCAACAATCAGTCAATGCTTCCCAAGCATCCGCGTCGGCACCACTTTTCCGTCAGGTCGTAGAACGCGCCCATGGTGATCCTCAGCTTTTTGATCGAGCCGTAAAGAAAGCATTAGTCAGATTACCCAGCCAAGATCCTCCACCGGAGACGGTCTCAGTTTCTCCCTCATTCTCTAAAGTCTTGAGATCCGCTGGTGAATTACAAAAGACCCAAAAGGATAGCTTCGTTGCGGTGGATCATCTTATCACCGCTCTGGCACAAGACTCAGTCATTCAAAAATGCCTTTCAGAGGCCAACGTCCCAAACGTCAAGCTAATCGATCAAGCTATTCAGCAAATCCGCGGCACGAAGAGGGTGGATTCGAAGACGGCTGACGCCGAGGAAGAAAATGAAAACCTCAAGAAATTTACAATCGACATGACCGCGATGGCCCGAGAAGGAAAGATTGATCCGGTCATTGGAAGAGAGGACGAGATTCGACGAGTTATACGAATCTTGTCCCGTCGAACAAAAAACAACCCTGTTTTGATTGGTGATCCTGGCGTTGGTAAGACCACTGTCGTCGAAGGATTAGCGTCCAGGATCGTCAATGCCGACGTGCCCGCCAACTTGGCGGCTTGCAGACTCTTGTCGCTTGATGTTGGTTCTCTTGTTGCTGGCAGCAAATATCGAGGAGAATTCGAAGAGCGCATGAAAGGCGTCCTCAAAGAAATTGAGGACTCCAAGGATATGATTGTTCTCTTTGTCGACGAGATACACTTGCTCATGGGTGCTGGTGCGAGCGGAGAGGGTGGAATGGATGCTGCCAATCTGCTGAAGCCCATGCTCGCTCGTGGACAGCTGCATTGCATCGGTGCTACCACACTAGCTGAATACCGCAAGTATATCGAGAAAGACCAGGCGTTCGAGCGTCGATTCCAGCAAGTGCTGGTAAAGGAGCCATCCATCTCTGAGACCATTTCAATCCTCCGTGGGCTCAAAGAGAAGTATGAGGTACATCATGGTGTCAATATTGCTGATGGAGCTATTGTGAGCGCTGCGACGCTTGCTGCTCGTTACCTTACTCAACGGCGCTTGCCCGATTCTGCCGTTGATCTCATTGACGAGGCGGCGGCTGCAGTCAGAGTTACACGAGAATCACAACCTGAAGCGCTTGATAACTTGGAGAGAAGGTTGCGTCAGTTAGAGATTGAAATTCACGCGTTGGATCGAGAGAAGGATGAAGCGTCGCGCACTCGACTCCAAGAGGCGAAACAAGAAGCTGCCAATGTAGCGGAGGAGCTCCGTCCTCTCCGAGAGAAGTATGAGGCCGAGAAGCAAAGAAGCAAGGATGTGCAAGAAGCGAAGATCAAACTGGATCAACTCAAGGTCAAGCAGGCCGAGGCTGAGCGCATGAGGGATCTTCAGACAGCCTCCGATCTCAAATACTACGCTATTCCCGACGTTGAGCACCGTATCGAACAACTCGAAGCTGAGAAGGCGCGGCAAGATGCCGAAATGTATGCTCGTCGTGGAGCAGGGGACGAGCCGCTTTTGACCGATGTCGTCGGACCTGACCAGATCAACGAGATTGTTGCACGCTGGACAGGAATCCCTGTCACCAGGCTCAAGACGACCGAAAAGGACAAGCTCTTGCACATGGAAAAGTATCTGGGCAAGATTGTTGTCGGTCAGAAGGAGGCCGTCACATCCGTGGCTAATGCCATACGGCTACAACGTTCCGGCCTTGCGAACCCGAATCAGCCGCCGAGCTTTCTCTTCTGCGGTCCATCGGGAACCGGTAAAACTTTACTTACCAAGGCTCTTGCTGAGTTTCTCTTCGACGATCCAAAGGCTATGATCCGATTTGACATGTCCGAATATCAGGAGCGTCACTCCCTTAGCAGGATGATTGGAGCACCGCCTGGTTACGTCGGACACGACGCTGGAGGCCAACTAACCGAAGCTCTCCGCCGTCGGCCATTCTCCATTCTGCTATTCGATGAGGTTGAAAAGGCCGCCAAGGAAGTTTTGACCGTTCTGCTTCAACTCATGGACGATGGCCGTATCACTGATGGACAAGGAAGGGTCGTCGACGCCAAGAACTCTATCGTGGTCATGACGTCTAATCTCGGCGCCGAATATCTCTCTCGTCCTAATGGTGCTGACGGAAAGATTGATCCAGCTACAAAGGAGCTGGTCCAGAACACTCTGCGGAATTATTTCCTCCCCGAATTCTTGAACCGAATTTCCAGTATCGTCATCTTCAACCGCCTCACCAAGCGTGAGATTCGCAGTATTGTTGATGTGCGCCTCGATGAAATCCAGAGGAGGTTACAGTCGAATGGTCGCAATGTGCGCATCGAGCTTACGCCCGAAGCAAAGGACTACCTTGGCTCTGCGGGTTACTCGCCTGCATATGGTGCCCGTCCGCTCTCACGACTTATTGAAAAAGAAGTCCTCAACCGTCTCGCTGTTCTCATACTGCGTGGCGGTATCAAGGATGGCGAGGTCGCTCAAGTCGTGTTGGAGGACGGCAAGCTGGAGGTGCTTCCGAACCATAGCGACAGTGAACTTGAGGAAGATGATGAGATGGTTGACGATGACGATGCCGTTGCAGAGCTTGAAGATGCAGAGCCAGACATGGATCTCTATGAATAAGGTTCTGGAAAAAAAAAGTTTTAATTATCTATTGGCCGTGAGCAAGTGGCTGCATTTATTCATGACACTTTATTTCAACTAATCCGCGAAATAATGGCGATATTATAATTGGGTGGATTTTAGGCTTTATTTTTTATGCAATTCAAGCAAGCATTAGCATGGCGTTTGTAAATAGTATTATTTTTTTATCTTGATATCCTAAGAACTATATTCTGAATCAACAGAAATTCTGAACATAAGAGCTCATTCAATCAAACCCGATCAATCGTGAATGCCTTTGAGGTTCTCGGCTAATGCGGTGTAACATTGACTGAAGAAATGGAAGTAATCATTTGTTCAGTTCTTCCCATTACTATTGAGACGGAACCTTTGCAATAGAGACAGTAAGCATGATGGCTCAGCGGCAGACTGGTCAATAATCTTTTCTTGATATTTGTGCCGTAAAAGCAAGGCTTCAATTTATAATATGATTGAGATATGATGAGGCAGCCTCTTATTATCTCCAGCTGGAGAACGCATTCCTCCCGTCTTAGCGGCTTTCACCATCAGACCATCTCGTTCCGCTCAAGTAGGTGGTTTCTGGCATTATATCCGGCCTCTCGGGCGCTATTTACCAGTCCGCTCCACGGAACGGAATTCAGACTCCCTGAAACAGATGACACGTGCTTCGATGTTCAGTACGTCCCGCTGGAGGGGGTTGAAAATCTCGAGCGATATCGTCCCGGAGGCTATCATCCCATTGTTATTGGCGAATGTCTACATGACCGGTACGACATTGTGCACAAGTTAGGTTCTGGTGGCTTTTCAACTATCTGGCTAGCCAATGACAGGACAACTGGCAGATATGTAGCCGTTAAGGTTAACACCGCAGCTGCAAGTCTGTGCAGGGAGAGCAGTATCTTGCGTCAACTGAACAGCACAATACTCAAGAGACCGGTTCATCCCGGAAAATCAGTCATTCCTCACATCTTAGGTGAATTTTCCCTGGACGGTCCGAATGGCAAGCATCAATGCCTGGTCACAGTTCCTGCAAGGATGAACATCAACGAAGCCAAGGATGCTTCACGCTTCAGACTATTTCAACTTCCTGTAGCGAGGGCGATAATTGCTCAGCTCGTTCAAGGGGTAGCTTTCTTACATTCTCAGGGCATTGCTCATGCTGGTGGGTAAACTTGCCGTACGCTATATACTGGCACTCTTTAAGCTTGCTGACCTGATGCACTTATTTGACTAGACCTTCATCTTGGCAATATTCTGTTACGCCTTCCTGCGAGCATTCAACGCCTTTCTCCAGCTCAGTTCTATGAGAAATATGGGCAGCCTAGTCATGAGCCCGTTGTGCGCTTCGACAATCAAACCCTTCCTCAAGGAGTTCCCACTCACGGTATCATGCCCGTATGGCTCGGAGATGGAAGCGAAAATATTTCTCTTTCGGAAGCTGAAATTTTTCTTACTGACTATGGCGAGTCATTCATGCCATCAATGACCCCGCGGTACTACTCGAATACACCAGACCTGCTGGTTCCTCCTGAAGTCTACTTTTTGCGCCAGAAGCCCCTTTCCTTCTCTGCCGATATTTGGGCACTCGCCATTATCATGTGGAGCATTATGGGCCAGAAAGAAATTTTTGAAGCCCACCTTCCATACGCTGACTGGATGATCAAAGAGCACGTCGAGACACTAGGTAAGCTCCCACGCGAGTGGTGGAGTACGTGGGAAGCCCGCCTTAAGTGGTTCAACGAGGATGGGGTCAGAGTGGACGGTTGCATTGGAAGACCATTGGAGGAGCGCTTCAGAACCTCTATACAAAAGCCAAGGCTGGAAGACGGTGAGGTGGGCGAAGTTTGCAAGGAAGAGAAGGACGCGCTGTTGGCTTTGTTCAAGTCTATGATGAAATTTAGGCCAGATGAGAGACCATCTATAGATGAAATCCTGGGTTCTGAATGGATAAGAAAGTGGGCTCTTCCTGATTATGAGAAGATGAGGAACGGTTAGAGTAGCAGCATGGGACGGATGAAAGGTTTCTCATATTGCTTGGATTGAAAAGACCGCAATAGGACTTCTACTCAACCTGCTTGATATATTGAAAGACTTCTAAATGGAGACTTTGAGATGGAGTTGCTTCGTCCACTGGCTTGAGGGCGAGCAATAAACCTACCTAGCCGAAAACCCTCAATATCATCAATAGTACATAGTATGCATACCGGCCGTTTAAATAATTAAAGAGACAATTGTGAGCACTTCAAAACGGAAGGATAACTCGATATGTCGTGAAAACCAAGTAGCATTGTATGTCGTTGTAATTGAAGAACAGTCACATGATCGCGCGTCGCTACGCGAATCCCGTCGCGTCGTCTTCCTTTGAACTGGTTGCGTATGAATTTACACGATTGTCATGCCGATCTACGTACCAAGATACTTTGCGTATCTGGTAGCTCATAATGCTTCTGTGGGTGTGAGCTGTATGTGGAGTGCGACGTTGTCGTAGCGGAGCCTGTCCTTAGGGAAGAAATCGAAAGAGGCCGGAGAGTTGCTCCCTAGCCTGTGATACTGTACCTACTCCGAAACCATGTGGATGAAGCCCTTCAAGCCGCCACTGCTCCGCAAGCCTGGAGGTTCAAGCACGAATATCCATACTAGCACCAATTGCGATGCAGATTCTAAACAGAAACCGGGATCTAGTGCAAATATAGGGAGGCAGAGCATCAGACCTCCCTTATCTCATACAAGAAATGGCAGTTTCAGGGTTGGCACCCAAAACAGTGACCCTCATCAACGTGCACTGAAGTCACAGCGGATTGGTTCTAGTACGGAGTTTGATTCTGACTCTGAATTGGGACCACCGTCCAAAAGGAGAAAGACCATAGGTAGCAAAGTTGATGAGAATTTCGAGGGAGAATCTCGACAGCAGAATGAGCATAGTGGGAGAATTGAAGAGCGGAGAAGTACAACTGCTGCCCTTGGAACAAGCTCTGCTGCGGCAAAATTCACTCCACCACTACGCGCCAAGAATAACAGCGACAATGCTGAATCCAATGGCGAAGCGTTTCAGGAGGGTTATTATACAGTGCTGTGGTCAGTCCCGCCAATCCCCTTGCTCAATCTCAGCTTGCATTGACATGATGCAGGCGCAAATTTACAGCCAAGAAGCACAAAACCTGGGACGGAGACGGTGTACTTTCTGTCCTAGGCGGCTATGCAATTCTCCAGGATGTGTCCGGCCGTGATCTCGGAAAGGTCCAATGGAACGCACCCCTTCTTCCTGGATCCACGCTGTCGATATCTGGAAAAGATGTCGAGGTTGACACTATCATAACAAAGCAAGATTATCTTGCTGGTAGACCATTTCTAAACAATAAGAAGCCTACTATGATTGTCGAGCCACCAAAACCCATAGTCGTCCCTTCACCAAGACTGAACATTTCGAAAGAAGAATCAACGCCAAACCCCAAAACTCGTGCCGTACCGCGTTCTGCTGGAGTGGCTGGGCAATTCAAGAATCCGCTGCTGGAGAAGACTGTCCTTCCAAAACAGGCCGGGGATGATCCTGTTCCTCGCCATGACCCGAATCAACCTGGAGCCTTGGTCATGATGCGCCCGCCAAATGCGCCGAAAGGTCAGCGCATCGTGGATGTCATCGTGGACCCACTGTTAACGAAGCATCTCCGGGAACATCAGCGCGAGGGTGTCAAATTTTTGTATGAGTGTGTCATGGGGCTGCGAGAATTCGACGGTCAAGGGGCAATCCTTGCAGACGAGATGGGTCTTGGAAAGACCTTACAGACAGTCGCCCTCCTTTGGACCCTGCTTAAGCAAAATCCCTTTTATGACGCCCCGCCAGTTGTGAAGAAAGCACTTATTGTATGTCCTGTGACGCTTATCAACAATTGGAAGAGGGAGTTTCGGAAATGGCTTGGTAATGAGAGGATCGGCGTCTTCGTCGCAGATAATACGAAAACCAGACTCACCGACTTCACCTTGGGAAAGAGCTACAGTATCATGATCATTGGCTATGAAAAGCTCAGGACCGTTCAAGAGGATCTTAAAAAGGGCCATAATATCGACATTGTAATAGCGGACGAAGGCCACAGACTCAAAACAGCTCAGAACAAGAGCGCCCAAGCGATTGATTCTCTTAACACTTCGCGAAGAGTCATTCTCTCGGGCACTCCAATTCAAAACGATCTCAGCGAGTTCTTCACCATGGTCAATTTTGTTAATCCCAATGTTCTTGGTAAATACACGACTTTTAGAAGAGAATTCGAGGCACCCATTCTCAAGAGCAGACAGCCTGGCGCATCAAAAAAAGATGTGGAAAAAGGTGAAGCAAGGAGCGAGGAACTAGTCACTACAACCAGCACGTTTATTCTTCGCCGTACTGCAGAGATTCTCTCCAAATACCTTCCACCAAAAACTGAACATGTTTTGTTTTGTCGCCCAACTAAGGCTCAGGCATCAGTCTACCGCTCGCTCTTGTCTTCTCCAATGTTTGGATCCATACTCGGCAATGCAGAAGCATCTTTACAACTCATCAATGTGTTGAAGAAAGCTTGTAACAGCCCTAGTCTTCTCAAGGACAAGAAAGTTCAAGATGCTTCTGGCTCTGAGACAGACAATTCACTTATGACCTCATTGCTCAACTGCATTCCGTCTGGTCTCTTATCCTCTCCGGCAGCTAGCGGAAAGCTCCAAGTTCTGGATAGCTTTCTGTATACGCTTCATTCGAAAACACAGGAAAAAGTCGTCATAGTATCAAACTACACCTCTACACTTGATCTCATTGGCATGCTTCTCACGTCCCTCTCCTACTCTTTTGTCCGATTGGATGGGTCAACGCCGTCTTCCAAACGACAAGACATTGTCGACACTTTCAACCGCACCCCGCCCTCTGTGTGCTTTGCATTTCTTCTCTCCGCCAAATCTGGCGGCGCAGGGCTGAACCTTATTGGTGCCAGCCGTCTTGTTCTTTTCGACGCGGACTGGAATCCCGCAACCGACCTTCAAGCCATGGCACGTATTCATCGTGATGGCCAAAAGCGACCATGCAGAATCTACCGTCTGCTGACGCGCGGTGCTCTTGATGAAAAAATATATCAGCGCCAACTCACCAAGCAGGGCCTCGCGGATTCTGTTATGGATAATAAAGCTACCGCATCGAGCTTCACCAGGGAAGAACTCAGAGACCTATTTACTCTCGACGAGACTTCGTCCTGCCAAACACATGATCTGCTGGATTGTTGGTGTGAAGGCCGAGGTGGATCCACTGCTTCAGAAGCTGGTCCTTCACCCTCATCTACAGATGATAGCCATGCTGCGTCCCCACAAAAATCAAGCACTTCAGAAGTCGCAGACTCCGATCCCGATGAATCTTTAGAAGACGAAGAGCCACAAGCCAACGATCATGCCAACTCTGAAGATTACCTATTCCAACCAACCCTCCTCAAAGCATCCCAAGTCAACATGGACCTCCAAGAACGCCGCATCCGCTCCACCCAGCGCCTCGCACAGATCAATGCCAAACGGTCAAAAATGGAAGCCCTCATGCAGTACGCGCATATAGACGTGTCAAAATGCTCTCTTCCTGTCACTCTCCCTGACCCTGTCCCTCACTCTGGCACTGGCACTGTCACGGACTCTCCTCCGTCTCCGTCATCATCTTCTACCCCTTCGTCCCGCACTCTTCTTCAATCCCTCATAGACGATGACGTGCTCTATGACATTCTCAGCGAAGAAGGAAATCGTATATCATTTGTCTTCAAAAGGACTAGCATGGCGCCTCCTCTGACAACATCGATGGCTGAGCAAGCCGCCAATGATGCTGTGGCAAAGGCAGCGAAATAAGCTGTCTCAGATCCGGGTTCATCAAGTCAAGGAGTTGGATGGGAGAGGCACCTCAAATCTCTTCTAGATACCGATCATAATATGTCCTGCATGTAAAAATGACTTTCTGTTGCTAGAAGACAGCGAATGCATCACGGCAGGAGTTCTCTAAGGCCGTTTAGATAGTTCATCTTGTAGATTAAACCGGTTTTTTTACTTCATTTGCTTACACTCTTTTCAATGAGAATCATCTAGGTATCAAATAAACCACGGCGCTTACGTATAGAAAGACTTGATTAACCATCCATGAGCAACCATGCTAAATTTACAAGAAAATAAAATGTTAAAAAGGAGAAAACGAGCTTTGGGATGTAAAATTACTCCCAGTTATTCTCTCCCTCATCGTCCTTCCAGTGGGACGTCCTGACTCCACGACCATTTGAGTGATGCCCGTCCAATTCCGCTCGGGACTTTGCCACTAGCTCTCTAGCTTCATTCACACGCTCATCATATCGTTCCAATACGTCTTCCAGATCGACATGGACGCGCAACTCTTTTTCGCTGAGAACGCGGTATAAGCCGCGCAAGGCTTCGAAACCTAATGTTTCGCGAAGATGGCGATTGGTAAAGGCCAGCATGACGAGGGGTTTGGCCCACGGACATGCGCGGATGGCGCGATACAGCACATCGGGTGCGCGGGCTGGCGGAGGTGGAGGCGCTTTGCGGGAACGGTAAGACGAGCGGGATTTTGATGAGTGGGAAGAACTTTGAGCAGCCGCTGAGTCTTCGAGGCCATGCCTCGATTTCTGCACGCGATTATACAAATCTTGCGCATGCATGTCTTCGTGGATCTCAAAAGAAATGTATAAACGCCAGAGCGCAGCGCTGGGACAGCCTGTCGGACTGTTGACTGCGTGCTCGAAGACAGCGCGCGTGGTGTGCGCCGTTGACGCGGAAGTTGCTGTTGCTTGGCCCTGACGGCGGCGGACGAGAGATGCCCAGATCTTGAAGAACCACTCGGTGACTGCAGGGGGAGAGGGCGAGGACAAGGGCTGGTGAACGAGCGAGCGAGTCTCGTCCGTAGGAAGGGTATGTGCCGAGTGGTATGTGTGGAGGGTGAGCAAGATGGTGTTGTGTGGGAAAATGGCAAGGGATTTGGCGAGGGCAGATCGAATATCTGCTGGCTTGTAGAGATGTGTATGCTGAGTGTGGTGGTGGAGAAGAAATGCTTGAGATTGATGGAGAAGTTCGAATGCAGGTGACGTGGCAATGTGTGCGTAATTGGAGGATATTAAGCTGAATGCTTCCTCATATGTGGATAATGCGGCAGAGAGGGAGAGGTTGGTGGAAATGTATCGCAGGAGGGCGAGACACTCGATTGAAAGTACAACGTTGCAGGTGTGACGGAGTGTGAGGGCGTGGTCTCGTGAAGAGGCGAGGTACTGTTTGATTGGAGTCAATAGATGGACGGGTCGATGGGCGGGACAATGATGTTTAGAAAGAAATACTTACCCTTTGTGCTTTGAGCAAAGCGGCAGGCTGAGCTGCCAGGAGAACCTTCATGCTCGGTGCCGCGTCATTGTCGGTTGTATTGAATTTCTCGATCAATTTGTTCTCGGGAATGGATAGTATTCGATGCAGAGCTGTGCGGTGGTCACCCGCTTGGAACGCTTCCCATATCCAACTACGCCAGAGTAGAAGGACCGTTTGCTGTCCAGCCTCGCCGAGAGTTTGAGCCATTCCAATGGCTGTGCTGAAGATGCGGTCTGCCACACTAGCGTTGTTCGATTTTGATTCCATGAGAGCGTAGGCGTTGTAAAGACGAAGGCTTGAAGGACGCCTTTTTAGCAGTGACTTGGCTGTCTTCTTAGCGCTGTAGAAAATGTCAGTAACGAGAAGTCTGACTGCAGAATAGGCTACGTTACCTTTGAGGATAATACCGCCACTCGAAACCAAGGTAGTATTCGGCCAAATCTTCATTGTCAGCGCATGCGTCTATCAAGCTTCTCAAGGCCGCGCGGAACCAGTCAATGTTCACTGGCCCTCTATCTCGCGGATATGAAACCTCCCAACTGTTGAACAGCTTAAATGGGCTATCCTCTTTGGCGAATAATGTATCCAAGGACTTTTCAAAAGAATGCGCAGTGAACAGGAAGATATCCCTATTACTGGCAATCCTTGTTTCTTCCAAACCATTGTTGCCCAGCCCGGAAAGGGTTTTTGCGGTCTCATCGCGTCCCAGTTGATAAGACCAGTATGAATTACTCTCCTCTGGCTGTGCTAACAGTTCATTGCGAATGTAGGGATCTCGTTTCCAGGTGACATGCTGGCTTCCGCTATTCAATTGAAGCGGGGGCATTTGGCAGTATTCCAAAAACGCATCCAGTAACAATGTACGATGCTTGTCCTCGGCAAAGAATATCAGACATTCTTGCACATCTGAAAACAAAATTACGCGATAAGGATCATCTTCTTCAACTTCGTCAATGGTGCGAGCCGGCTCTTTGGACTTAAGTTGGTAGATTTGTTCACCTTTTGCCCAACTCTGAAAGATATCCGTGTCATCGATTTCGAGCTGAATGGTGTCTTCTCGGGGTTCCGGGGCGTTTCCTGGATTCTCGTCAAAGTGCGCCCAACCCTGTGCGTCTGGCTCCCCAATTCGGGGCACTTCGCTTTCCCAGAAAGCTTGGAAGGAAGCGAAACGAGCGGTTCTTAACCCGTCCTTGTTGTCTCTAGTTTTTGATGCATACTGCTTTGGCGTGAAGTAGTTGTACTCGAGCAGCGCTTGCCAGATTGCCAAAGAAAGCTCTGAATATCCAGCCTCACGCATGAAGAGAGTAAAACGCAGTACAATATATATCTGTATAATCCCTAGCTCATGCAAGATTTGAGTCGTATGTGGGTCTGCAGTTACAGCCCCTTTGGTTGCCCTTAAACAGTCCGCATAGACATCCACGCAATCCTGATATTTGAAAACCACAAAATTCGTTTGCTGAAAGTCAAGGTACTTGGTCCAGAGGCCAAGGAACCCGGGATTCTCACGCATCACATTTTTCCACTTGACGGCGAGCTTTTTGGTATCCCAAAGTTTCGACCCCTCTTCCATCAGGCCGAGCAGTAAGGTTTCGCGACCTTTGTGCGTTTTGCCCAATGACGCCAGAGCCTTCTCGTACATCGATAATTTAATGTCTGCTGTACTCTTTTGCTCGGCAGACGTGACTTTCCGCCGTTCAGCCCCATTTCTTGCCTCAAGCAGCTGGTCTTGATGATTAATCAGGTCCAGCCATGCTTCAACATTGGTGGGCTCGGAGTCGACTTTCCGAGATAACTCGATAGCACGTTGCTTATGCACGTTATCTAAGTCGAAAATATTTCCACCTTCGTAGTCCGAGGCGCTGCTATCAGACATGTACTCGAGGTCTCGGTCAACGGGTCGGTCTTTAAGTTTCGTTTTCCCCTCAATAGAACGATAATTCTGTGAATCATCTTCTGATTCAAAATCTCCTTCTCCATTATATTCCACTTTCTTTTCGAGAGCAGGGATCCGAGAAAGAGATACAAAATCCTCGCTTGCTTCAAATGCGGTAGTCACACTCGTGTCATTCGAGGGCCGAATACGCAGTTTTCTAATGGGTTTGCGCTCATTTCTGGCAAAGACATATTTCTCTCTCTTCCCATATCCCGAATTCCCTCCCTTCCCAATGATGATGCCTTTGTCAGAACTGTCGTCCCATAAGATTCGCTTCTCCCGGGAAAGACCAAGGATGCCGCCATAACCAAAACGATGGTACGCCGGAATGTTGTATCGATGAATAGTGCCAAACGTCAAATTGCTTGGGTCTCCCCTGCGATCGATAACGAAAATATCTGGACTGTCGTCCCAGGGTAAAATGACGGGCTCCGAAGAGAATGGCTGCTGGGATTCGATGAGCGCATGATCATCACTTCTTGGGCGTCTCTGGCGACGTCTGTGACGGTCGTGGTGATCTCGGCTTCGTTTTCTCTTGTGCGATTTCCTCTCATGTCTATGCCTTCCGTGGTCACGATCTTCAGATGCGTTCCCACTGTCCGGGACTGAGCTCAGAGCAGATCGGCGGTCATCGATTGGAGGCGTATGGCTGATAGTGGTGGTAGGCTTCGGCCGGAAGCTTTTGAATTTCGGTATACTTTCATTATTTGTCTGCGACATGACTGCGTTAGTTAGATAACTGATGTTAATTTCAAAGCCATTTTTCTTTTGGATTACTCACTCATAGACCATTCAATCTTCTGGTTATCTGCTGGGTCATTGAAGCTATATGTTTCTTCGGGAAACTAATAAGACCTAACGCGCTACAGTGATGCGTCGGTAGGGTCACCGTAATATCTGCAACCCAGAACTCAAACGGAAATATCCGATTGCACAACGAGAGGAAATTGTAAGCGATAAGATGACTAAGACCTTAATGGTCTTCACCTGGTCCCGGGTAAAATTGCCCGATGAATCTTTTCGCAGTGACGGTCTTCCTCGGTCTCAGTCGGTCTTTACAGAAAATTATCGACAAGCTGTTGACGCTGTTTCCACAACCCGCGTGTGTGCCGCATCGTTGGGGAATAATTTTCTTTGAGCCATGTTATAGACTTTCATTGATTCTCTGTTTCAAAAGCATTTTAATTTTTCCATAATGGCGACATCTTTGGCGGCGCAGCTGTCTCAAATTGCTGCAAATTCGACCAATTCTCTTAATCTCAAAGCGCAGAAGACCGCCCACTCTCAGTCACTCTTATTCGAGCCAAGAGATGCGGCTACTCAGGATTTCGATACTCTTTACCAACTCTGTTTGGAGGGATTTCAGGAATTATGCTTGCTAGATCCGCGATTCATCGTTTTCAGTCGCAGCATTTTCAGTGAGCAGAGCAAGAGCGAGGATCGCACACAGATGACCAAGGCGCAAAATGAGGAGTTGGACAGAGTAATCGAGGACTTTCTGGGCCTTGTTGGCGGCAGGCTCTTGTTGAAGCCCGCTGTAAAATCCGTCGAATGGCTTGTGCGAAGATTTCGGTATGTTTAACCCGTGAATGTTTCGAGGCAATTTGGGGTATTTTTTTGTTAACTTCAGAGTAGGGCGCATGAATATAACACTTCGTTCATGATTTTGACCTTCCTGCCGTATCACAGCGCTCCCATATTTCCTACCTTACTGTCGATCCTACCATCAAACATCTCGCCGACCTTCAAATTTCTGCATCCATACATTAATGCTCGAGCAAACCCGGCCCGACACGCGATTGTCTACACAACAACAAATAATACTGCTTTCTGCATAGCTCTGAACACATATGTTTTACAGGTGAGCCGAGCTCGCCATCAACACCATGCCTTGCTCTCGTTTTGGGCGAGCATTATGACAGAAGCCTTGGCTGGCATGCTCGATTTAGCTCGCTCAGGCAGGAAGGGCGTTCAGAGACAAGCGGAGCAAGATGTCATAATCAGGATGCTACCGGTATTGAATGAGGGTCTCGCAGCGAGCAAAGCTCCCGAGCTACAGCTTGGATGCTATATGCTCGTTACTGTTCTGGCAACAAAATCGGCTCTCGAGGACAAGGTCCTTGCTGGATTGATGGAAGCAGTAGTGGGCGGATGGACAAAGGACACCTCAGAAGCTGGCTTGGTTTGCTTGGCAGTTCTAGCGCAGGAAAGCCGCGCCGCAAAGTTACCAAAGAGTGTTGTCAAAGAAGTTCTGAAAGTGTCTTCGTTGGATGAACATCTGTTAGCAATCAGTCGGCGTTACCGCGTCGACAAGCTTGCCTTTGGGCTAAGTCTCGGCGTCTTGCGCAGGCTAACAAAACCGAAGAGTTATGAGGGGCTCGTGTTGGTAGAAAAGATGCTCGAGGCACGAGTCCTTGGCGACTTGCAAACCTCGATTGTGATAAAGTCCATATTTCTTGCAGCGCAGCAAATCGATTTGCAGTCTGAGGACTACGCCACCATTTCAGGCCACATTGCCGATCTTCTGAACCGCTTGTCCAATTCAAAAGCGGTGGGTCCGAACATGAGGAGAGCACTCAAGGATTCCAGCATAGACTTGGACCTCCTTGAGATGAAATTGCAAACCGTTCTTCGTCCGGTGGATGACGCCGATGAACAACCTGCCATCGACGATGCTGGTGATGTTCAAATGCTGGAGGATAATTCTGACGCAGATCAGCGTCACTTTGATGCTGCTTTGGCTAAGGTACCCAGCCGCACAGTTGATGAGGTCTCGTTTCTATCTCATTCAAAGTCACATATTTTCGACAGCCTCTTGCAGGCTTTCTTGCTAGCCGGCAGTGATATTGGTCGTATGGATGCTTTCGCATCGTTGCCATTGTTACGGAAAGATCTGGCCCTCCATGAACCCCTATTTATCTCATTCTTCATTAAGATCTGGTGCGGGCCGTATCCCGTAATTTCCCGGTCAGCTGCCTTGCAAATCACCAACCAGACATTAGCGGTGGCGGACAATAAGGCCACTACAGACTTACAAGCTGTCATTCCATATGCACTAGCCGCATTGGCCGATCCAGCCGACAGAGTTCGGCGTGCAGCTGCAGAACTAGTCAATACGCTATGCAGCAGCTTTGAGAGCGGGGAACAAGATGGAAAGAAGCGCAAGTTCAGCAAGGTCTGGGGTTTCGATGACATCTACGGTCAAGGCGAGGAGACTAAGCAAGTAAAATGGCTCTCGGCGGAAGATGTTGGTCGTTTCTTGAAGGATGTGCTTTTGCCAGGGTTGGAAGAGTGCATTCTGGACAGGACTCAAGTTTTCAGACTCCTGGAAACTGCTCTGGGCGTGCCATCACAATCGAAGCACACTGTGAGCAAAATTGGGGTAAATGAGCTGAAGGCCTCAACTAGGAACGCTTTCATGTCTTTCCTTGGCAGCCATATTATGAATTCCCCGCTCTTTATGCTCAAATTGCAACTGCTCAAAATGACACATGATGTTGCAAAAGTTGGGACAAGCTCACGGACGAAGATGCTCCTGCCTGTATTGAACCAGTGGGCAACAATGGTTTCCTCTGACGCTGCTGCTGCTTGTAACGCGGAGCAGATTGATCTGGGCGACATGGAGGAGCAAATGGCCGCAATCATCTCAGCATCGGATCGTGATGGCCTTTCACTTTTGCAGTCCATCGTCCGAGGCAATGTTGGGTCACAAAGACCCACACTCGTTAAAGCGCTGCTAGGGCATCTTCGCAGCATGTGGGTGTCTTTGAAACCGGAGGCGATGTCGAACGTCGCCGATTTTCTCTTAACCTCTGCTTTGGATGTTCAGGACGCCCCTTCTGAAGATTCACAATTGACTCAATCCGAGGTTTCGGATACCTTGCGTTCGTTGCAACTCCCTACGCATGTCCTCGCTTCATTTCTGAGCCAATTGCCCACTGCGGCTGATGTACAGGAGAGATCGTCCTCGAAGCGTCGCCGGACGAGTCATAATGGCATGGTCACAACTGGCGGCGCTGAAAATGGCGGCGCGGCTGATGCCATACGGAATATCACTTTCGTGCTCGAGCTCATTGACAATTCTGAGCCTCGAAGTCACCCGCAGCTTTTGAAGGCTCTCTTTGCTACCCTCGGAGAGCTCCAGCACTTTATGGCCCAAACCCACTCAGAGCTGCCTTACCTCCAAAACTTGATCTTGACCGCATTAATCGAGATTGTGGACTATTTCAAGGTAAGAGCACGAAATGAAGACCCAATACCTTGTCTCGTACTGACTAATCATTCTCAGGAGGATGGTGCCAAGATTGAGCCGTCGGCGGTTAGAGTGGATCTTTTGGTCGACTGCATTAGGACTACAACAGCTCCGCAAGTGCAAAGCGCAGCTCTCCTTCTCGTGGCCAACCTTGCAAGGGTGGCGCCTGAAGTGGTCCTGCACAGTGTCATGCCTATCTTCACCTTCATGGGCGCGACAGTTCTCCGGCAGGATGATGAGTATTCTGCACACGTAATTGATCAGGTAAAGATTTGATATTCACCATCATGCAATTCATAATTCTAACTTGAGTTGATAGACAATTCAAAAGGTCATCCCGCCACTCATAAATTCCCTCCGGAAAGAGAACGAGGACGCTGTTTCCGGATCGTCCGAGCTCCTTCTCAGCTTCGTGGCAGCCTTTGAGCATATACCTGCTCATCGTCGAACACGACTTTTCCGGTCGCTTGTTGAATTGCTCGGTGCCGACGACTTCTTGTTTGCTATCCTGTGCATGCTAGGGGACAAATATGCGTCAGACCCCAAGATCTATGAGTTTGCTGGAGAGCTTGCAGGGCACTTCGGTCCTACCACGCAATTGATTGTGAGTATTCTTCAATGGCCGAGGAAATTGACGCTAATTTTGGATTCAGACTGGAAGGAAATGCTTGGGCCTTATTGTGGATATGATGCAACCGGACCGTAACCTTTCCAACATCCTCTTGGGTCTACGTGAGAAGGGGGAACAACAAATTGAAGATACAGTTGAAAATAACCTACGACTTCTCAGTCACCTCCTCTCCCAACAGCGACTAGTGTTGCGCGTCGGCCGAGTCTTAAGGGCCAACGAGACCAAGGCTACAGAGCTTCGAAACGTCTTTTCTCAACTTTTGGAAGAAACTCTCGGGCTCATTGATGGATTGCGTGCCCATGAGAAGCGTAGGTGTTTCGGGTGGGCATTCTAGGGTAATTGGAAAGTGCTGACATTACCTAGTACATTCATCCGCTGGTGACGTTCTTGAGCATCTACTTGGTCTCCTTTCAACACCGGAGTTTATTAAATCTATTGGTGACTTGTTGAAGCGTCCTGATGATATGGTAGGGAAATCCCTTAGCCTTTATTTCTTGTTGCAACACTAATCCCTTTTAGCTTCGTCGCAAAATCCTTAGGTCCTTTGAAGTCAGGCTGCGTAATGAGAAGCGCGCCGACCAGTCATCTAGAGAAGCTGTTCTTGGTTTCCTTCCGCAGCTGGATAGCATCGTCCAGGAGTCTGGAGACATTGCTCTCAGGCGCACAGCCACTACGTGCATTGATCAGATCTCCGAGAGATATGGAAAGACAAACCCATCTGCAATTGCCAGTAGCGCAGGTGTTATTGCTGGCCCACACTGTCTAGGCAGTAGCGACACTCAGCTCCAGAGAATGGCACTTCTTTGCCTTGCTTCGATGGTTGAGGTACTGGATTCAAGAATCATCGCCATTCTTCCTCAGGCTCTGCCAAGTGCGCTCCGCCACCTGGAAGCTAGCTTGGAGCGCGAGGAAGGTGAACCGGTACATGACGCTGCCTACTTATTCTTGAACAGCTTGTTCGAGCGGGTACCATTTATGGTAACTGGCGGATATCTTGATACCATCTTTAAGTTGTCTCACAAATCTGCTGAGTCGGACCTTACCCAAGAGGCCGATGAGCACCGAGAGGAAGTTCTCCGCTTTGCGGCTAAGCAGCTTGATCCAAAAGAATGCCTGGCAGCATTGGAGAGAAACTGGACCAACGCCGCCACAGCTGGCCCATTGGTAAGTAGTAAACGCATCCTAATTACTCGACCACTCCGTTGATATCATATCTGCAGGCTTTGCAAGAACACATTATGGTGTTGCGCACTACCGTCGAGAGTCACTCTAAAGCTGTTATTGTCAAAAATACCAAGCTTCTGAGCAATGTCTTTTTCCATGCTTTCGATCTACGGCGCCTTCATACCATCGAGTCGTTTGCTGAAGCACTAGACGATGAAGACCTCGAAGATGCAGAAGCCGCCGTGTATGACGTCGCTATCAAGGCCATTCTGAAGTTGAATGATACCACGTTCCGCCCTCTCTACCTTAGCATGATTGAGTGGGCTTCCAACGGACTTCCAAAGAAAGACCACGGCGGTCGGGCTCTCCGGCTCACTAGCGTCTACGGCTTCTTCGCCACCTTCTTCGGGTCTCTTAAGGTGAGATTTGCGAATGTCAATATGAAGAATACCAATCTAATGTTTCCTAGTCGCTTGTCACGAGCTATGCTGGCTATCTCATCGAAAATGCTGCGGATGTTCTCAATTCGACGTTGGCTAAAGACCCCAACTCTCGGGCTTTATGGCTCAGGGTCCTGCACACTTTGCTCCCAGCTTTTGAGCATGACCAAGACGGTGAGTCATTTCCCTCATCGTTCAATATGTCTACATTTCCTAACGATATTACAGAGTTCTGGCAAGCGCCGGCTCATTTTAATGCTATCTCAGTACCTCTACTTGCTCAACTCGGTAATGCCTCTGTCCTTCCGGTGACAACCGAAGTCATTCCTGTGATCAGCGAACTTGCCGCTGCAATCGATTCTGGGGATCATCACAAAGTCATGAATAGTGCAATTCTCAAGCACATGCGCTCCGATGATGCCCAGGTACGTCTCGCTGCGGTCAAATGCGAAGCTGATCTTACAGAGAAGTTGGGCGAGGACTGGCTTACTTTGCTGCCTGAAATGCTTCCCTTTATCAGCGAGCTCCAAGAGGATGATGACGAGGTTGTTGAAAGAGAAACGCATCGGTGGATTGTCAAGATTGAAGGTATTTTGGGAGAAAGCCTTGATGCGATGTTGCAGTAAGCTTGTGAGAGTCAGATTCGATCGCTTTGAGACATGGGGCAGATTTAGACACTTGGAACGTCATTAAGATCTTTTTTTTTGTTTCCATTGTAAAACACAAGGTGTATAAAGGAGACGGAGTTGCGGAATCATTGGCATGTATCGAAATAAAAAGCAAGTGTCTCCTTTCGATAATCAACCGATATTATCCAATTCCAGTTGATGGACCCTGAATATGTGATGTTACGTAATCATGCGTTGCAATGTCGGACGGAGTTGCTTGAGCGCCGATGGTCCCTATCCAGGCATCCGGGGCACCTTGGCAGTTTGGCAGCCTCCGGCAACGACGTAACGATTTCATTATCTGTCATACTTGTAATAGTTGTTGCGCACGACGGCAGCCATGGTCTGCGCTGATCGCTGAAATATGACTGCAAGGGAAGATGCTAGGTCTTTGGGTGCGGGCAGAGCAAACCCCGAGGAGCAAGAACTGCCACCAGTGGCGGCGGTCTTCTTGATACATTTCGATATCAAGGCCGGGTAGGATTGGCCCAAATTGTCGATAATTTGCAATGAAACCATGGCTGATAGCTCTGTTGACAGCTATACTGTTGGCTGGAAAAGATGTTTACCCGAAGGTTAATAACACCACAAGAAACACAGCCTGATCTCAGGATGTGAGGGTTGACATTCGTGCAGTGGATCTCGAAGGTTTCGTCGAGTTCAAGTCGCTACCTTCTGGACTGCATAAAGTCCACGAGGATCTGGTGTAAGTGACATACCTATCGCGATAGTGCCGATAAACTGACCGGAGTCAGATATTTCGTACACGATCAATATGCAGGAATCAGTGCGTATGTCAATGAGCCAGCGGCAGCATCTGAGCGTAATGCGCGGATGCTAGCTGTTGGTGTTTTGGTGCCGCTGAGCTCAGGGAGATTGGGAAGAAGTTGGCATCATGCTAAAGCCATTAAGGGTCTTGCGAGGTATGACTAGACATCGCCCCGGATCAGTAGCTCAAGCCGGCAGAAACTAACGTATAGTTTCGAATGTAAAGACGGCTGGTTGGCAATATTCAGGATACTCAACCTCTGGAGGAATTTTGGGAGGCGCATCGATTGTCCCAAGAGGAACTTTCATCGAGCGGCAGCTCTGCGAGTGGTTCGCCTTCCGACATGCATTTCAAACCCGCTCGGCGACTTAGCAATGATGGCGAGGGCCGAAATGCCTCGGTCTCAAGCGTGACTGTCTCTATTCCGCCTGTCCCGATTCTCTCCGACTTCCACCCTGCACTCTCTCTGTCTAAATACCTAGATGTGTTTGGCCCATTGGTGTTCCCCCTCTATCGCGCAGCTCTTCTCAGAAAACGGATACTCTTGGTGGGACAGGCTCCCGTAGAGCTTGCTTGTAATTTTGGTACGGAGCTTTAACACAGGAATTTTCATATGCCTACTGATATACGTCGCAGTTTATGATATTTCTATACTCTCAAACGTTCCTCTTACTGCGGCGAATTTACTCCCTTCCGATGCGGCTCCTTCCAGGCTTCGACCCCTTTTTACCATTGGAGTGCACGACATACCTTACCTCGAGCGTTGTGCGCAAACCAGTGACGCAACGTCGCGGTCGCAGGCTTCTGCTGAGGATGGCTTGAGCGATGAACAGGGGCAAGGCTGGATTGCATGCACAACTGACGATGTGTTGGCAATGAAAAGAAATCTTTACGACATTATCGTCTGGCTCCCTCGGTCGCACCCAGAAGATGCTAAGGAGAGAGTTTGGCCAAAGCTGGAAACTTCGCAAGGGAAGGAAATCAAAGCAACGCAAAGAGATCTTCGGCGGTACCGAGCATTACGAACCGGCTTGAGGCGATTTCAAGTGAATCCATTGCCGCGCTATCATGACGACGAAATCGAAGACGACGATGAGGAAACAGCGCTTCTTGCCAGTGATGACGACGAAGATTCTGAGACAAATGATGTTGCAGCTGCTGAAGAGCAAGCTGCGGAGCCGCTTTCTTGGTCGGCGCTAGCATATTCTGGTTTCATGTGGTGGGCATCTGCCGGTGAGAGGCGCAGTGACTTGGATGCCGAGGAGACGCATGATGCTGCATTGTTGGATGACCTTGATGAGCTCAAAATGTCTCCATCAGGGCTACGAAGGCGGCAATCAAGCGGTAGCCAAGCAAGTCACAGAATATCTCAGCGGCCCGTTGAGACAGTTTTGGTGGCCTATTTTCACAGACTGACGACACTCATCATCGCAACGTTGGCCGATATTGTGGATACTGAAGCCAGTCACGATGAGGAGGCGGATATGAACAAACCGGTATTTATAAGTAGCGATGACATGATGCGTATGGGACTAGACATTTGGAGCGACGGGGATAAGAAATTTGTCGGGGATATCCTGAAGATATATTTTGATCACAATGCGACCGTTCAAGGTGCTTCGATCGAGTGCTGCGGTATAAGGATCTGCTGAGAATATCAAGGCAAAAAGTCTTATAATTATCCTTTATCAATGATATCAATTACATGAATACTTTCCACTAGGTAGTCAGATAATAATTCTAAGAGTGCTGAAGTCGTTGCCTTCCTATTCCCGGTGTTGTTTGGTTAAGGTTTTATCTAATCGGAGCTTATATATGATGCCATATGGCGAGCCCTATCTGCAACGCTACCCGAGAAGCCAAAGTGTCCTCTTAGCCAACGTCAACTGGACGCGAAGAGCACAGAAGGCAACACGAAACCCATCAACAATCGCCCTTCCGTCAATGCCTACGAGTCGGCGCTTAAAAGGAAATCTAAAGCCATAGGAACTTGATGGCAGTTAAGGTCATTCAAAAATTCTCTATATTTCTTTGAGCACTTCTTTAGAACCTGCTACTAGGACGCTGGGCGTTCTTAGCTGTTGATGCTCGGGAGCTTCACCTCCACCACCATGGCCGCCCCTGGCCGGCGACGAGCCAACCTGCCAATGAGCACCCTTACTATTCTGCTTTGTTGCATCTTTTTATTTACTAGTACTGCTTCAGCTGCTTCTGCCGTTTTAGGGATTGATTTAGGAACAGAATATCTCAAAGCCGCGCTGGTCAAACCTGGAATTCCCTTCGAGATTGTCTTGAGTAAGGATTCCAAACGAAAAGAGACCTCCGCCGTTGCATTCAAACCTCTAGGCCCCTCCTCTGCAGACGCAAAAGCATTTCCCGAGCGGCTGTACGGCAGCGACGCTCTCGCGCTCGCTGCACGATTTCCTGGAGATGTCTATCCCAATCTGAAGCCGCTACTTGGCGCTATCCTCAAGGACAATGACATCGTGGACGAGTATGTCGCACGTCATCCGGCTCTTGACGTCGTTCGAGATGAGGAGCGGCATACGGTTGCATTTAAGAGCCAGAGCTTTGCAGACAAGGAGGACCCGTTTCTTGTGGAGGAACTGCTCGCAATGGAGCTGAAGAACGTGCGGGAGAATGCTGAAATACTGGGAGGACAAGGAACAGTGATCCGGGACGCGGTCGTTACTGTTCCCGCGTCTTTCACCGCTACGGAGAAGAGAGCTCTTGAGCTAGCTGCCGAGTTGGCTGGTCTCAGGATTCTCTCCCTAGTCAGTGACGGCATGGCCGTAGGCTTGAACTACGCAACGTCCAGAACCTTCCCGTCAGTCAGCGCCGGCGAGAAGCCCGAGTATCATCTCGTGTTCGACATGGGCGCAGGATCCACGAGCGCCACGGTGCTCCGTTTTCAAGCGATGGAAGTCAAAGATGTGGGCAGGTTCAACAAGACCGTGCAGGATATCGCTGTGCTGGGCTTAGGATGGGACAACACTCTTGGCGGCGACGCGATGAATGGAATCGTGGTTGATGACATGGTAGAACGCTTCATGGACTCGCCTCGGCTCAAGCAGCTCGGCGCGACAAAGGAGAAAGTAAAGAGTCACGGTCGCACAGCGTCTAAGCTTTTGAAGGAGGCGGAGCGAGTCCGGCAAATTCTCAGCGCCAACGCAGACAGCATCGCCAGCTTTGAAGGACTATACGAGGATGTGGATTTCAAGTACAAGATTACGAGGGCCGATTTTGAGAAGCTCACAGCTTCCTACGCCGATCGTATCGAGGTCGTTGTGCAGAATGCATTGGATATGGCGAAATTGACGACAAAAGACATCAACTCCGTCATCTTGCACGGTGGTGCGATTCGCACCCCGTTTGTGCAGAAAAAGCTCGAAAGCATTCTCGGCGACGCTGGCAAGGTCCGCGGCAATGTCAATTCCGACGAAGCCGCAGTGTTCGGTGCTGCATTCAAAGGCGCTGGCATCAGTCCTAGCTTTAGAGTCAAGGATATTCGAAATGCGGAGGCCGCCGGTCATGCTGTCGCCGCGCGATGGGTTGCCGACGGCAAGGATCGCCAGCAGAAACTCTTTCTCCCCACATCCCGTGTTGGTGCTGAGAAGCAAGTCCCGTTCAAGAAGGTCGAGGACTTTTCGTTCAGCCTCTTCCAGCAGAAGCCGTCTTCAGCCGATGGACTTGTCTTTGAGGTCCCTGTCATCAAAGTCCAGACGCAGAACCTGACAAGCTCGGTTGCGCAACTCATCGACCAATTCGGTTGCTCAGCTGACGCTATTGACACAAAATTCTCAATCAGACTCAGCCCGAAAGATGGCCTTCCAGAGGTCCTTCAAGGCACTGTGAGCTGCGAAGTGGACGCCCCTGAGAAGAAGGGCGGCATGGTCGACGACGTAAAGGGCTTCTTTGGCTTTGGATCTAAGAAGGGTGAGCAGGAGTCCCTCAAGCAGGACAGCGAGGCAGAAGAGGAAATTCCTGCGGAGACAGAGACTGAATCTACTACGTCTGCCTCCACTTCAACGTCCTCCACCTCGGTCGCGTCAAGCTCAACTTCTGCCGTTCCCTCTGTGAAGAGCGCCGGCGCCAAGAAGACTGAGGTTATCAACCTCAGCTTCACTATTGAGCAAGAAGGCCACCTTCAACCTTCGGGCGCTGAATTGAAGCGGATTAAGGAGAGGTATGCTTTATATCCTAGCACCATTGCTTCTTGTTTTCAACCCTTTTTTCTTTCCCCCTATCAATCCACTAACGCTCACCCCTTTTAGACTCGCTGCCTTTGATGCGTCTGATCTGTCCCGCCTTTTGCGCGAAGAATCCTTCAATACCCTCGAAGCATTCACTTATCGCGCTCGAGACCTTCTCGACGACGAAGCTTTCATCTCGGCATCCACTTCGACCGAGCGCTCAGAGATTGAGTCCCAACTCTCCGACACAAGCGAGTGGCTTTACGACGAAGGCGCCTCCGCGCCCCGAGACGTCCTCGATGCCCGCCTCAAGTCTCTCACGGACCTTACTGGGCCTGTCCAGAGACGCATCCAAGAAACCAACCGTCGGCCAGCACTCATTGAGAATCTTCAAGAAGCGCTGAATCGGACAAAGCAATTCATTGCCGTTGTCGAGGGCCACGTAAAGCGTGCCGAGGAAGCCGCGTCTTCTTCTGCCTCTTCTGCTTCGTCGTCATCCTCTTCCTCTCCCTCGTCTTCCTCCTCCACTACGCCCACTCCCTCATCAAGCTCATCGGCACAGCAAGAAGACGACTTTGCCGACCTCGAAGACGAACCCACATCATCACCATCATCAACTTCCGAATCCACCACCACTACCTCTACGACCCCCACCCCTTCCTTCACCCCCCCAGTATACTCCGCCGAAGACCTCGATTCCCTATCGACAGCATACGACTCCATCAAGACATGGCTCACGTCGAAACTCGCCGAACAAGACCGCCTCACCGCGCATGATGACCCCGTCCTCCTAAGCGCCGACGTCGATGCCAAAGCGCAAGAACTTGACAAAGTCATTATGGACCTCGTCTCGCGACAAATGAGATCTCGCGGAAGCAACTACGGTGGAAGCGGCGGCAGTGGAGGAAAGTCCAGTGGGAAAGCGAGCGGCGGCAAATCGAAGAGTAAAAAGGCAAAGAAGAGCAAGACTACCTCTGCGTCATCGTCGTCGTCCTCCTCTTCTACTAGTACGCCAGCCTCGAGCTCGACGAAATCGCATGATGAGCTTTGATATCTATTTTTAGTAGACAATCTTTCGCTCGCACTTCGGGCCTTCTCTCCCTTCCTCGTCTTATTCGACCTTTCTAACTAAAACTCCCTCCCGAAATATCATAAAATCTTATTTCCTCACAGCGTGGTGTGTTTCATGACTTTTTTTTTTTTCTTTTTTACTTACTGTAGATTCAATGTTGCAGGGTAGATTATATATGCACTTTACTCCACCCCTTTTTATAGAAAGCTTTTTGGGAAGTGTAGACTTTGAAAATTCAAAAAGTGGATTTGAGAAATGTCGTAGAAGATGCACAATGACATACAGAATTATTTTCTGTCTAGTGTAACTCTGGCCATTGATACTGTTTGAATTTGAACATTCAAGTATTGTCCTCACAAGAGAGAGAGAAAAAAAAAAGGACACAAAATACCGTGCAAACAATACAGAAGCGCAGAACGGGAAATATACATGGCTCATACTTCTTATATCAAGACATGTAATACAGTATATATATAGAACGCCACGGGCCGTTCCTCCCAAGTTTCGGAATTTTGCAGAAGAAACAAAGTAGAAATTGGAGCAAGACCAAGAACACTTTAAAAACGCCTTTGCCCCCATTTGCTACCCTGTTTTATTCAGGGATCAAGATACCAGGTGAATAGAACATGTAGAATCGGGCAAACAGAACAAATAGACGCCTCATTTAGCCCCACAGTGAGGGGGCAGGCGAAAAGAAAGGAATTATGGCCTTGGCTTACTCGCATGAGGAATCGGAGGAGGAGCAAATGACTGATCATGCTCTTGTGGTAGACCTCCAAGGGTTTTCTTCTTTGGTGGAGGCGGCGGTGGCTTCTTTTTGGAGGCGAGCTGGGGGGCTTGTGGTCCAGTTGTTGAGGGAGTAGTGACGGGGCTGTGGGCCGCAGCAGGAGACGCAGATGTCCCTGATCCATAACTATTCAGTCGATCCATGGCACCATACTTGTTGTTCAAGTCATTGGCTGCTTTCCAGCCCGAAGCGACTTGCGAGCCGTGCCGTTCGCGGAAATTGTTGGCGGTCGATGCAGCGTTTCTGGCATCAGCAATGGATACTGACGATGGGTCTTTGCGGAATGAATTGGCGGTGTTGAATGCTGATTGTTTTTGGGCGAAACTGGTCCCTTGACTACTTGCCGCCGAAGTAGTGCCAGTCGATCCAGTTGATGGTGAGGCTGATAGCTTTGCAAAACGCGAGTTGAGTTCGCTGAGATGTGGATTTCGAGTAGCAGGCGCAGGCGCAGGTGGGTCTGCGCTCCTGGCTGGAGACGCCGAGCCTGAGCGTTGAGGTAAGGGCGGTGATGCCCTGTGTCCAATTTCAAGTCCCGGCACAGATATACCTGCTTGTCCGAGCCGGTTGAGTGAGGATTGGTTCAGGTATCCTTGCGCCGGGCCGGGTTCTTGGACTGCGTCATTGTACGTTGGTGGCGGCGACGGGGCGCTGGGTCCCGGATGCGAGTTTTGTCGTGGTGGTAGTCTAGGGGGTAAAGAAGGCTTGACTGGTGATCGTGGCGGTGTTGGGACTGGGGAAGATTGATTCGGGTTGATTCTTCGGACGGGTGGTTTGGGAAGGTGATTTGTGGTTAGTCCTGTGGTGTCTACGCGGTATGGTTTCGGTGGTGATGGCGGTCGCTGCTCCTCCTCTATCGCGGCTTGAGCGGCAGCCTGCTCTGCCTCGCGTTGCTCTTGTATTTGGGATTGCGGTAATGGAGCACCGATACCTGAGCGGTCAGGTGTCAGTGTGTTTGGGGCTGCTGCTGCTCCATGATAATTGATGTGTTTCGGTGGAGGCGGGAATAAGGCTGGGTCCTTCAGCGAAGATAGTGGTTGCGAGACGTGCTGTTGACCTTCCTCGGTAGGTGATTTTCCTTTGCCCATCCATCCAGCCTGTGGTTGTGGTTGTCAGTTGAGTTGTTTGGGCCCATAATGTCTGTATATGATGCACGCGGGGAGCGGCATCAAAGGTAAACATACCACTTGGTTAATTCCTTTGAAGTCGCCTCGCCAACTCTCCTTTCCACCGGCCCCGGCTCCCTTTGGATGCCAACCATGCTTGGCTAGATCTTTGAAACCTGACATTGGGTAATCTATTTGACGTTGCTGTTGTTGAGACGTCGATCAGGGTCGAGCTCATCTTGGCCCCTGTGGCACAAAGCGGATGACGCGGTGCGGGACTTATCAGTGCTTATGTAATTGGACGATAAGACTTGGAGTCTTGTTGTTTATTACAGAGTGGTCGAGGATGAATCATACAGATGAGATAACTCCATCAACCATTGCATTTATATTGCAAGTCTTCTCAATTGGTTGACTTTTTTTTTCCCTTCTTTTCGGATGTCTAAATTGTGACACAATGACATCAATCAATGAGAGCTTTGAGCTCAACCGCTCACCCAGCACTAGAACCAACGATAATGTCATAGATAGGGCAAGCTTCGAAATGGACTCTCCAGATCAGCAGTCCAATACAGAAATTGAGCAGCCGGCTCTTCCTGAAGCAGACGGAGGGAAATCTGCTTGGCTGATGCTTGTTGGTTGTTCAATAATTCAATTGCCAATATGGGGTATGCACGATTTGCAAATCTGGCAGAATTGGCCACTCAGGCTTTACTAGGATTTTCCATCACATTTGGTGTCTTTCAAGAGTATTACGCTACTCATGATGATTTTCGCGGGAATAAATCAAGCATTGCTGTGATTGGTACTACAGCAACTGTCTGTCATACCTTCTTGGCATATATTTTCCCTCAGATATATCTAATTTCATTTCAAGGGTCTGCTATATCTACTATCTCCATTCACGTTCACCCTTCTGTCCCGCTACCCTTGGCTCCGTCGTCACTGTGGGCCATTGGGACTGTTCGTTACGACGGCTAGCTTTCTGCTTTCATCTTTTGCAACAGAGCTTTGGCAATTGATTGCAACACAGGGTGTTATGAACGCCGTTGGCAGCGCCATGCTCTTTACCACTCCAACACTCTATCTTGACGAATGGTTTGTCAGAAGAAAGGGTCTGGCGTATGGTGTTATGGGGAGTGCTAAAAGTGCAGTGGGATTTGCATTGCCATTGGCAGTCAATGCTTCCCTGAATCGATTTGGGTTGCAGAAGACCCTGTGGGCGTGGTGTGTAGGGCTCGTAAGTCATTTGTTCTTCAGCCAATGAGAAAAATATAATATTGATATTTTTGTAGGTGGCTGTGACGAGCCCACTTCTTTTTGTCATCAAACCTCGACTTCCACTATCGCCAAACTCGGCACCAAGGAGCCTGAACTTGAACTTTATGAGAATGTCATCATTCTGGGCCCTGCAGATTGGCAATCTGCTTCAGAGTCTTGGCTATTTCCTGCCGTCAACTTACCTGTCCTCGTATTCTAACGCTATAGGCCTCTCTACGACGATTGGCACGGTCGAGATTGCCGTGCTGAACGGCACTTCGGTGTTTGGGAGCTCCCTGATCGGGCTTCTTTGCGACAGTTTCCAGGTCACAAACGTCATTCTAATCAGCACAGCTGGGTCGGCCATTGCCGTGTTTCTATTCTGGGGTCTTTCGTCACAAGTGTCCTTGCTGACCATTTTTGCAATTACGTTTGGCTTCTTTGCCGGTGGATTTAGCTCGACCTGGTCGGGGGCTGTGGGTGCTCTCAAACAAGAGGAGCCGGCTCTCGACACGGGATTTGTTTATGGCCTCTTTACCGGCACTCGGGGAATTGGTAACGTGATTAGTGGACCGTTGAGTGTAGCCATGTTGAACAGCCAGGCTGTCACTCGTGGTCCGAATAGGGGCTACAATACGCAGTATGGTCCAATCATTCTATTTTCGGGAGTAACTGCACTACTGGGCAGCTGGAGCTGGATCTGGCACAATGCCAAATTGCTACACGCAAGACTGGCATGATACCGTCGGATAGAGATGAGTTTTGCACAATGTTACCTCCATGGGAAAAAAAGAAACAGGTTCACTAGGAGGATTGGGATATACTGTATATTTTTGACTGACTACTTACCTTGAAATTGATACAAAGCTGAGGACGTAAATTAGCCGCGTCAATGAAATTAATTTTACGCTTGATAATTTGAAAAATACCAAACGAATTATTCAGAGTTGAGAAACATTTCTTTCGCATTTCATCATAAAGAAATTAAATAATCATGATTTGAAGCTCTGGTGTACACAAGTGATCGACAAATAAAATGCGGGGTTTCGAGTGGGGGCGGATAAGCTATAACTTAATGGTTAAGTTAGGGCTCGTTAAGGTTATATACGAGCTGGGGAGTGAGGCGGAGCAGATAATACTTGGTAACCCTGTCAACTATCGGGGCGCAGCAATTGAACCCTTTCGAGCCGCAAAATGTCACGTTTCTGTCAGCTGGCGAGCCCGTGTCTTACGTTGCCCGGGCTGAGCGTAGCAATGAAGCGGAGACATCTCAGCAATGTCGTCCCTTTACTCTTCTGTTTGAGAACATGTTGCAGCTAATCTGTCCACTTTACTGAACAACTTCTCCGCTTTCGGTGCTGGGAGGTTATTACTCTTTTACTGGGTCATAGTACTTCTTGGCTGCACAGAAACAGCGAAAAGCGGGGTTTGAAAGCATTGTACTGTTTCTGCTTGCAACTGCGATTTTCCTCTCGTGGTTTCTCATTGTCTCGTTAAGCTTGGGTTGTGGGATAGTTGAGTCCTGGTTGATGGTATGTCCGCATCCGGCGATAGGCATCCAGTATATCTCTTGACCGACTCCACATAAATTAACGATATTTACAGAATCAACATCCCAAGCACCTACAGTGAATTCTTCTGCCCAAGGACCGAAAATAAAAAGAAACATAAAATAAAATAAAACGATGGGCCCCAAAGCACGGCGGCAAGCTGCCCCGTCATCGTGGACCGACGGCGATCCATTTACCTACTTCACCGATGAGCCGGCCGCCGCCAGTTCTGCCTTTCGGTCACTAGATTGGCCTCCGTCTCAGGAGACCAACTTTTCTCCTCACCACGTCGTGAACCCCGCCGCGGCATCGAGTTTTTTTAGTGAATTTCCTTTCGAGTCCAGACCGGGACCACATTGGACGGGATACACTGGCAGTCACACAGGCCCGTTTGGTGGGCACGGCCCGTGGATGACGGGGAGCCATACGGGAGAGCCTTTCTCAGGAGCAACAGCTATAAACCCATCGTTTACTACGTCTCCCACCATCACCAATGCTGCTGTCGTTGCCGCTTCGGGCCAATCGAGCTCTTCGCCGACTGCTCTTCTCGTCACCAATCCTGACGATTCAACAAGTCATCAATTGAGTACCGGCCAGCTAATCGCAGCTATTGTGTTTCCAATCTTGATCCTCGTTGCGCTTAGTTTTGTTTGCTTCTTTATCTTCCTCGTCCGAAAGAAGAAGAAGCAAGCGGCGGCCGCGCAGCAGCAGGAAAGGGGAGACTTGCTAGGTCCAAACAGTCGCGCCGCAGTACATGCTGGGCCCGAAATGTTGCCTGCGTATTATCAACAATCTGCTGCTCCATTTGGCGCCATGCCGCAACGACATGCCAGCATCTCGTCAGGATACTACACAGGTATCGACACTGCGGCCCTCGCAGCGAATGCTCAACCCTTGCCCCATGGTCTTGAAGAGCCCCCGCCACCACCATATCGACCAAGATCACTTGCACGAGAGCAAAGAGAGTCCGGGGATCTCTTGCGTGAGACGCCGTCAAGTGGAAATGGAAATGGAACCGCAACTCAAGGCGAGCAGCAACACGCTGGAACTGGAACTGGAACAGGAACAGGAAATGAGCCACGGCGCGATGATTGGGATGCAGTGTCTGATATATCTGATACGCACTTGCACGATGGCGAAAACCCGTTCCGAAGCGCAGACGACGCTGTTTCGGTGGTATCGGATATTTCTCTAGAGGGTGGAAGGGAATCATCAACCCATCATGTTGTTTGATGACGAGCAATTTTATTTATTTATTTTATTTTATTTATCTTATTTATCTTATTCGTCTTATTTCAAATGTTATTAATTTGTCTCATAATTTCTCGTATTTACTCTTTTCTCTCTTTCTTTTACGTGTTCGCAATCAGGGGATATAATCATGAGTTGACGGAGCGCTCTACAGCCACATTCTCGCACCAGAGCGTCGAATGATATTTAATCTGTTTCTATACAGTTGTGCCAACATGTCATCAATACTTTGTTTCCGTGCCATTGTATCATCTGTCAAATGTCAACATATCTTCATCTGACCATCTCATGAAGTGGTTGAATACACCCTCCGATATTCAGTCTTAGTCTCCGGTCTCCAGTCTCCAGACCCCAGTACCAGTATCCAGTCTCCAGTCCACAGACGACAGACACAGACGACAGATACAGTCATACGACTAACATCACCACCTTTCCATTGGACTAGAAGTTCATAAAGACATGGTCACAACGTAGATGGACAAAAGGATAAAGTGAAACCACCACTGAGTCGCTGACACAACAACCACGCGGAAAGTTTAACTTTTATGCTCCAACAGACTACATGCTTTGTGCTTTATTTTTCGTCCTTCATGCGTCATGCTTCGTATTGCACGTTTATCCATACTGACAAGTCAACAACACTACATGCTCAACCTACGAGTGCCTTACTCCCCAACGAAGGCAGTGATTAATGTGGTAGAAGGGAGGAGAGACAGGCATCAGGCTGTTTCAAAGTGATGAAGTGATACTTGCATGGCAATTGTCTCTCGTTGCATGTTGACCACAAGAAAGGTGATGATCAGCACGAGAGGCGTGGTCAAGATGATCTACTTTGTGTATCATTTAGGGCAGAATATATCTGCGGGACTTCAAACGTATTTCCCGAGTCTCTCTTTTCAGTCCTCGTGAGAAAAGAAAGGCACATGCAGTGTATAATTTCCGAGCTTTGCATATGCTTGATGCTCTCCTACGTGGTCGTAATCGAAGGATTACGACGACAGGACGCAGATCGCTGAATGCAAGTCAATTCTGATTACTGTGATTAGAAGATTACACATTTCACCGGCTCAATTTTGATACTGTACACTGTAACTTGACTTGCGTGCAGCGTGCAGCGTGCTTTATCAAGTGCCGTACGCCGTACACGTTTCTATGGTTATCTAGCCATGTCTCAGCCGACTTCACGTGGATGCTGTGCTCTTTTTCCACAAAGTGGACCAGTCAGGGCGGCAGCCAGGGGCGACATCAGCTAGTTACATATAGCTGTCAGTGCCGCACTGCCGCGTATCTAAGCCGGGAGAGAACGGGAGCGGGGTGCTATCTGTACATTGTCAATGCAGAAAGTCCACTGGAAGGAGAAAAAAAAAGCGTGGCTGGGCCCCAGCCCTAGGTGCAAGTCCAAATACGACAGGCGACAGGCTACAGCCGCAGTGGAAAGAAGCCCAGATGTTGAGCTGCCTTAGGTAGTTTACCCCTCATGCCGTGGAGCCAACAACTCGTACCTGTATGCCGAGCTGCTGTGTACAATGTAGGCATTTAGCTTCGTATATGGGGGGGGGGTTTAAAGTTGAGCTGAGAGTACCGCGTACTCAGCAGTGTCTGGACACAGAGACACAGCACATGCATGTGGCCGAGCACACGGACATTAGACGCAGGGGAAATTCAAGGCCAGAGCAGAGGAGTCCTGCATTTCGATAAAGTTTAAACTTAAAGTATTTCCCCTGTGCGGGCGTTTTTGGCATCAAGACGTTTGCATACAGATCGGTTCAAGGCGTTGTGTAGAGCTGATGATGACACATGTCTGGGCCAGAACCCTAATGTCAGGGGATATTCGACCACTGGGTGACGAACTATGTAAATCAGATATTCTGGACTGCGTGACACAGTATGTTAACTGTTACATTGAACTTCGAGGCCCACGATGGTGGTAATAACTGGGGTTGATCATCGTCAGTCTCGTCAGTCTCGTCACGGTGGAACCAGAGACGAGACCTCTACCATAACATATCATATCATACCCGCTGCAGGAAGAAAAGATGGGTGAGATCTATCGGGTTAGTTGCAAACAGGTGTATGTCTGATAGAAACCCAATATTCTGCCCTTGCGTCTGCGCGACTAACTGCCTTCTGAGACCTTGAATCCAGTCATTGTAAATGAAAGGACGTGGAAAGTATATCCGGCTGAAAGTCTTGTTTTAGACTGTCGATCCAGTTTTATGGCAGGTCTAGTCAGGACTTGCCCGTCAAGAGCATGTCGAAGGTGCTCTATCAGGTGAGAAAGGCATCTTGTGCGACAAGGAAGATCCAACAATTGAGAGGAAATTGTGACATGAATGCATAGTTATCGATATCTGAGACTTCCGCAAATGGATATGGAAACCAGGTGAAAATGAAACATTCATTAAAGGCCAAGCGCTTGCTGCAGATTGTCGGAAACTTTAAGCGTTGATAAAAGGGTGATGGAAAGTCTAAGCGTAGTGTCAGTGGCCAGGTTGGCTGAAAATGGACGCGCAAACGCCAAAAGGAAAGAATAAGCTGGATTTGCGCTGCATTGGAAAATACTTGGAAAGCTTAAGCGTGTGGAAAGACAAATCTAGAATTAGGCTTCATTGGATATACTTGAGAGGGAATGATTAGGCGCTGATGCAAGGATTGAGGGTGTGTGCGTGCACGAAGCAAGGGAATATAGAGTGATGCGATGCCTTGGTAGACCAAGGGAGGAATAAGCGATGGCGTTTTAACACAAATCTTCTTGGATCTGAACGGAGAGTTACACGATGAATACTGCACGAGAAACATGTTGCAAGTGAGTAACAAGTACGACGACAAACATGAGACATCCATACTTGCTGGAGACAAAATGATATACGCCGCCTAATTTCATATAGAGTACGAATAAAGACGTTGATATGGAATATGTGCAAATAAATGCAATTAGATAAATATATTTTACGGAATTTTTAAAATAATTCTGAACTTTACTGCAGATTAAATTGCCAGTAAATCAACCAAAAAAAAATAAAAATAAAAATAAATAAATAAATAAAAAGGGGACGCAATCTGGTTTACGTCTCAGCATAATACAATTAGTGAAACTGTTACTTGAATAATTTGAGCATAAACTTACGAAACATTATGGGATAATCTATGACGCTTGGTGGTCTGAGGACGCTCAACGATTGCATAATCGCCTCGTGGAGATAAAGCAATCGGACCGCAGATTAGCACGCTCAGCTCGTACACCCCTGCCACTTTTCTGAGAAATTCAGCTGTGGCGTAATTTCTTCTGCTAATTCCATCAAAAGATCCATCCAGGAAGCCATTAAAATGGTGAAGCAGAAAGTCCACTATCATGATGCGCTAGGAGACACGAGCTGAGGCCGAATCATCATCAGATTGAGAAGTTCATGGATAGCGACCCGTTCGGAGGCTCCGAGAATGAGATGCCGAGGCTCCGTCAGAAATTTTCATAGCTCAAAGCTGTACTATCAAAACTGTCAAGCTAGATTCTCTTAATGCATTTCTCCTCCGAGAATTTAGCATGTCTGGGAAATTATCTTATGACTTTCGCAATTAATATTACAGCATTTTCTACGCAACACAACGATCTTGAAAAATGGTGAATGTTATCATCTCCAAGTCGGCTGGAATTCAGATAAGCTTGGTCTATAGATTCTAGACTCTTCAATAAGATGCAGACCCGCTATTCGTGAACTTGGAGTTGACGATATCGTTCGCAAGGCTTGGCATATTTACGGTTACCGTTCCAGCGGGTTAGCCTTACGGAGCTTCAAATTCTTCTGTCCAGGATTTTTCGATACAGTATTTCATAGCTCGATACTAACGGGATTACATATCAGCAAGACGCGGCTGGCTTGACCTGAGTTCCACTCTCGGAGGTTCGTTCTAATGCTTACTCACGCCGTCGATCGCATTACTCTGGCTCGTTTCATGATAGTTGATCAGTTAAACGCCCTAAAATGACTCCGTCGCACTTTAGCTTCGATCGTACCAAGATTCATATCGCGCTCCGGCCCTTGGTATTTCGGCTGGCCCGAAGAAATCATGGAAGGATCGAACCTCCCGCGTTTTTTGAACCATGGAACCTTGATCGACTGCCTTACTGACCATAAGATCTAAGTCCTTTTTCAGAAGATACTTGCGAAGCTATTAACTAGGCTCCGATTCATCCTCATCACCGAAAAACCCTCCGCTTCAAGCTACAAAATTACTCGATTATGTGTCGCCGTTATATGGTCTACCTCTGTATGCATACCCATTGGCTAAAATTTGATCACCCTTGAGTCTTTCTCGACAACGAGTTCGTCGGAAGAGAAATGCTTGCTCTAGACTAGCTTGGCATACCACATGGCTAGACCGCGCGAGATACAAGGCTTCCTGGACATGCAGAGCGTGGCTTAACGCCGGAACGAGTAACGTGGGATTGGCGTTGGCTCGACCTCGAGTCAGCACGATACGGGCACTTTACGGCGTAAGCTCTAGTTACTCCCAGCAGTCTAGTAATCTGGTAGCCTTTGCTCGCCACACGTCTTGTGGGACGAATTGAACAGCAAAAGGAGGAGGCACAGCATTCAAGAAATAGGTACATATATTTCTGTCACTCAATCAAGTCACACTGTCTCTCTTCGTATACCAGCCACCAGCATCGCACAAAGTCACTTTCGTAGCCGTCTGTCTTCGACCTGCACCTGCACATGCAAGATGCATGTCGCCACTCCCTTGCATATGTGACATAGTCCGAAAAAGGTCAAATTAAGAAGTGCGGTGTAAGGGCTCGGCTTAACCACCTGGGGTGACCGTCTCATTTCACTTTTTCTTTTTCTCACGTCTTTCTTGTCTCCCTTTTGAACTCACATGGGGTTGAGGTATATGACCAGTCACGTCAACTGTTTCAACATTTTCTTTGTACGTTTTGGAAGCGCCACCTAAACGCAACCCCAAAACTCAAGGCGTCCAATGATATCGCTATTGTACCTGTCTTATCCTGGAGCTGCAAAGTAACTTGTGTGTGATCAGTCAAGTCCAAGCTTTTGGCTGATACATTATCACGTGAAGGCATGGGAATTTGAGTTTAGCAAGCTCGAAAGCTATGGGAATGAGTTGGTGGTGCACGTTTTACCAGTTTCCATCCACAAAGAGGTTGAAGAAATGCCAGAATTGGATCCAGACGGCATCGCAGCAGCTCTCCTCGCTCATTATGAGCTTTTGATTGGGATGCGACATCTTCCGCGGTCGCGGCTCAAGCTCCCACCTCACCCCATTGACGAAAACTTTGCCCGATCCCAAGGCCTTTCTGACAATGTTATATCACTTCTCAAACGTCTTCCCTACATTGACATGTCCCAGCCCGGGCATGCATCAACTGTAATAATGTATCAGACCTTCCCAGTCGATTACACCACGCTGGGCGGCATCTGGAACTCACGTGATCCTTTGTCTCTCCGCATCAGCGAAGCTGACGACGAAGTCCCCGCATATGTCAACCCATGGGAGACTCTGCTTGCGCAAGCATTCCGCGAAGGCGAGAACTGGATGCTCGATGTACGTACTGGAGAGCTTACAGTTTGGAGGCCAAGCACAAATGTCACACTGAGCGAGCGATCTTGCAAATGTACCTTTGGAGTGCTGTCAATATACCTCCAGGGGGCATCGAAAAGGTGATGCAGTCGAGGTCATTCGACAAATGACTGACTCGTTGCGAAGTCTCGAGTATACACCCATCAACATATCTGAGATAGCTCCCACGCCGAAGCAGCTTCCTATTGCTGGTTTGACGGCACAGGACGCTGATGTAAGTCGTCAATGACATGCCACCCCTTTGCAACTGGCAATCAAAGTGTTGCCCGTTGTTGACTTTTACATGACATGAGTCAGTATTTTCTATATGCCATCAAGGCGCTCTATTTGGATTGTGGATGGCCGAATAATTTTAGAGGCGAAGAATTTACAGCCAGAAAAACCGTTCTTGAGCGCGAAGCAGCCAATCAAATGAACTAAGTAGAAGAAACACTGCACGAGAATGGACGCGCCAGAGTATTGCGTCTTGTTTCTACAGTGGCAATACTGGGGTAGCAGGATGAAATGACTGCTCTTTGTTTAATTGCAGACCCTCATTGTTCTGGATAGGTGGGTCTCGTCGACATCCTAGTTTGAGGCCTCTCAATGTGGTCACCGCTTGATGGCGGCACACAACATGGCGACGCCTCGGCGAGGCCGGCAATATTACTGTCCCAGCAACACATCATTCCTTACGGTGGCAAGTAACAGCTTAGTCGGGCAAATGAAGCCATTTTTAACGTACCACTACCTGTAACAAACGAAATTTGCCGCAGTATCATAGCTATTGGTCTAATAGTCTAATAGTTCGGGCCACGAGCAGATTGTTCAGCATCACGCTGAGCGGCTCAACATACCCTGTACCTGGGAATCACACATACGTTGGGCAGCTTGGCCGTCTTGAAGCACATACAAGCGAGACAGGCCGCACAGAGCAGATCAAAAAAAAAAAAAAATTCCCTGAATGCTTCATGACCAACCTCCTCCGCCTGCTTCTCTTGCGGTGTGTTTGAGACCTTTCCCCTGGAGAGGTTCATGAGAAATAGAAACATGGATCTCCAACACTGCAGCAATGGGAAAGCATGAGCTCAGGCGATATCTGTAGCAAGTCGTACAATTCTTGCAGGGAACATGGGACCAGACCAACAGAACATTTCAATGACCGACCAATGTCTGCTGCAAACGCGGTCTGGTTTTTCCAGATATTTACAGGAACAAAGGCGGTAGTCTGCGACAGCGCCAGTCACGAGCCAGAGCACCTGCCAGTCGCCCATTTGATTAGATGCAATGGTGCACCCTGTGCCGTATAAGCTGTGCCACAGGGTCACATATGGGGTACAGTTCGCCTGCTGTACGTCAAGTACCTTTTCACTCGCCCCCAGAGATACGTTACCCAAAGGTTTGGGTCTCGTTTAAGGTATGCTACGTGATTGTGCGAGTGACTCGAGAACGTTTTGAACGTGGGGTTTCCTCGTTGTAACCTTGTGATGTGTACAGGGGGTTCAATGGGGGATCTTCCCTATGACTGTCGATCGAATAGGACCTGTCCTTGAGCTCAAAAAAAAAAAAATTCGAACTCGCGCTGGATCATCCCTTTTCCACAGGACAATGCAAAAAGTGAAACGGCTTAAAACTAGGTACCCAGTTCCAGTTTACCATGATCGATGCTGATCAGCGGAGCCCCGGCTTTTCTTACCGTGTAAACTACCTGGGCCACAGCAATACAGGACGAGAGTCCGCTTCAGTCAGGTTTGTCGCTCTGGGAGTTTAACCATCAGGTCACCAAGAGGGCTTAATGGGCCACACCTGGCGTTAGTTTCGCATAGCTAAAGGAACGTGAAGCTAGGGACGCTTCCTACACACACGACACACCGACACACCGTCCAAGGACGTGTAAACCTAAACTAAAAGTAGTTTTGAATTGAAGAAGAAGACCATTCCTAATTTCCCCATTTTCTTCCGATTTTTCCTGCTCGTCCCCATAGCACCCGTTTCATCGACCATGCAGATTTCCCAATCTCCGGATTCTGAGAAAATTTTTGAACTACCGGTCTTGAGGTTTCTCCCGATAGCAGACCTACCTTTTACCTCCTACGAGTACGCATGGAAGACCACAGTTTAGACCAAATGCCACATCTGTGGTAGACTAAACTTTAGCGCTCTTTTCTAAACCTACCGAGATCTTCCACACCAATTTTTGCTTCCCCTTGCATTAAGTACCTACCTGACCTTGCACACTATGCCGTCCTTGACTGCTGATGCCTCGATGCCTCGATGCTTCTCTTCGTGCACGACAGGAACAAGACATTGCAATCTCCTGCACGAACCAGTCCGACCCCGTTTCTCTATTGCAAGTTGGGATTGTTTCACGTCCTCTTTTTTTTTTTTTTTTTTTTTTCCTCGCTGAATTGCTTTTTGTCCATCGCTGTGCAGTTTACCTACAGAAAAGCGCTGCACTACCGACACGAGTACTCCGTACTCCGTACTCGAGGTACACGTCCCCTGATACTTACCGCACACACACACATACCCTGACCCACATACTCGAGATCTACCTCAGCCATCCCCGGTCCTTTTTCCCGCCGCGCGAGCCGGTCGGGATTATCACCGAGGCTAAACGGGAGGCTCCACTTCAGCTTTTAGTTTCGTGTGGGCTCGACTCTGATCTCAATTTCCCGGCCGATTCTCCCAGCTCGACACCTCGACACCACACACTTCCTTTGCCCCCCCAGGTACCCATCATATTTTTTTTTTCTTCTAGGGTACGCCCATACTTGTACAGACAACCCATGTTCTATGATACCATGTCGCAGTACGGAGTGCTACTGTGCAGCAAGTCAGAATCATATCCCACATGGCTTTGCCGATAGACTCACCCGCCCCCGACTACTGCCATCCTGTAATCGTACATCCCACGCCCGTACGTAGTACACATCAGCGCTCCTTGCCCTTCTGATCCCCGGTCATAAAACGATCCACGTCAACGAACCAACGAGCCAACGAGCCAACGAGATCAAACAAGCTTCCTTTTTGCCCCCATTCTCACGAGTATTTGAACGTTTATTTCGTTATTGTAAAGCTGCCTACCTACTTTCTGTCCGGTTGCTGTCCCTGCGCATGTTGGCCAGCATGTGCTTGCTTGCTTAGTCTACCTACCTAAGATATCCAGTATCTTAAGCTACCTTATAATATCATCGAGCCATAACCGCAGTGCTATAGTTAATTGAACTGTAGTTCCAAACCACGATACTGTAGTTTTGAATCTAAACCAGCTGAACTCACCAAGAGTTTGATTCAAGTTCAATTAGCAAGCTCCACTTCACTCTTTACTGTTTATCCGTCCGCTCAAGTATGGCTGGTGCATTACTACGGTAGACAGCACGATACGAGTAACTCTGTACAGCAGTACCTCCGTCCACTAAGTCACTTATCAAGCGTCCGGGGCTTAACTAGCCTGTATTCGTAGGTAACTTAGGTTAGGTAAAGCTAGGACCAGCGAAGATCATTCTGTTTAGACTTTGTCGGGCGACCGGCGGCCAGCGGCCAGCGGGTACTTCCCATTTCCTTTCCCTGTTCTTACTACCTCACCTTACGTACCTTACGTACGGATACTCTACGCTTCTTGTTCCGACGTTGCGACGCAAATCTGCTCCGAGGACTTGTTTTTCTTTTCTCTCGATTGAGACTCAGGGGCGAGGCGAGGCGAGGCGATAGAGTGACGATCGATCCACAGGCCACCATCCATCCATGTTGCCATCCCAAATGGCCTTCGGCACTGACGACGACGCTGTGGGAGCAGGGCTACTGTATCGTCTACCTGTACCTTACCCAGTCCCAGTCTCCAATTTTACCCTTGCCTAGGTACCTATATGTCATTTACGTCCGCTTTCAATGCTCGACGAAATTGACGTGATTATTTCGAATGACACTCTGTACATGACTACACACCGTAACACTAAACATTGTAAACGCAGAAAGACACGACTCTCAGGTTCGCCCAGAGCAGCAAAACACCGTCAACCCGTAGGACCTGGATCCCTCGATCCAAAGCGCATGGCAACATGGCAAATTGGCCCGAGATACTAAAAAATGGTGCTATCGTGGCTAAGGCACCTAACTTACCTTAACTAAGGTGCTAACTAATTGCGCGCTAAACTGAATGCTGATTGCTACTATACTCTAATGCTGGTGCCGTATGCCGACACCGACACCCACGACACCCACGACGACGACGACAACGCTGCCGCCGCCCTCGCCTTCGCCTTCGCCGCGCTGTGCGGTGCAGTGCAGTGCGTCAAACACCCGCCCACGACTCACATCCCCATAGCCCACATCCCAGACATACCCAAGGTACATTATACATACAGGAGTAGCTTTGTACAGACAGACAGAAACAGAGCTCACACATACTCGTACCTAAACCTAACCTACCTAACCTACCTGACGTACATCGTACATACATACATGATGCATAATACACAAGCTAATATTGCTCTCGTTGACTCGTTGACTCGTTGACTCCCCCAAACTAAAACATACCTACCTACTCCGTACCTACACATACATAACGCCATCAGGTCCCTCTCACACACACCCCAGCCCACCCACACCTACACACCCACACACCCATACACATCCCCCATCCGCGTCCCAAGTTTTGGGCCCTGCAGCAAGCGCGAAAGCGGCACAGCGGGAAACCCCAGAGCGAGAGAAGAGAAAGACGAGAAAGACTCCAAAAAAGGGTCATACATCGTACTTTTATCCAGTACATTGAGAACACCCAGAACCCAGAGATACAAAGAAAGAAAAAAGGAAAGAAAAGAAAATAGGGTGCTCGAAACGTACAGAGTACAGGACTACAGGGCTACAAGACCCAATCCCTTCCCCAAGACTAAAAAGCTCCAAGATCCAGGCTCCAAAACAGGCCCAGGACAAGGACAAGGACAAGGATATACAGGATCTACGGTACCTAAGGATCCAGGCACACGCACACCCTCGCACACTTTCAAGACAAGACACTCAGACCACCTGCCACCAATGCAAACTAGAATCTGAACACTACGACAACCCCCCAGGCCCCCCCTACCTCTCTTTTTTCTCCACTGACTTACATACATACATACGCCCATACGCCCCATACATACATACATAATACATACAGGCGCACCTACGCACCTACGCACATACGCACAATCGCGCCTCAATTGCACTCCTCCTCCTCCTCCTTCCCCCAAAACCCCAACCCCATCCAATCCAGAACATTGGACAAGACGCACGTACACCACACGGTCAGCTCCGGGGTGGTGTATGTATGTGTGTGTGTGTGTTTCTTGTTGTATGTGGTCGTACAAACCCTAAACCAGCACTCAGCACCAAGCACCAAGCACCAAGCACCAAGCAGCAGCAGCAGTGCAGGACCCAGCACCAGCCCCCAGGCCAAAAAAGAAAGAAGAGTAGTAGTGCCCGAGCGTCTCTCTTTTTTTTCTGTACTGTACGGTACAGAGCTACTGTCTATCTGCTCTCTTTTTCGTCTCTCTTCCCCCCCTGCTCTCACACCACGCACTCTCTCCCTCTCCGCGCGCTCATACGCCCCACGCCCTTCTCTCACACGGACCAGGCCCAGAAAAAAGGCTGGAGAGCAGCGCGAAAGTAGAGTTTGAGAGAAAGTAAGAGAGCGGCGCAGGACGTAGGCTTGTCGAACGGGGGGTCCTTGCTCTTTTCAACGTCTTTCTTTTTTACACACTCTACTCTAGCTCTCTGATCTCTTTCCTGGCCTCATCCATCCATCAACGCCCCTGCTCCACGTTCATCCACCCTCCTGGGGCCGCCATCATCCCTCATCATATCACTCTCGTCATTGTCATTTCTTTTCCCCTTCCTCTCTTTCTCTCTCCTCTCCTCTCCTCTTCTTTTCCTCCCTTTCCTCACACCGACTTTGCCGGGCAACGAAAGGAAAAGACGGGACAATAATCACCACGCTCTAGCACTCGTTGACCAACTCATCCTGCTTCCTTTTCCCCTGTCGTCTTCTTCTTCTGCTCTTGCCTCATTTAGGCTTTTCACCGCCTCGCTCTCTTTTCCTTTTTCCCAATTTTATTCCTTCTTCCTCTACTCTTCCTCTTTCCTCCTTCTCCCATTCCCACGCACACACTCTCTCAGTCTCCACTCTCACACTCACTCCCTTCTCCGCATTCCACCCCTTCCCACGCGTGGATCATCCCCCACATTGAAATCCTTCTCTTCAATCATTGTCATCACGTTTTTTTCGTCCACCTGTTCCTCATTCCATCAGTCTCTCCTTGATCCAATCCGAACATACTCTTTCCCAGTGCCTTTCTCTTTTCGGTTTGCTGCGCCAAAAGTAGACGGGAAGAGGCAGTAGGGAATTTGTAACCGCACCACCAGCTTTGTCTGTCGAGGGAAACACCTTCCCTTGGCTGCTGGCGTTGTCTAGACGATCATCATCCGCCAGCGAGTTTTGGTGGAGAAAGGTCGAATTTGCTGTGGGAGGGAAAGTGAGAGTAAACCAAACTTGTCCCTCTTGAGCTGCGATATTCCTGGAACTTTTCGTCCTTCGACACACGCAACAACAGAAGGAATAATCCCAACTTCATCATGGCCGTCGCTCTCTTCCGCCGCTCCGGCCACAATTGGGGCCCCCCAAATCTCGATGCCATCGGAGCCGTCTACATTACCGTCTGTATCGTCTGGACCTTGCTCTTCGCCGCCGGTCTGATCACTTTGCTTCATTTCCGCAAGCTACCGTTTATTCGCATGCGCGACATGACCCTCGTTGCTTCGGCGCTTGTTACTCTTCACGTCTACCTGTTGCTCGATCTGCTCGTCTATCCGCTCAATGGCGCCTTTCCCTGCGGACTCGAATTCTGGATCATGGGCATCTACCTTCCTCTCGGCTTCGCCTTGTTCCAGGCCCAGAACATGCAACTCCTCAGCTTGAGCCTCCAGCAGAAGCGCCTCTCGTGGCAGCCGCGCGACCTTTCGGCGCATGACGACGCGAGGTCCATCTATAGCATTCGCAGCTTGCGCAAGAAGTGGAATGCAATGACTTTCTTGCACCGCATGTACTCGGGCATTGCCATTGGCGCTTGTGTTCAGGTACGTTGGATTTTCCTAGTGGAGATGGTGCTTTCGAAGATGATACTGTGCTGTGATGCTGATAACCCTCCAGGTCGTTGTGACTTCCTTCCTCTTCTTTGGTTCTCGCAAGTTTCATGGTTCTTATGGTGCGTTCTCTGCCGATGTGAATCCTGCAAAGTGCCGCAAGGGCTGGGAATGGTAGGTTCAGATTGATCCAGTTCAGATGCCGGAAGAGGGGCGATTAATTCGGTTCCTAGGTTGCCTTCGATCGTCTGGCAGTTCGTCTGGACATATGGCATTGGTCCCTATGTTCTGTTCAAGATTCGGAATATTCGCGATGTTTACCACTGGTCTTTGCAGACTAAGCTCTCAATTATTCTCAGGTAAATGGACACAATCAAGTATCGTATGAGACTGTTCTTTGATTTTAATGCCTTATAGTTTGCCTGGAACGCCTCTCTGGATTGCTGCCATTTACTCTGACAAGTTCGCCAACGTCGACCTCTGGTGGCCTGCTCCTATGTGGTATGTGACCTTGCCAGTTAAAAACTCGAATTTCTCCGCTTATTTTCTTTTCTTTTCACTAGGTTTGCTCCGGGTCTCATGGGACTTGAGTTCTTGACCATCTTCTTCCCTCTTTGGGAAGCGTATCGGACCAAAGATCGTCGCCACTCTGCTCAGTCTGCCTTTGACGGATGGGAGAAGGACCGATCCGATGTCGAGTCTATTGACTGCGCTTCTACCAAGCAATCCGTCAATATCTCCGTTTCGCCTTCTGCCACCAGCAGCGAACGCAAGCGCCGTCACGATATTTATGGCATGCAGGCTCTGGAGAAGACCCTTGACACCAACGCTGCTGGTCTGTTCAAGTTCGCCGCGACCAAGGAGTTCACTGGAGAGAACATTGTCTTTTTAACCCAGGTTCGAGATTGGAGACGCAACTACCTTCAGCTGCTGAGCGATGGCGCTATTTCCGTGGAGAACCGACGCAAGATGTATGCCGAAGGTGTCAAGATCTTTTATCACAACGTCTGCATGAAGACCTCCGAGTTCCCCGTCAACATTGAAAGCAAAATCTACGCCGATTTGCAGCGCATGTTCCACTCGTCCAACATTCCAGCTCCAAAGGCTGTCGTTGCACCGTTTGCTGATGATGCCGTCCCGTTGAGCTGGACTCAACCCAAGAACGCCAACAGCATCCACTCTGATAATGAGGAGCTCATCACAATTGCTTCGCTCGATTCAAATGGTGGTAGCTGGGAAATTCCCGATGGATTTGATGAGCATGCTTTTGATCGCGCCGAGGCGTCGGTAAAGTACATGGTCTTCACGAATACCTGGATCCGGTGAGTAGTAACGTTTCAAAATCACTTGAGGGATATTTTTTTTTTTTACTGACAACCCACTAGCTTTGTTGATGCTCAGGAGACTGCCAGCATGGCCAGCACCCAGGGCTCTGGCTCCTCGCGTTCTTCAACGAGTCTGATGCGTTGGCTCAAGATGGCGTGAACTTGAGGTTCATCGAGGCCATTTGAAAGATATTATTATCAACTTTTTTTTCGACTTATGATGACGCGTGTCAATTGGATGATTGACGTAAGCGGTTTGGATGTGTGAAATATTCGGAAAAGGTGCTGCTTAGATAGAGCCCTCATTTGACTTAGTAGTTACAAACTTATGCCCTTGTTTTCCAGACCCCCCTTTTCGTTGCTGTCTCTGATCTCTTTCTTCTTTTTATTTCTCTGGATACCCGGCGGGGGTATCGGCCATGCTTCCCACTGCAGATAATATGAGGCCTCGGATAGGATAATATCAAAATAGCTTTACGAGATGACGAGAACAGTATGCGTGTGCACGTAAGGAGATGGGTAAAACAGCATGTGAATCATCTGCAAGTACCGTAAATTGTTCATCCACGTTGCAACCACAATTAACATTCTTTGATAAAATGCAACAGTTACTTGATATTGAAGAAAAAAGGCATGGTATGTTCAAATTGAGTCGATTTGAGAAACATGGTAGATTGTTCGTTACTCCAAGTAGAACCCCCTGATGCCGCTCGTCAACCAACCGCCACGTACATTCCCATTGCATCACAAGTCGGCGGAGTTCCTAGAAATCTCATTGGCATGTGAATATACTCATGGCAAGGATTTAAATGAAGCGAATGGATGATCAAAAATCACATTGAAGATGACTGACGTTGTTATCGACCTTCCTGATCTGGGGATTAGCTGGCTTAGCTGAGGCTCGCCAACTCAAAAACCTCCGTCAGTGCCGTCCTCCGTCCTCCGGTTCCGCCGATCGCCGCAAGCAAACCGGACAAACATGCTACCCCTCCGACGTCGGACGCATCCCACTTTGGTGTCATGATTTCCAATTGCTTTTGATCCAACAATTGCAACGCTCAAAAGTGATTTAGACGTCTGAATACCCCTTTGTTCAAGATACATTTGATACCCAACAAATTACCATTTGATCACAAACATGTCTCCATATAATATTGTCGTTTTCGCTGGCGACCACTGCGGTCCCGAAGTGAGCTCCTCTTCTTCATATCTGTGCATCTGTCCAGGAGACTTTTTAGCTAACGGACTTGCGTTCTTAGGTTACCACGGAAGCTCTCAAGGTGAGCACTAAACCGGCGTAATCGGTCCAGTCACCCTACTGGAAGTTTACATTTCAAGACTGCCGTCTATGAGCCTGCTTGAAGCTCGAGCGGAGACTTGTTTGACAACTGCCCGTGATTTAAAAAGCACACAAACAAACCAGCAACCACCAGGTATTGCTCGAATAAGCTAATGGGTATTTCTGTTCCTATAGGTTTTGCGAGTTATTGAAAAGGAGCGGCCGAATATTCAGTTCAATTTCCAGGAGCAGTTGCTCGGCGGCGTGCGTATTCCCTTTTATACCCCGCACGATGGGAAAACGCGCATATTTATAGCTGACACAAACGACTTCAATAGGCTTCCATCGATGCTACTGGCTCCCCTCTGACCGATGAGGCTCTCGAGGCCGCAAAGAACGCTGATGCCGTCATTCTTGGTGCCATTGGCGGTCCTGTACGTCTAACCTGTCTCAACATTTTCCTATCCAAAAATATCTTCTTGGACCATAGCCAAACCGATGATATGAGATGCACAAGCCAATGAAGCCACATACTAATTCACGTCTCTCATTGTAGAAATGGGGCACTGGCGCTGTCCGCCCTGAGCAAGGTTTGCTCAAGCTCCGCAAGGAGATGAAGGCCTTTGGCAACCTGCGTCCCTGCAACTTTGCGTCGGATAAGCTTGTCGAGAGATCGCCGCTCAAGGCCGAAGTCTGCCGTGGCGTCGACTTCAACATTATTCGTGAGCTGACGGGCGGCATCTACTTTGGCGAGCGCAAGGAGGATGACGGCAGTGGCCATGCGTACGACACGGAGCCTTACTCGCGCGCTGAGATTGAGCGCATCACCCGTCTTGCCGGCCACTTGGCGCTGCAGCACGACCCGCCGCTGCCCGTGTGGAGCTTGGACAAGGCCAACGTGCTCGCGACATCGCGGCTGTGGCGCAAGGTCGTGTCCGAGATCATGGCCAAGGAGTTCCCCCAACTCAAGGTCGGCCACCAGCTCATCGACTCGGCTGCGATGATCATGGTCAAGAACCCGCGCGCACTCAACGGCATCATCGTCACCAGCAACCTCTTTGGCGACATTATCAGTGACGAGGCCAGTGTCATTCCCGGCAGCTTGGGTCTCTTGCCTAGCGCCAGCTTGAGCGGCGTTCCCGACGGTAAGACCAAGGTCAATGGCATTTACGAGCCTATTCACGGTACGTCTTATCTTCATTCTTGAATTTTCTCCATTCCGTCATTTTCTCCTCCCCCCAATCCCCCATTCGCCTGGCTAATTCATCGATAACAGGTTCCGCGCCCGACATCTCCGGCAAGGGCATCGTCAACCCCGTTGCGGCTATCCTCTCTGTGGCCATGCTCCTGCAGTACTCTCTGAACTTGCCCGCCGAGGCCAAGGCCGTCGAAGAGGCCGTCCGCCGCTCCCTCGACAGCGGTGTGTGCACAGGCGACATTGGCGGCTCCGCTACCACCAGCCAAGTCGGCGATGCTGTTGCCAAGGAGCTGGCCAAGGTCTTGGCCGAGCGCAAGTAACTGCTGTCCTTTTCTCTTGTCCAATTCTTCTCCTAAACCATTCTTCTCCCCCAACCCATTCTCGCCACGGGAAACAAAAAGCAAACAGACAAAGATAGAGCCGTGACTTGACTTGACTTGACCTTGTAGTCCAGTCCCGTTTCCCTTTTTCTTTTTCTTTTAACGATTTGAAGGGAAAAAATCTGCTGTAGATGATTTCGACTGTCATTTTGGTTTTTTTTTTTATAAAATCAAATGCCTCGGCTGGCGTCGTTTCCTTTTTACTTTTACTTTTTACTTTTATATATATATGCATATTACCAGATTACCAGGGGAATAATATCATTGACATTGACCATTCTTGATGTAAAGCCATTGTCTTATAAGTCTACCTTACTCATTAGTTGTAAAGGCTACCTTGCTCCGTAGTCATATAGTCTACCTTTGTACTCTGAAAAGAAGAAGAAAATCCCATATCAAAATAATAAAGCCACTAGGAACTCCATCCCACATGCCATAGTTCTATGCCCCTTATGTTGCGCCGAAGAAGTATGGTAACCCTGGAAAAGAGGGGGAAAATCTTATGAAACAGAAGAGCCTCAACGCCCGCGACCACGCCCGCGCCCTCTTTTTCTCAAACAAGGGGGCGTCTTTTTTCTTTCCTCCTTTCTTTTTTTCTTGATATTTAAAATGATGAAAAGGAAAAGAAAAAGAAAAAGAAAAAGGGAAAAGAAAATCACCGCAACTCCGGCTCCCGCATCCACTCGGGCTCTTCCAACCCCGCTGTCAAGGGCAGGGGTAAAGGTCTGTGTCTTTGTCTGCGGGCTCTTGGAACGGAAGCTGGACCAGAGCCAGGAGCACCGCCCTGGGCATCATCATCGTCATCAAAATCGTTCATATCTTCTTCTTTGAATCGACTTGTGCTTCCACCGCCACCGCCACCGCCGCTGCCGCTGCCGCTGCGATGCATATTCTTTCGGAGAGGAGGTTTTGTCCAGTCGGGCGTTTTGACAGGGCTACCGCTGGTGTCGCTCGTGGCATTGCTTGCATTCTCATCGTCGTCATTGTCGTTCTCATCGCCAGAGGTGACCTCGCCGGAATCGCTTGAATTAATTCCTTGACTACCACGACGAACACGACGGCGGGCACTACGATGACCACTGGCATGGACCTGGTTATCTAATTCCAAGTCGTGCACCGTGTCGGTGCTATGATCGCGCGCAAAAATCTGTAGGCCGCGCAGATGGGTGTCTTTGCCGTTTTGATGGTTCTCGGTGATGCGTAATTGTAAGAGGAAAGCGCGCAAAACGTTGCCATCGGCGCCGAGCCGGGCGGCGGCGGCAGCAGATGCGTCTTCTGTCGCGCCCGTCGCTGGATCCGTGACCGGTGCAGCTGGAGGAGGCTGGTGTCGTCCTGTTCCTCCGGCGGTAGAGTCTCTACCGCCAACACCGGTTAAATCGACATCGATCCATCCTCGGGGCTGCTCGAAGCTGAGCTGGATGAACTCCTGCAAATCGTGGGGTCCGGTGCCCGCAAGCAATTGCATCTTGGTGGGCGTGTAGGACTCGTCGGCGTCAAAGTCGAGATAGATGCGAATGTGCGCAATGCAGACGAGCTTGAAGAAATGAATGTTGACCAGATGCGGTTGGGGACCGTCCGATTGCCAGAAGTCTGATGTCGAGGGGGAGCGTAGTGCCCCGACGCCGCAGCCTGGTTTGCAGCTTGAGACGGTCCAGCTCGCGAGAGAGGAGATTTCTTTGAGACCGGTGAGAGGAAGAGGATGTGATTTTTCTGTTTGGTTGAGAGAAGAAAAGATTAATTGGTTAGTTTGAGAGAGAGAGGAGCCGGGAGGGAATTGAAGTGCGGAGAAAAGAGGAAAGAGAAGGCGAGATGGGAAAACTAAATAAAATACCTGTTTCTGGGCTATCGTCATCTTCCTCGTCTTCTTCTTCCTCCTCCTCCTCCTCCTCTTCTTCTGCATCATCCATGTCTTCCATTTCTTCTTCCTCGAGCTCTTCGCCGTCACCTATTACACGATCGTCGTCCATGGCCGCCGAGACTATCGCGTCGTGGTCGACCATTTGGCTGTCCATATTGGCATCAATGTGAGATTTGTGGACTTGTAATTCCGCTTTCAGATGTCGAATTGTAATTGATAAGGATAAAATTCACTTGATATGGGTAGAAGAACGTTCCACACAAGAACAGTGAGCTTTGTTGTTTACACCTATGATACTTTTTTGGCTTGAGAGACCCTGTCGCCGATTCACCGGCATTTGCCGAGTAACGTCATTGTGTATATCCGTCTACCGTAGATTTCCCGATAGATGACTAAGCGAAAAGCTGGGGAAAGAGGGGCGAGGGGGCCAACGAGGGGAATTTAAGTTCCCCCATTTAAGTCCGGGGAAGAGGCCGCACCAATGACTGACGGAGCGGGGAGAGAAAAAGCCCTTAGAGATGATGCAAAAGCGAAGCCCTGTGATGTCCTGGCCGTGCCGATCTCCCGTCGACGGTCTATCATCAAGCCTTTCTTTAGGGTGGCTATGCTCTATTTACCAGACTTGATGCAGAAACTTTATCAAGGTAGATTCCAAATTTTATCCCCGTTGTAGTTAAACCATGATTGCGTCAGACAAAACTTACCTCTCAGTCGCGGGAAAGTCAAAAGGGTTCATCGGGGTGGAATTGCTCCTAGAACTAAATGCCCTCTTGGAGGATTCGTAATGAAGACGTTTCCCGCATTCCTTACCTTGGTATAATCGCTGGAGTCTTCCCCAAATTTACAGACATGACAAGATATTGGTGACCTCATGACCCATCTTGACCGCCCTCGCCATCTTTCTTATCATTCACTCAAATGATGGTGAAATTTCCAATGATAGACTAGTCCCCTGCTCTTTTCGATTCCAAATTAACTGAACTGACTCTGCGTTGTGCTTATCTCACCTTGAAATTTGTCAACCACCCGTTCCTATCGTTTCTCCCTCCACCGTTCAACCTGCAGTGCCACACATCTAGGCTCATCTGCAGTTCCTCTCTATCGCCCAAGCGCATGTTCCATCTAGTGAATCTGTACCGTTAATACTAGCACCAGTACAGGAGCTCTCGTCATCTACTTGTGGCCGAGCTATTTCAGTACCAACGGCGCCCTCTTTTTAAACTGCTTGTGACGCCCCCCACGGAAGCTCGAGTCTCGTGCAATCTTCAGCGTTTCTCTCTCACAGTCACCTTGTGTCTCATTCACTTATTGCAAAGCAATATCGGCAGAACAATGCTATAGTGCTGATATTTCTGAATGCTCTGCGTTGGATAATCATCACCTTCAGTCGCATCTTCGCACGGTCAAGGTCAAATTGGAGTTCACAACTCACACCTCGCATAGTCCAATACAAGTAGCACTTGGTCACTCAGGCAATAATGGCCGCTCTTGTTTTTGCATGTGTGTTTCTTATTTTCGACGAGTAAGTTTGTTTTCTGCTCTGAGGCGTTCTGATGTCACATTCACCAACACTATATTTGATAGGCTCCGTTCATTCAAGCGGAAGAGAAAGGAGAAGAAGGCTCAAGAGAAAGAGCATTTTGAAGAGATGAGAGCAGAGAACGAGCGGAGAGTGCGACGCATTTCTGGCCTGGATAACAATGACCACCTACCACCAAGTTATGAGGATGTTATCCGCGCGGATCCGCCGGTGCCAAAAGGCGTGAGTAACACAAGCGTTATAGAACACGCGCAACCTGCACCGGTCCAGATATGACAAAAGACGCAAAATGCCAAGAATTATGGCACCAATGCGACGGCAGTGATGGCGAATGGTTCATCTTCACTTGAATTCAACCGGTTCAGCGAGCCTTGGCGAGCGGTCTTTAACGCTGGCGTCGATCCACAAGGTGTATAGGGGTTTTCTTTCGGAGTTGGGGCATGGTGCTTTTATTATTCGTGTTTGCAATTACTTCGAAATGGCGCTTCGAATATGGTCTGGGCAAAGCGAACATAGTGGCGTCGATTTATGCTTTTAGGATCTCCATCAACCATATCTCTCAAGTCTCGCGCGAAATAGATTCTCTATGGGTTAAAACGAAACTTTTTTTTGGTATCATTGAAAATAGCTGATCCTGAATGATGTGAGGGCCTTGGTGTTTTGCGACACCTCTCTCTTCCGATGCTCGCGGCCGTCATTGAAATGTTCGTGGCGAATCCAAAGTCTATGGCGTCTAAGTTTCCAAGTTGATGCTCCGACCAAATCGAGCGTAAAGAGCAACTTTGAGCCCAGACATCTCTTCCCGAACCGAATCCAATTTTTCTTCTAGTGATGTGATCTCTTTCTCAAGTGCTTCGGTAGATGACGAGAGGAGGGTCTGGACTTCGGGTACCGGCAGAGAGACGAAGGAATCGCCCATTTTGTAACTATAAAACATTTGTTAGAGGTTTGAGCTGGATATGTTGGAGGAACCAATCTCACGGAACAAAGTCCTCCTCATCCGCTAGCTCAAGCTCATTCGACACTTCTTCCAAATCCTCTTTGTCTTTCTGCAATGATTCCAATATCAGCAAGAGTCTTTTTCATCGCCACAATTGATGGGAAGAAAGAGCGATATTTGAACGCACGTTCTTAGCTTTGAGCTCCTCCTCTATTAGCAGCTCTCGCTGGTGCAGGCGGCTAAATTTGTTGATCTTGTCCTGGTCTTCTCTACGGACCTCTGTTTCATCACCGGCGCCCTGGGCCTCGTCCTCTTTACTGAGCTGCAAAATTGGTAAGCTTTGCTGTCTCTTCTAAGCTCGAACCCCCGTGCTGGCTGCGACGTACCATTCGACGCTGCATTATGACGTTGATTTTAATGGTTTTCAATAGCTGTACAAACTTGCTTGTTGTCATGCAAATACCATTATTGCACAATTTGAGCTTGTAGCTAGCCGTAGTGGGGGTAGAATACACACTTAGGTAACCGTAGCTATCAGTGCATTGTTGACCCTTATCAACAGTCCCAGCAGCAACGACAACGACAACAATGTCCAGCCCTCCCCTCCGTCCATGAGACCCAGTATTAACAAATAAAGCTTATCAGTTACACCAGCCCTAACAAGAAGGTACATCCTTTTGACGGCTGTATATGCCTCCTGTCGGACTTCCCTCGGACGGTCCCTGGTTCGCTATAATTGCTTCTATCATATAATTAACTAGCTCTGCCAGCTAACCTGACGTTTCAATTTTTAGCTCCAAAGGGAAGACCTCCGGATATTGGGCTTATCTTTCTCTCCCGCAGTCAGGAGACCGGGCTGAAGAAAACAGCACATCCATCCACGTTCTTAATGGTCACATTATTATAATAACGGTTCTCTGTGCTTTTCTCTCCCCATGTCTATCGATTGATTATCTCCACCATGAACTTTATCGCGGACCATACGGCCACTCAGAGTGCGCCGTCGCACCCCAGTAGCCTGACCCATTGGCCACTCCTGGGAATGCATCTCGATTCCACGCATGAAACCTGCATCTTAAATACCCCATGCAGCTCTTTTCTGAACCACAACCCAGGATCGCTGTCTTTATTTGCCTTCAAGATCAATTAATAATTTTTCCCTATCACTATGGCATCCATGGCAACAGATCCTCCTGGTTATGATACTCGCTCAGCACCAGTGGGTGCTGATGCAAGCGACGATGCGGACGTGCTCGGTATATTCAACTATTGTCTTGACGACAGGTATTAGCCTTGCGGAGATTGCTGACGAAACTCAGCAAAGTTGGGATATAAGCAGGAACTACGGAGAAACTTTACCATGATTGAGGTTTTTGGCATTGCTTTCAGTACGTCCACCATGGGTAATTGAGATATGCGCCATTTTGACAGTTCTCTAAAAAGGTATCATGGGTCTACTCCCATCTATTGCAAGTACACTGGCATATACGATCCCTGCAGGGCCGGTAGGAATGGTTTGGGTACGCGCATATGATTCAATTGTTCATGTCAATACAGATACTAAGCGGACACAGGGGTGGTTTGTTGCTAGCGCTTTCATTTTTGTAGTCGGTCTTGCAATGGTATGTCTAAAAGTAGGTTTTCGGACTTTTATTCTTATACTAATTCTTCAATCGAACGATAGGCCGACCTCGGATCAGCTATGCCTACATCTGGTGGTTTGTATTGGTGGACGCATTACTTTGCTTCGCCGAGGTTTAAGAATCCTCTGAGTTTTCTTGTTGGCTACAGCAATACACTTGGATTGGTCGGAGGACTTTGCTCAATCGACTGTACGATTTCTCATCATGGCACAGATGGAGCAAGTTTGATGCTCCTCTCCATTGTCGTCGTGGCAAAGGTAATTCGTCATCTGATCTATGATCATAGCCCCCTCGGACTGCACTAACATTGAATAGGACGGCAACTGGTCTCCGACAAATGGCGAAGTGTATTGTGTCTTTTTAGCAATTGTGCTTTTACACGGCATTTTTGCATCCACACTCTCAAAAGTCATGGGAAAGCTACAGACTGCATTTGTCGTGATGAACTTTATCCTTATCGCGGCCACCATTATCGCTCTGCCGGTTGGTAAGAGGCATTCAGGAGAACGCAACTCTGGCGCCTATATCTTTGGGCAAATGGAAAACCTCACGACATGGTAAGCCCCTAAGAAAATATTGGCTGTAGTTTATCATACTTGTACTAAGCATTGAATAGGCCGACTGGTTGGGCTTTCATGTTGTCATGGCTATCACCGATCTGGGTCATTGGTATGAAAATCCAAACCTGACAATTTATTATTGATTTTTCTGACTGGACTAGGTGGATTTGACTCGGCTGTGCACATGAGCGAAGAGGCCGCAAATGCTACAAAGGCAGTGCCATATGGTATCTTAATGTCTATTGGATCCTGCTGGTTCTTTGGATTCATCATTATGATTGCCTTGGCTGCTTGCATCAATCCAGACCTTGAAGCTGTCCTCGGGAGCAAATTTGGACAGCCCATGGCCCAAGTATGTCTTTCTTGACACACCAATTCATTTCTTGTCCATCAAATACTAATCATCATACAGATATACTACGATGCTATTGGCAAGAAGGGCACTATCGGCCTCATGACTATCCTTACATTTGTGCAATTCCTGATGGGCCTTTCAATGGTTGGAGAACATCCCATCCCAAGTTGCTGAGATAAACCCCATACTTACCTGACCATCACAGATTGTCGCGTGCTCTCGTCAAAGCTGGGCGTTCTCCCGCGACGGTGCTCTTCCCTTTAGCAGCTTCTTCCGCCCTATCTCCAAAAGATTCGGCTATATCCCGCTTCGGACAGTCTGGGGTTGCGCTTTCCTGGCAGCAGTCCTCGGCCTTCTCTCCCTCATTGATGCCGCCGCCGCACAAGCGCTCTTCTCATTGGCCGTCGCAGGTAACAATGTCGCCTGGGGCACGCCCATTCTATGTCGCGCTCTGTTCGGTAGAGACAAATTTAAGCCCGGCCCAGTATATACGGGCGACAAACTCAGTCTGCCGATTGCTTGGCTAGCAGTCACCTTTCTTGTCTTTGGCATCATTCTCAGCATGTTTCCCACCGGCGGGCCCAACCCAACGCGTACGTTTTTTTTTCCCTCCCCTCCTCTTCTCCTTCTTTTCTTCTTCTCTTCATCTTCTCTTCTCATGATCCCCCTATCTATCATTCTTTCCTATTTATATAACAATAAAAGCTGACCATTACAGCCGATACAATGAACTATACCGTCGTCATCAACTGCGCCGTTTGGGGAGGCGCTCTGCTGTACTACTTTATCGACGCACGGAAATGGTTCACTGGTCCCAAAATGACGCTCAACCTTGACGACTTGAGCGAGGAGCAACAACGCGCGATTGCCGATGAAGGGATGAAGGTTGAAGGCGTCGAGCCTGTCCACGTCAAGGGCAGCAGCGACAATGATGAAGGCGAAAGCGGATTAGCAGCGAAGAAACTCGAGAATGGGGCTTAGTATTAGTTATGTCCTGATCATTACATCTATGTTCATTTATCCTGGTCACTATATCACGGGTCTTTACATTTATCTTCATTTATCCTCCGTCGTTATATCCTGATCTAGATTCACGGGGCAATATATCGCACATGACACTCAACCTATTCCATCTTTTGTGTTTGACGTTTTTCATTGTACTCTTTTTTCAGTGTTCATTGTTTTTTGACTCGCTTGGAATGACAAAATAGATCTATAGAGAAAAATTGGGAACAACAGAGTAGTCACTGCAGTTTGTATTCAATGCCGAATACGCAAAAAAAGATGTAACATTTCAAAAGACACCGCCCAGCCAATAATTCAATCATTCTACCATAGGAGAAAAACCGAACCAAAGAAAAGAAAAAGAAAAGAAAAGAAAAAGAAAAGAAAAGAAAAGAAAGGCATGACAATGAGTAAAGTAATCTAGACTTAACCCGTACCAAGACTTTTTCTAGTCAACAACGACAATTCTAAAAGCGCATAAAGGAGGTACGTAGTTTAAAAACGGGGACAAAACAAAGACAAGGTACAATCACCCATTATTTCCACGGCGCCCGCCTCTCTTCGACCGCTCCACATGGCCCTTGAGCACCTTCTGCGTCTCGACAAGACTGCGCTTCTGCTTAAAGCGCGCTTTGCCGAGGGTCATGAGGAAGTTCTTCTTGCGCGCCTTTTCTTTATTCGTCGTGCTCTTGCCCTGGGAGCGGAGTTTCTCTTTGCGCAGGGCGGCCGAGGACTTATGTTCGTTGCGCTCGCCCTTGGCGGCTTTGACGGCCGCGTCGCGCGACTCCTTGTCCTGCTTGTGCGAGAGCATGGCGAGGCCTTCGATTTCCGCGGCGGTCAGGGGGTCGTCCACGTGGCGGTTGTGGCTGGCGGCGGCGGCGGCTTGGATTTTGGCCGCGGCGTGCAGACGGCGCTGGGTTTCGGGCAGGAGCTTGGACACGGAGGCCTGGGTGCGGAGTTCTTGCAGCTTGGCGAGGTCGGCGGGCGTGAGGATGCGGGTGGTGGCGAGGTTGAGGACGCGTTGGCGGGCGGCTTCGGCTTCGGCTTCTGCGTCTGCGTTTTCTTCTTCTTCCTCTGCGGCGGCGCCGTCGACGTCGACGTCGCGAGCAGCTGGATTGGCTTTCTTGTCGAGCTTGGCCTTTTTGGCGGCTGAGGGTTTGGTTTCGCGGTCAGAGTCCGAGTCGCTAATGTCGATTTCACCGTCGGATTCGACGTTGATCCAGCCGCCGGAGTCGTCGCTGTCCTCCTCGTCTTCAATGTTCCAGGCGCCCCAGTCGTCTTCGTCTTCGTCTTCTTCTTCTTCTTCGTCGCCGTCGCCGTTGCCTTCTCCGTCGGCGCCTGCGTCAGCAGGGAGGCCCTTGGCTTCGCGCTTGCGCTTGCGTTCTTCTTCCTTGTATGCCTCTAGGAGTTCGAGGCCTTCGATGCCGCCAATGTCCTCCTCACCGAACCGGCGCTGTTTGCGCTCGCCCAGCTTAAGTTCCATGGTTGCGGCCTTGCCTCGGTCTTTCTTGCGCAAAAGGTCGGCGCCAACTTCTCGGTACAGACTGAGAAGTCCCTTTGCGGCCATCATGACACCCTTGTCTTTGCTGGATTTGTACATGACTAGATCCTGCAACAAGGTTTCGTTCATGGCGAGAGGTTGTCGAACACAAATCTCACGGATCGCGTTGAGACCGGCTGAGGCGACTTCTGCGGCTGCTGCCTCGGAAACGAACTCGTTGGCAATCTTCTGGATCAGTGGCTCGAGGACATCAGGCGGGACGAGAGAGTGTGTGGACTGGGCAAGCGAGGCTAGGAATGAAGTGACAGATGGTTGGCGAGGCGTGAGATATCTGTTAGATACATTAGTTCTTGGATTCCTTGATCAAGGGTTGAAAAGCTGGGAAATGCTAGGTTTAATAACGTACTTGAGGAAGTAGGAGTATAAGCTGATAACAGTAAGTCGGTGTAGACCAACAAGACGAGAAACAAGCTGCAGAACGAGAAGCTTTTGCTCAAGGTTGAGCTTGGATTTTGTGTTCTGTAAGTGCTTCTGGAAAAGTGTCTCTGCGAATCCCTGAGGATCGTGGAGAAGATGAAGCGCCGAGAAGTTCAAGGGGTGGGGTTGATTCTTCTTGCGCTCTCGCTGTGGTGATACTAGTCAGTTGGCTGTTATAGGAAATCATGGGAAAGCCCCCAAGCATAAGATGCACGTACCCTCTTCACCGTCGCTGCCGCCTTTTCGAGTGATTTAGATTGCTTTCTGGTCTTCTTGTTGATGCCTGCCTGATGCCTCAACTTGCCCATGTCAATGTCTGGTTCATCGTCACTTTCCTCTTCCGCCAACTCTTCTCTTTCCTTGTCGCCGCCAAGGAAAAACCGGACACCGCCCAGGATAACCTTTTCGTTATCCGACAAGCTAGCCTCCTTCATAATCTCCACCGTTTTGGAGTCTGTCCAAATCTGCCGCTTCCATAGCTCTCTTGTCAACTTGACTGCCCAAAGGCCTTTTGACGATGTGCGATCGGATACAACAAGGTTAAATAAGACAGTCTGTATCGTGCGATTGAGGCGGTGGTTCTTGGTCTTGGCATTGGAAGACCGAAGATCAGATAGAATCTTTTGAAAGAGCAGCGCTCGAAGGGATTTGCTCGGCGTGGTCGTGAGAAGTGGGAAAAGAGTCTGAAGGAGGCTAGAGCAGGGAAATTTAGAATCCTCGCAAGCAACCGATAAGATACGCAAGATACTCACGCTGACGAGTCAATCACATCCTTCTTTCGAAGAAGCACTAAGCTTCCCACAATCTTTTCTCGGAGTTCAGGTTCCAGGTCCGTGTGATGAAGTGTAATCAGGTTCATCAAATCCTCGGGGAAGGATTTAGTAATCTCGGGATAACAGTCCGCAACGTGCGCCACGAAGTCAATAAGTTCTCGGAGAGATATGAGGCCCGCATCAGTCGCAGAGCCTGGCGCGCGCATGAAAATCTCTCGATGACTTTCATATTGGTGGTATTGACTGGCAAAATCGTCCTTGTATGACCTTCACTTCTATCAATAAGATGTTCCGCGGCCCAAAAGCCTTGTCCGAATTCTCGGGAGTATACGTACACCGGGTCCCTTCTAATCTTATGTTGCAAATTCGGCCTAGAAATGCGATTTTAGAAAAGACGAAGAAAGCGTTATTTGGTCCGATGCAAATATTCCTTCTCTACATCGCCAGTATTAATGCAGCAAAAGGTGCAAACTCACAGATCAGCCTCGACCTTTTCGAGCGCTCCAACCTTGCGCTTCCCCATTTTGCAACGACAATAGCAGCTAAGATATGAGTAAAAATAAGTAGAGTAAAGATAACTGCGGTGCTCAGTGTTTAACTGCGCCCGCAAAGCGATGTTTTTCTCAATTCGGATAAAGTTGTAACTTTTTTAGTTTCGCCTTCCGGGGCGGGGCGGAATTTACCGAGCCATAGTCTTAACCAACCACGACCACAAGTGGGCCCCGGGGCACATTTTATCTCCCAATTGATAGGCTCCATCACTCAAATTTGTGCTTTATAGCACTAATCCAACCTCTGTCAAACATGCTCTCGAGACAATCAAATTTGGAAATATACAAGGCACGTCGACGACATCTAGTCGATCTGCAAAAGCCCGACATATGGTTACGAATTATATTTTCAACTGCCAAAATCTAGTATTTTTTTTTTTTATAATTTCCATAATTGTGACATGTGCATTGATCTTGACCAAAACCTAGCCTTGTGAAAATCGAATTATATTTAGATCGCATATCCAATTACCATCACATTATTCTCCAATAAGGGAAAAAATAGCCTCAATCAAAAGGTATCAGAAGAAAAGAAAGAAAAAAAAAAGAGATTCTCTTTGGACATTGTTTTCCTATAGACATTCCTTTGGGGTTCATTGAAAGGAGCGGCGATCTCGATGAGGGCCAAGCTCGAGATCATAAATTCATGATTACGTCAGAAGTGAAAAATTATTGAGCACTTAGGCCAGGACCATCAGACCGACGATACCAGCGAGAACAGCCACCGCAGGCTTGTTGGCAGACGCGGCGTTGGTGAACTGAGCTGGCAGAGAGGTGGTGGAGCTTGGAGCAGTGCTGGTAGTAGCGCTAGGAGCCTGAGAAGAAGCAGTGACCGGGCCAACAGTAGCAGAGGAAGCTACAGAGCTGGGAGCCTCAGAAGAGGCGGTGACCGGATTAACAGTGGCGGAGCTGCCCTCAGGAATGGCAGAAGTCGGCACAGGGGCAACGGTTTCGACAGGGGTAGTGCTCTCCACGTGGGTCGAGGTTTCCGGAATTGCGGGAACCGCGGAAGACAAGGTGGGAGCAACGCTACTCGCTGGCGAGCTGGCCACCGATGTGTAGGAGAAGGTCGAGGTCAGGGTAATGGGAATGGAGTAGGTTGAAGAGCCATGTGTGACAGTCGAGTAGGTGACCGGGCACGTAGTGGTAGTGATGACGGTCAGTGCCGTGGTGTAGGCGATCGAGGAAGGCGAGGTCGGGGCCACCTCGACGGAGGTAGAGGTGGGAACCACGGGGTAACTAGTGGTCTTCACGGTACTCACGGTAGAGGTGGTAGGATAGACTGTAGTGATGATAGTGCCGCTTTTGCTCGTGGTGGTAGTGACAGGGCAAGTAGTCACGTAAGACGTGGTAATCACTTCGGTAGTGTGAACTGGTGTAGTCGACTACGGTCGAAATGTTAGTCTTAACTGACGATAATGTTAAATGAAAGAATTGCATGGGCTTACCGGTGAGAGCGTCTTGGTAATGGTGGGAGTAATCAACGTAGTGGTGGGATAGACGCTCGTGACAGTCGAGACAGTCGAAGTAGTCACCGGGATGACAGTACCAGAGGAAGTGGTCGTGGTAGTGATAGGGCAAGTGGTGGTGTAGACGGTGGTGACCTGAGTCACAGTAGTCTGCGGGGGGGGAATCAGCTCAATCCTATATTCATGCCGTTTTTCTAAGGCTGGGGGCAAAAGTAGCTTACCTGGGGGCTAGTGGTCGTGGGGATGACTGTGATCGTGGTGTTGCCGTAACTCTTGACCGAAGAGGTGGTGGGAAGCACGACAGCAGAGCTGTTGGTGAAAGGAGCAGTAGTAAGATGCTTGGTAGTGGTGGTGTTGCTCCAGGGCGCGGTGGTCGTGGTTGGCAGCACTGGCGTCGTGGGGAGGACGCTGGTCTTGGTGCAGCCGCCCTTGCAAGTTGTAAGAGTGATGGTGGACGTAGTCAAGCTTGTGGTGACGCCAGTTGAGGTGCCAGAAGTGAAAGTGCTGGTAACCGGGCAGGTTGTCACAGTCGTGTAGGTCGTCTCAGTTTCCGTTGCTGGGGGAGAAGTAGTCGTGGGAGTTACGGTCTTAGTGCATCCGCCCTTGCAACTCGTCAGAGTGATTGTGGAGGTTGTCAAGCTCGTGGTGACGCCAATTGAGGTACCAGAAGTGAACGTGCTGGTAACCGGGCAGGTTGTCACAGTCGTGTAGGTAGTCTCAGTTTCCGTGGCCGGCGGAGGAGTGGTCGTGGGGGGGATAGTCTTGGTGCATCCGCCCTTGCAGCTGGTGACGGTGAGGGTTGAGGTAGTCAGGGTAGTGGTGACGCCAATTGAGGTGCCAGAAGTAAAGGTGCTTGTAACTGGGCAGGTAGTCACCGTGGTATAGGTGGTCAGTGTCTCAGTTTCGGGTGGCGGGGTGGTAGTTGTGCTGTTGGACACGGGCGCCGGGGTAGAAGTAGTAGAAGTGACATTGGTAGTTGGCGGGGGCGGGACCACAGAGGAGCTCCACGAGCTGCTGGAGCTGGTGACGGGCGGAGGCGTGGCAGAAGAGGTCGGAGTAGTCTTGGTACATCCACCCTTGCAGCTGGTCACGGTCAAGGTTGACGTAGTAAGAGTAGTGGTGATGCCGATAGAAGTGCCAGAGGTGAAGGTGCTCGTCACCGGGCAGGTCGTTACGGTGGTGTAGGTGGTGAGCGTCTCGGTGCCAATCGAGCCTGTAGGACCTGTAGGGCCTGTAGGACCAGTTGGTCCAGTTGGTCCAGTTGGTCCAGTTGGTCCAGTCGGGGCCGTGGGGGCGCTGGAAGTGGCATTGTCCCATCGAGGATACACAACGGCATCCGATGCGAGGGCGGTAGAGGCCAAGGCCAGAGCAACGAGAGAAAGCTTGACCATCTTTGCAAAGGATACTCTTAGGAGGAAGAAGCAAACTTGCAACGATGCTAGCGAAAGGATGTCGGATCAAATATCAAACAAACGAGGGTGGCAGAACAACCGTAGCGAGAGAGTTGCTGCTGCGTGCGAAAGAGCGGCAGGAAGGGAACCAAAAAGATATTGATTCCAGTCCGGCGATGGCACTCTTATGGAGTTGAGAAAAGTTGGAGGTGGCTAGAGACGGGTGGTTATTAATGTTGCATATCAACAGCCGCAACGCCCACAAGGGCATAGGGAGAGCCGATGACTGTTCGTATCCATTGAGCCGGCTCGCCAGATGGGCCCGACTCTAAACCTTCTGCCATGGCGATTCTCACGCAGTGTTCCCGCTCTGTCGCTGCCCTAGTGAGGCTCTTGGCTACCAGGCACAAGCACCTTCTAACTCATGCCGGTAGGATGCTGACGTTGTGTGCGCTGGAAGAAGTAAAACCCCGCCCCACACTTTTTTCTGATTGGGATCCGCGCCTGGTGATTGGCGCCGATAAAACTTTCTCGTCGACTTTTACACCGTATATCCCTGATCGACGCCGAGCTGAGGGACGATTCTCACAAAAGTCATCGCAGGGGAGAGCCTGTCTAGCTCGGGGCCGGAGGGTGGTTGGCACAGCACCGTCGACCATGGCGAGCAGCCTAAGGAGTGGGGAGAGCAGGGGTCCATCGAACGAGAAAACAGTCGAGGGGACCAAGTGACCCAGATACGAAGCCCGCTACTGTAACGTGCCATTACAGAAATGGTGAGAAAAAGAACGGAACGAATGACTGCAGTAAGCCACAGTGGGTCAAAAGATATGTTCTCCCCAGATGAAAAGTCCAATCAATATTCACAAAGAGAAAAAAAAAAGCCAATATCAGTCAAAGCGAATGCATAAACATTGAACGTTTTCCAATTGCATAAACCCGAAGCAAGCGAAAATCCCCAACAGTGGGGGGCACAGCATAGACCAGGTAATCACAAAACATGGGGTTTTTCTTGTCCGGGAAGACGGTCAGGGGGGTGGATGCAAAGAGGTTGCAACTAGCAAAAAGAATGACGAAGCGGTTGATTTGATCATCATGGGTAATAAGAAACGAAAAAAAGTTTCCTAAACCCGCGTGTCATCGAACAGATCGGTTGGTCGCGCGAATGATTTGTGCGAAGTTGCTGGACCGAGGAAAAGGGCGTCGACATGCAGGTTACCACGTCCCCGCGAAATTTCAGTCACCTTGGCAAGAACTTTTCCCGTCCAAGGAACACAACCGAGAAACTTGACACCCCTTTCAGGAACGCTCGGAACTAATAATAAACTCGTGGCTGTAGGGAGGTAGGGAGGTAAGGAGGTAGACAGCACGACCTTTCCGGCTCAAGCCTAAATTTCCCATCCGTCTCCTCGGCAAGAATTTTGATGGTAAACCGTCTCGTAATTGCTGGAGAGGACTCTCGTTTTGAGGGAATTCCCTGTGTATGTACGAGTAGACCCTTTGCCGCAAATGGCGGAAGTATACCCTGGACCAAACTTGACATGGATCTGCTGGCTGTACAGTAGTCATAGCTTTTGCTCACCTGCAGGTTCTCGTATGTTTGACAACCTAATGCAGAACCTATGTCACGTCAACCCTCCCGGATGCCCTTTGCAGAGCCGACAATCAATATTAACTACATGCACAAGAACGACTTAGACGAGTTGCCGTGTGGCGAGTCAAAGGCAGAGTAGCCAACGAGCATCGTTTAGTTTTTGTATCGCACATAATGTATGCTTGGCGCAAAGAAGAAGCTGTTCCCCGTCGAGGCCGAGCTTCCGCCATCACAGCCTCTCATTATTCACCAAAGAAGGAAAGAGAGTTTCGAAGCAGGTCCGACCTCGTCGCTGGTAGTGCTCGTTGGAGAAGCAGGAGAAAAAAGAACTGGGATGGCCGCTCAATCCACGCCTTGCCCCACGACTAGAATGGACCTAATGCTCACCAGCCGCTGCTCGATGGTTCGTACCGTTATCGGCGCAAACCCAATGGCACTAGACTGGTACCCCTGTCAGTGCAAAGACCTCCCAAGGTTCCCAAGGCTGGCGGCGCACTTGGACAAACAGTCCGCGGCGAGCTTTCCCTTTCACAGGGTTCGCTCACTTCCCTCCCCCCCGAAAAACACTTTATGGTGACAATTGAATGTCCGGGCCACCATAAGATAACGTCGATCACCCCATCAACCGCTCCCTGCAGCTGATGCGGGGTAAAGGCGTATGTAAGGTAGTTGGAAGTCGTAGCCGCACATGGGACGTCCACTGGACAACGGTCGGTGTCACCCTGTCTGAGAGGTGACTGTCCAGAAACTTTTTATTATGGTGATGTAGGATGGCTGAATGTCGCCAAGTGATGCTTCTGGGTCGGGTATCCAGCCTTTCCATCAAGCTGACAGCAAGTGTGCGAGTACGAATAGTTACAGTACTTCCTCGGTCGTCTTCTCCTGAAAAAGAGGTCCCTGACACTAAGTGGGTCGATCGGCTCAACCTATTGACCCCAATCGCGATGACGTTGTAAATCCGACTGAGCCCACACTTGCGCTCTCTACGGAGTAGAAGTATCCACGACCACCCATTGGAAGCCAAGTCCCGTGAGTCTCCGTCCACAACCAACTCACTCCTTGCTCAACAAAAAGGGTCTTTGATAGCGATTAACTGCTTTTTTTTATGCCAAATCCGGCATTCACATGCAATTTAAACACATCGTATTACATAATCGTTCCACTGCTCTGAATCCGCCGTAAAAAGGTGGAAAACGGCCGCATGGTGACAGCCCTTCTCGGGATTGGACCACATGGCACAGGTCCCCTTTTTGCAACTTTCAGTCCGCGATCGCCCCTCCCCCCCCCAAATGACTAACCTCTGCGAGCCAATGGTATGGAGAAAATTTGAGACCCTGGGCAGTCTCTAAACTGCCGCTGTTGTTTTCCCACGTATTTTCTCGCCCTGATTCTTGAAAATTACACTAGAGTACCTCCGTATTCGTAGTGTATGAGTAGTCCACGCAGAGAACGACCCATCAGTCACAATTGCGATCTGCGCTTGGCTCCTCAGATCCTTGCTTTAGTCGTCATCTTCGTCCGAGCCACTGTGCCAACCCTCTTCATATGCTTCGCAGATCTCATCAAGACCATTTGATAGCGTCTCTCTCTCATCCAGACCAACATTTTTGCCGACAATCCCGCGCAACGCTTCGATGCGAACCGCAACCGACGACTCTGTGGAGAGTGACGAATATACCCCTACAGATTGTTCATCTGAAGAAGACATTTTGAAAATTCTTGGGAAACTGTCGAGTAGCGGAAATTTGAGACCACTATGAAACCTAGATTTTTTTTTCCCCATTAGCACAAAACAATCTCTTACTGCTGTTGGCCGTTGAAGGAGCTTCTCTCTGCTTGGTCAAGATACACTGTATAGTGTTGTACACTGTAACAGCAATCTTCAGACTCCAAGAACATGACTCTTTCAGGCTACTGGAGTCATTTGCCCCTTTTGGTTCTGAACCTTGAAATTGGCAGAGTAGCATTCGTAAGCGAAAAAGCGTCAACTAACCTTTCAGTGATGGGACGGCCGGCAAGCCTTTGGCGCGCCCTATAGGCCGCATCGCGTTCCAAAGAGGATTCGCTATCACCTGACTCGCCTCGAGATACCTCCACTCGTCCAAATACGTGCCTCTTCGTCCGCCGGCGTGTTCGGGATACGGGAGCAGCAGCCCAGGGAAGGAGATCTATATCCAGATCCTTAATTGCCCCAGCATCCTCTTCTTCAGAGTCGCTCGTATTCCCGGTTGGATTCACCGTTCTTCCTTCACCCCGTGCCGCTATTCCACTCCCGAGACTCGTGTCGTGTGCGTCTAACTTTTTAGGATCGTCGACACTAAACCGCAAGTTGGCTATTCTTTGATTGCCATTGACGTTAAGCGGCCCTTCAATCTGAGAAAATGTTTCAAGCTTCCCATTCCGCAAGCGCGATGGAATCGTCATCGATTCCAGCGCCGTGCAAAGTAATGCAGAGGTATGCCATCTTGATCCCTGATTGAAATTTATCCAATCCGGCACAAACGCGGGTGAATCTGAAAGGGGAATATAGAGTGATGCCATCGTCGCCATCTCATGTACAGATCGCGCCGAGTTGGTCATCCTTTGAAGAAGTTTGCTCTGGTTCAAGGTCAGTATCCGTATTAGTCGACTACGAACTCGTCGCGGCTCATATTTGGTATCTTCTTGGGGTTGCCTTACTCGCTGATCTTTTGCTCCATCTTCAATTGCCCATACCCAGACGCTGGTCTTGCCATATTCATCTCGTATTTTGTCGAGATATCGTGATGCAAACCCACCCCATGCATCATCTGCGCTAGTTATCAGCTGCAAGCCCTGAAGCTGGTCACATTCCTCGGCGAATGGTCTAAGATCGCGGTCAAGTAAGTCGTGTTCCTTGTCTAGGCTTGAGAACAGCTCTTCACCCATGTCCCAATTCTCGAATGGCATCAGCTTCGAGTTCAGCTCGTAATCATTGAGCTGCACTATAGACCTCGGATGATAAAAAACACGATTGAAGTCAGACCAATATCGCACCGTCTCAGTCGTGAGTGGCGGAGGCGGCAAGCCCTCATCCAGAGATCTCTGGTAGTCGCTCTTTTCTATTGTTGGATCCCTCTGTATTGCTTTGCCGCCATCCCTGACATTTCGTCAGTTGCTCTTCCCTCGCCAAGCATATAAATGTTGATAAAGATCACGAAGTCAAAACAGGATTGGAAGAACTTCTTACCAAAGGCCTTGTTGTAAACCAGGCTCATCTTCCATCTCATATAAGGCGTTGATCTTCCTCATGCTTCCAAAACCGCCCTTTAGGTCATAAATAACTGTTCTCGGAGTAAACGTATCCGATCCATCGGCACCAATTCCTTGTCGGAAGTGAATATTGTGATCAATCGGCGACTGCTCTTCATCTCCATATGTAAAATAGGATTCCTTGGTGCATCAGTTGAAATGTCCTCGTGGAAAAGCCTATTGGAATTTACCTGAGCATTCCAGAAATGCGTCGCCAAATAATTGCTACGCTGCCCGAGCTGGAGTGTCACAATCTCGTGCATCTTTGTAGACGGTGATGCTCAAAAGTCTCAGGAGTATATTGGATAAGCTTGGCCCGGATGATTAGTGGTTGACTTGTGAATTGCTCGCCGCAAATGTGTCCAGAGTCCGATGAGAATTTTGTGACAATCATGAATTCAAAGATAAGGAAAATAGCAGGAGATTTGACAGAAAAAGGTTCAAACCTTCAGTAGTAACGGACAAAAATCAAGGAAAAGACACTCTTCGAAATGAAGCTGCGAAGAAAATATAAATCACACTTTGTCGGACTTTTCGCTCTCGAATAGTAGAGCTTGAGCAACGTAGAAAGGCATATTGGATCCAATATGTTCAACTTACTAAGGAAAAATTCACGCTGAATTTTTAGATGAAGAAAGTAAAGATCATTTCATTATAATGTAGTCTAATTGATTTTGTAACGCGTTATTGTCGTGCGGACATGGCTTGAAAGAGTTGGGCAATTTTCACGCGCATCGTCAAGGGAGAGAGACGGTACCTGCGCCAATGATTGTTGCGTCGCTTGTCAGGTCTCCATGACGTCCAACGTCACCTCTCAGATCCGCCCCACGCGCACCAGATATATAGCAAATACAAATTATTGAGCGGGGTCTACATAATTTGATCATGGTTCTTTGATATGAAGCATCTATCACTTCATCATTAAAATATGACGTTGCGGCAGGAGCTAGCATCTTGGAAGTTTCCACAGCAACTTCAAATCGCCCAGGTTCCTAATTCTGGCACATTTGCTCCGTCGAGTGATCAGATACCCTTACCGCCGCCAAATGGCAAGCCTACGGTCATTACATTTCTGAGGCACTGCGGCTGCCCATGTGAGTCCTATATTTCTAGATTAAAGAGAATCCAGTGGTTGAGCAGGATTAAGCATATATGCATTTCTAGTCGCCGAGAAGGCATTCCTCGATTTACGAACGACGGCCAGCGCCAACCCATCTGTGAATTTCATAGCAGTATCGCATAGTGATGCCAAAGCCACTGAGAAGTGGATCAATGCGCTCGGGGGTTCTCGACGTGTGCAGGTGATAGTCGACGCGGATCGCCAACTCTACACGAAGTGGGGATTGGGAGTTGCCAGCTTCTGGCACTTGTTGAACCCACAAAGCATGTGGGGTGTCTATCAACTGGCAAGCCATGAAGGTATCTGGAACCGGCCGACGGAAAGCGGTACACGATGGCAGACAGCAGGCTCCTTTGCAGTGGACAAGAAAGGACATGTCTGCTGGAGTCGGCCGGCCCTGAGCGCACATGAAGTCCCAAACTTTGATGAAGCAGTCAAGGCAATGCAATAGAGCATGTCAAGATTGATCGAAACGTCGGTGAAATTTCCATGTTCGCCCATGTTGGCATATGAGAGCTAGAGCGGGATTATTAGTGATCACAAGTGCGAGATATTTTGGAGGACCGCGATCCCTCATATGGGGGTTTTGAGGCTAAAGAGATCATGTCCAACACTGAAAGCGCAGAACGTTAAGACATTAATTCCGAGACCTAGAATTATATGGCCCATTTCGTATTCGATTGTGACTTCCTGCTAGCACAGCTTAACTCCGTCTATGAGAAACTCGATAGATTGAGCCCAGTCGCGCGTAGAAAATCAGTGGTACTCCCCTCGTTCGTTAGTTGAGGCGAGTTTCGCGTTTCCTCCCGCATCCCGATCGGGAAACGCCAAGACTTCAGGGCTAAGACCGCAGCGCACACATCTCGCTTAGCAAAATTGACGAGGCTCAACACCGAAATCCACAAATCGCAACGGCCAGCAGCCAAACGACGACGACGACACCGACCAAATCGACCTCTGACGGACGAATTCTCCCCCCATCAGGTCAGATCACCGTCAACATGTCTGACAACGGCGAAGTCGAGGTCGCGAGCCCCAGCGGCTACCCCGTTCTCCCCAAGGACGTCACCCAGGAGATCGGTACCGTGAAGCTCTTCAACAAGTGGAGCTACGAGGACGTTGAGATCCGTGACATCTCTTTGACGTACGTTCGACCCTGTCGATAGCATTTTTCAATTGGGATGCCGTAGGAAAAGGGAGCGCATGCGCGAAGCAGTTGGTGGAAAATCTGCAAAGTGTTGCGATTTTTCCTCTGAAGAACCGGCATCCGGATCATCCTACATCCGCATATTCGCATATACGCTGTATCTGTTTCTCTGAGAGGGAAATGGAAGAATAAATCGAAAAAAGGCAAAATGGGCTAACCAGCATCCTATTTTTACAGCGACTACATTCAGATCCGGTCTCCCGTCTACCTCCCTCACTCCGCTGGCCGCTATGCCGTCAAGCGTTTCCGCAAGGCCAACTGCCCCATCATTGAGCGTCTGACCAACTCTCTGATGATGAACGGCCGCAACAACGGCAAGAAGCTCAAGGCTGTCCGCATCATCGCCCACGCCTTCGAGATTGTACGTTTCAAACCCCCGTCCCAAGTAGAGCGTCTGGAGGAAGTAAAAGAAAGAAAAGGAGCGGGAAATATGAGATGGAAGACAAATGAAGAATCTTGAGGGAGAGATATGACGCTGGGTTCAGATTTATCACAGAAAGGGCCTGAGATCTAACTGTTGGTGCTGCTTTTTAGATCCACATCATGACCGACCAGAACCCCATCCAGGTCGCTGTTGACGCCATTGTCAACTGCGGTCCCCGCGAAGACTCCACCCGTATCGGTTCCGCCGGTACCGTCCGTCGCCAGGCCGTCGATGTCTCCCCTCTCCGCCGTGTCAACCAGGCCATTGCCCTGCTCACCATTGGCGCCCGTGAGGCTGCTTTCCGTAACATCAAGAGCATTGCCGAGTGCTTGGCTGAGGAGCTGATCAACGCTGCCAAGGGTTCTTCCAACTCTTACGCCATCAAGAAGAAGGACGAGCTGGAGCGTGTTGCCAAGAGCAACCGGTAAATCGAGAGATTTATTTTCGGGAGCTCTGGGTGTTGGGAAAATCGTCAAAATATCAGAGAAACTTGGGGCTGGTTGGCGGCCTTTGCGCGTGGTGTGCTTGGTTGTTGGACCCCCAAGCTGCTGCATGGCGTGGTGTGTGCGTTTGCTCGGGGCACTCATTTTCATATGCCATATGCGTATTGTCTCGCTGGCTGTATGTTCATAAAATAATGGATGCAGTCTGAATGTCTTTTTTTTATAAAGAACCTGATGAATTTCATGTGACGGTTACATGTGACGGTTTATGTGCTGTTGCTCAATTGACATATTCTATGGTCCCTTGTTCCCAATTTCCTTGATATGCACCTCTTCATATTCTTCATCCATCGTTGGAGATACTGAGTCACGATGACTCGGGCAAGTCATTCCACGAGTAATCATTATTCATGCAAACATCTCCCTCGAGGCAACGAACTGCTCAAATATTTCAACTCTGCACCGAGGAGAATGGACAAATGGACAGACGCTCTAAATTCACCCCACATTGACCCTGACCCTGACCCTGACCCTCGTAGACCTAAACTCTTATCGTCATCTAAGCCCGCACGACTCGATTCACAGGCTTCTCGACTTGCAAAGGTATCTTCTTTGCTTTCTCTTGTGTCCAGTTCATTTGTGACTTTCCATTATTCTAGCCTAGCCAGAAGATGTATTGTTTAATATTTCTACGATTTCCTATAAATTTTTCTTGTCTTTTTTTTCATTCTTTTATTCTTATCTTTTGTTTCTATTTTTATTTTTTATTTTTTATTATTGTTTGTATTTCCAATCTCATCGAAACATATAGTCCAGAACGACGAAAATAATACAAACCTTTTTCAAAATTATAATATATATATATTATTTTTGGCATATCCTTCTCCTGCTCCTACTTCTCCTACTTTCTTTCTACGGAGCACATCGTACTTCAAGTTCAAGTTCTCGCCATGGCTCAAGGCTCAAGGCTCGATACGGATGTACCGTATATTGTACATCGTACATCGTACGTCGCACCAATGCAGAGAAACTTACCAAGTGGTCTATCAGGTCTGCGAATACAGCACCCCCTCCTACCTACCGGGCTGATACGTGACGTAGAATTTGATTAGAAGAATTCCATGCTGCGGTGGCGGGAGCTGCGGGAGGGGATATGGATGGTCCCAGGTCTGAGCATGAAACAGAATACCGCCGGATGGGCCCAGCAAACTGCAAGCGCTTTGTGCAGAGATGCATTTAAACCATTTCATTTCGTTAAAGGACTGGCTGTAATGGTGGCGCGTGGCCAGACAGTGATAAATCTTTTCAATAGAGAATAAAAAAAATATAGGGGATGGGGGAAAGAATGATTCCTATATTTACATGACAGAAAAGCGCAATAAAGGAGGAATAATTCAAACGAGATTTAAGGAGAAAAATGAGGAAGAAGAAAAAGAAAATGAGGTAAAGAAGGTAAAGTAAATAAATGAAAAGAAATAAAATAATCTCCAAGCCCCGAACCAATCTAACACAAAGACCCCATTAAAACTCAATACCAAAGCCAAACTTGGATCCTTGATCCTTCCAATCTCGCCCCTCGATTTCCCTCAACTCCAACAAGCCTGCTAATAAGCATGAGACATGCAGAGTTTCAAGAATAAAAAGATGATGATAAATAATGCGCGGAGACTTTTGCGCCTTTAGGTCGCCCCGTTTCCACAACTCATGGTAAATAGATTCCACCCTTCCCCCCCTCCCTCCCCCTCCTCCCCCTCTCCGCAGTCCCCCTGATTTGGGCCCCTAGTTTGGCCGTACAATCGGCGCACTAAAGTCCCTCTTGGGAGCTGGATTCACCATTTGCTTTCTCGGCGTGAACGTTCCTGCGGCAATACTCCGCGCACGGCCCCGGCGCTGGCGAATCTGCTCGAGTGCTTCTTCGCGGGACATTTTCTGTAGACCAAGCGCGTCATGGTGATCGATAAAATCGGCAGGGGGTGCGAGTGGGATTGTTCTGGTAGCGGCGTGAGTATGAGGGTAGGCTGGAGTGGCTATGCGTCGCGCAGGAGTTTGGAGAAAGGGTCCCGCCGAGGATGAAAATGATGGAGTGACAGCTGACATCGAGGAAGCGAGCATGGATCGATGCGGTTCGCGTTCTTGCGTGTGTCGGGAACGCATGTGCTGTTCTTCAGGGACGATAGTATCCGCGGTTTCTGCTTGTTGAGTGGGGTTTGCATGAAATGTGCCAGAACTTGGAGAGAACATGACGGCAGGTTCTTCAGCATCGGCTGACTGTGGTGGCTCTGGAGTAGCTCGTGCTTCGGCTGCCAGAGTAGGGCGGGAGAGCTGCTCTTGCTGCTTCTGTTGAGGACGCTCTTCCGTTGCCAAAGGGACCACGGCTTCTGACTTGATTTCAGGTTCGATATGAGAAGGGTTTGGTGCAACTGATGCCTCAGGAACCTGAGGGGCATTTGGCGTGCTAGCCTCGTTTGCTCTGCGGCGCTTGACGTGTTCGTGCAGCTGCTTGTCGTAAATGTATTCGGAATTCTTCTGCTTCGCCAGCTGACACGCGCAAATTCCTAGCTGGCACTCTCGTTGCATGAATTGCACAAGCTCTTCTGCCTCGTCTGCCCGCATCTTTTCCCTGTCTAGCTGGTCTTTGATCATGTCTAACTCCTCCACTTCCTCCTCGATCAATGCGTTTGGCTTAATCGCAGGCTTTCTCTCCGCTTTGGGTGAGCCAAATTCAGCATCGTCGCGCGACACGGGTAACGCAATTTGGCCTTGAGCAGCGATACGGGCGACTTCTTCTTCCTTGAGATTAGTCTTGAGCGCATCACGTTCCCCTTCTAAAAGCTTAATCTGTTGCTTAGCTCGAGCAAGTTCCTCTTCAACTCCAATCAACTTAAATTGTGCCTGGAATGCTTCCTCTTCTCGCTTTTTTGACTTTACTCGCTCCATTTCGAAGCTTGATTTGGTGGAGTTGAGGTCTTCCCGGGCAGTCTTCAGCTCTCCCTGCAAGCCAACAATAGCAGATGAGGTCTTCATGGCGTCTTTAACGGCGCGCTTATGGTGCTTCTCCGCACGTGCGAGTCTGGTGTTGGCTGTGGTGAGGTCAAGCTTTAAACGGCGTTAGTTGTAACATGGATGCGAGTGAATGCGAATAAAACAAACCTTGAGCTTTTCAACTTCTTTCGTAAGCATATCCGATCTTGCCTTGTCACTCTCACTCGACTGCTTCTCATTTACAATTTTATCATTCAGCCTTTCCAGTTCCATCCGTAGTCGCTTCACTTCACTTTCCGCTTCCTCTCTTCCCAACTCAGCACGCCGTAGGGCATGATCATTGCGCTTTCGATCTCGCGGGCGGTTGCTTCCTTGACTGCTCTTGTCATTTAGCTGTTTGGGGCTGGTTTCTGCAAAGCGTGTTGATTTTACAGGCGCTTCGGGTTTGGTATTCTGTTTCTCTGAGTTGGGGGAGCTTGAAGGCGCCGCTTTCTGTTGACCTTCAGATCCGCTAGACGAGCTGCGATACTTGGCCATAACGGCAGAAATATGGGGTACCGGTTCTGGCTCAGGAGCTCTCTCAACGCGCCCACTCTCCCATTCTGGACACTTTGTTGCAAACTGCGCCCACTTGTCTCGCGCATTTCGCAACTGCTCTTCGGCATCCTCTGAAGTCATCTGGCCTTCAAACAACGATGTGCTAGCGCGAGTAGGCTTTTTTGGTGCTCGTTGTTGCTGGCGACGTGGAGTTCCTCGGTGACTTTTCCGCCTGTTGTTTCGTTCAACGTTCTTATCATTCCCCTGAGGTTGATTGTCCCATCCAGAAAGCTTCATATCAGGGTTTGGAGATGTACCGCCCTTCTCAGGGTTCAATTGCCCAATTCCCTGCGAAGGTGAAAGCTTCGACGACTGAGACGAAGAGGTTGCGTTCTCGTTGAGCTGCACTGTTCCTAATCCTTCAGGCATCTCGTGACTTCCGGGCGCCAAAAGTCCCTCAGATGCGTCCGGGCCCTCTTCCAAGATGGTATCCTCACAAAGTATCTGATTCTCGTCACCGGCGTCTGCAGCATCAAAGTCGAAATCCAGCTCAAGGTCTGTACCTGCTGTCGGGAGCAACGGGATTTCTGGTGGAGGGTTTATTTTTTTCAGCGAAGGGAATGCGATCGGAAAAGGCTGCATATGTCTTTGTTGATTTGTGCGATCAGGAGACACAGGAAAGAGGGGCGTGCCCGGCGAGGCCGGGAAATTGAATATGGGAGGGTTGTTCATGGTTGGGCTTGCCTTCGTGGAAGCTTCTCTGAGGTTGCCGGCGGTTGCTTTATCTTTGGAGGCTGAGTTTCTCTTTCTTAAAAATGCTTCTTCTCTTGCAGTTTTTCCTCTAATACTGCTGGATGCTCTTTCCCTCTCGGGTGTGGATCTGCTTGAGAGAGCAAGAACAGACTCCTCCTCTATCAACAAAGGATTTCAGCTGCTGACGAAAATCAAAAGAATCCTTGCTAAAGCAATGTCGTGCTATGGTGAGATCATATGAAAGCAACGCTCAACGCTAGTCATCCAACGACAGATATCATGATAGGCGTAGATGATGCAGTGCTGTAATGTTATTTCCCATGTTTACTTCGGTTAGTCGTTATGGGAGGCACGTTAAGCGAGTGGGCCACAGCTGTGTTGTTATCCTTCCCGATACGGGAAAGTGCACCTTGATTGTCGTTGTGGGCGTCGGTACGTGAACCGTGTCTCGCGTGGTGGCTGTCATGATGCATAATGATGACGGCCGATTATTATTATGCAATACAAACTTGTGCGTCTTCATTGGGCACTTTACCATGCTGAATAGTTGTACTGTAATGGCAGTCTAGACATGAAAAGAACAATAATTTTACGATGAAGTGCAGATACGTGAAAAGACATTGAGCGCAAACGGTTCCTTTATTAATATTACACAATGTTCGCAGTCTCAAATCATTGAAAAAATCATCGCCAGCCCAGACTCCAGCGGTTCAAAATGGTTGAAGATTGCTCTTTTATTTTTAGGTCCCGATGTGATAGCCATCTTCGTGTCGCAGCGTACACGGAAGATACCAGGAAACAATCCTTGCGCTTACTCCCTCTTTGCTTCCACAGCCGCCTCCGCCGAGCTTGCGGCTTCTTCACCCCTTTCTATGACTTTCTCCGCCACGGAAGTTTCAGCCTCCTTCAGGAGCGAGTCGAGCTCTCGCTGTACGCCTCTAGCGGCGTCTAAGCCTGACTTCTCAATGATATGAATCGTCGAGGGCCGACGTCCTCGGCGAGAGGTCATGCCAGTGTATGAACGAATGAAGAATCGGACGAAGAGCCATCTAGCCACCAAGAGCTACAGTCAGTTTTGTTCTAAAGATTTCTGTGTTTCAATGCGCTGTATTGGACACTTACGTCAGTGGAGCAAGATACATCAAGTTCAACCAAATGGCAAATGATTGGCCACTAGTGTCGATACAGGAAACAACCGGATATTCGGTACGGTATCTAATTTCTTCCTTGGCGTGGTTTACTGGAGCTTTGACAGCGTCGGCACCGAAGCGCTCCCCTTGGCTGTTGCGTACATTTTCTGCCAAGCCTTCTTCTCCGACTGCTCGCAGAGCTAGCTTCTTGAACCAGCTGTTCAGGTTCGCAGTGGCGGTGGCTGACGCGACAGATGTGGCAGCAGAGCCGACGGCAGAGGTTGCAGAGGATGCTGCAGAGGAGACGCCAGCGATAAAGGAATATGGAACAGAAACCGGGGCGTTATATGATACGAACAGATGCGTGGCTGCGAATGAGGCACCAATGACGAATTGAGCAATTTGCATTGTTGTCAGAGTGCGCTTGATGACCCACGGAACCTTTACATGCAGCGCAGTGAGTGTGAAGTAAGTGTACTGTTGCTCGTCAGTTTTTATCCTTTGTCCAGTAGGATGGATTTTAAAAGTGAACCAACCATGAGTGTGTGAATAAATGAATTAGCGACAACAAACAACCAGATAGGAGGTGCCATGTAGCGAATTCCAGCCCACATGCACATCATAGCTCCTGCATGATGATAAGTCTGCAATGATGAGCTCCGCTTGCCTTTTGCCAGGATAATTGCAGTATCGACGACTTCGTAGAACTTTGACAAGTAGAAGAGCCAGCCGTAAAATGAAAGACCTTCATTCCACAATCGTCCAACGTCTGACGAATCGGGGATACCTCCAGTTCCGAGTTTCACCAGCCGATCTGTGACACCCCATGCACTAGTCGTGGAATTGTATGTTGCCGCACTACCAAATCCGCGGGGTCCATTGAGCTTACAGAGAGCATCAGCCACCTCTGCAGGTCCGCCCTCAGCATCAAATCCAGGCCACGAGCGACTCAAAGCGCCAAGCATTCCTGTAAGGGTCCAAGCCGAATATACAGCGAGGAGCACGTTATGTGCTACTACGAAAAGGTGAAATAGACGGGTCTTGCTGAATTCCCATGGCTGGTTACCGCGGCGCCGATTGATCTGATTCAGCAGGACAACAGAGGTCGCGTAAATGGTAGCGAAGGTGAGAGGAACACTGGCCGAGAGCAGTCCATTATAGACAGTCGGATTGATGTTGAAGGGAGTCGCGAAAGAGTAATCGCGTTGCGGAGGCGGAAGTGTCTCTGGCAATGGCGCAGGAGGGAATTTGAAGAGCGAGGCAGGCGGTATTGTAAGATGTACAGACGGCCCAGACATGGTGGGCTGCACAATATTGTATTAGTATGTGAGACACGATGCCAATCTGTGGGTAGCAGCCTTGAGCTTCTCGGGCTGTTCAGGGAGGGCAATGAATTTGGTGTATCGCGGCGCGTTAGAGACCAACCTGTTGAGTTTTATCTCCTTTTGTTTCTTCTCTCTGCTTTGGAAACTCTCAAGAGAAGGCACCAATTTCCACCAATTGACTGACTGCTGATGTGACCAGAGGTAGAGATAATCAACCTTTCAGATATAATAATACTATTGGAAATTGAGGTGAGGCTAGCAGTAGTCGCGTGATGTGAGGACGTGTTTCCTGTTTGCTCAGAGGGATTTCACCTAACAGTTCCTTGGTAACAGAAGACGAAGTATTTGGTGAGGGCACGTGATGCGACAAATTTCCTCGCCAAGCCGAAGAAAGAATGGTGGTAAGGAAGAACAAAAAAGGCTCAACGGTTTTGGGGTGAACAGTATGACCAGATAATTTGACTTTCAGCCTGATGACGTTACTATGTTTACTACTAGGTAAGTTATGACCCTGTACTCCGTGATACTGTGGATACCAACGCTAAACTCCTAAGGGCAATGTGGTGTCGGTACAAGTCGGGAAGGCCTCTTGGACCTCGGCAGTTGCACTCTAGCCATCCAAACCCGCCTTTATCCGACAAGGAACAACATCCTCAAGCACAGTCAACCTAGAGTACCAAATGATATGAAGACGCAAATGAACGATTCAATTGGCTAGATTATTGACATTATATGAAGATTACGCTCGAATTTGAAACAAAGGAGCAAATTGACATGGTCTATCTCTATCGCTGGAGGAGATCCACGATTCGTGCAGTAAATTTCAAACATTTTTGAGAATGAAGAGAAAAGAATAACGTAAAATCGAATGATTTCGTGAAAAATAGCAAGTAATGAACCCTTCCAAAAATGAAAATGATTCAAAATACCTCAAAAGAAATTGAAAGAAGACCAAGAGAAGGGATTAAGATGTGATCACTGTTGAACCCATATATACGCACACTAGTTTTCGTTCGAATAGGTCAGATTAATACCAGAGAGTGCTTCGACGGTCAGACTAGGCTGAGATACGCCATCCCTGCAGCGGGCTCAGCTCTTGAAGCCCTGCCGAATATTCAGGAGCCGAGCGGATGCTAATCTCCGATGCGCAGGTTGACAATTGGCTATCCCTGCTCCCGTAGCTCCGCGCATTTGGACTGGCGTAGAAGTGTTGGCCAATCCCGAGAAAATCGGACGGAACAAGAGCAAGAGTATTGCGCGCGGCAACGCCGACTCCACTGCTTATTATCACACTAGTTGATCCTATGCTTGAAGTGCTTCCCTCAAGGATATTCATCGACCGAGCAGAGACTATGCAGGAACAACCATCATCGCACTGACAACCGATTCCCGCAAACATTCGCCTCATACGAGCGTCATGTTGGCGAGTCTTGATGATCCTCTTTTGCTTGATCCGTGCATATTTGATATCCGGGATTTTGTCATACGAGGGTAGAGAGTTCCGCGAAAAGCCTTGACCGGGAGCTTCTCCTGTCGCCTCGCGGCTAGCTGCGATCAGGTCTTCATTGGTGTTCACGTCGCGGATGACAACCTCCCTGTCAGGCTGCTCTGGCACAATTGTCGGTAGCTCGCTGTCACTGATGCTTGATGAAAGTGAGCTCCTCGAGCGTGTAAGCTGCGGAAGAAGTAATGTCTCGAAATTTTCTAAATTTAGCTGGGTAGCTGTTATCTCGTCCATTTCGTTTGCTGAAGTGCTGATGTCGTTCTCTTCGGCGCTCAGATCGACCGCGTCAAGCACTTTATCACGCCGTTTTGCAGTGGACAGCCGGCCGTCAAATTTGACTGTCCTCAATTTCCGAGCTAGTCGGCCTAAAGATCTTCGCAAAGGCTCCAGGCCTGCTCGAATTCTCATGCGAACTTTTTCTTTTCTCCCCAACAGTAAGGTTTTCTTCCCATTCGACGGCGTTGGGAGTATATGATCTATCACTCCCCCATCGAAAGATTCCCGAGTCTGAGATGGCGATGGATGCTCTACATCTGCTGTCTCTGATTCATGCTCGGCAACAGAAGCGGGCCCGGGGGATTTCTCGGTGATATGACTTAAATTATCGGGAAAAGGATTCGAATGAAGCACGGGATGCGGAGGCGTGGAAGTTGACGGCCCGGCCTCATTAGGGTCCAAAGGAGGCACACTCCACTGACTCGAGTTCCTCTGAACCGTAAGCGCTGAGGCAAACGTGGACTGAGTCGAATTACCGCCGAGTGCGAACAAGGTATATGAGCAATTCTCGCACTTGACCCTGACTTGGAAACCGATTTTGCGTGGAATGGCCACGAGCGTCTTGTTGTGCCAGTGATTGCATTTCCGGCAGGCCAGATGAAGCGTGTTAGTGTAAACGCTCCTTGCTGAACCAGTTGAAAGGCATGACTCTGATCGAGATGCTCTCCATCCAGTAACGCTCTCGGCGGAACCATGTGCCGGCGAAGTATTCAACGATAAGCCGCGGAGACCAGCCCCAGACAGGGCCATGTTCGAGCACAACGGTAATTCGTCGTGATAATGTCTCGTCAGCTTACGCCAAAAATGCACTAGATGACACCACGCAAGTGTCTACCATTTGCGTGTGTGTGAGCAGAGCATTGGATAGGGTCTATAGGATAGAAGTCCAACCTGCCAGTGTTTCCGGAGAAAATAAGTTAAGCCGCAATTTCAAGCCTTGCCTGTCTGGCTGCAGTTGATGCTGACAAGCACAAATGATGCATTAGCCAAGTCTCACATTTCGAAAATTGACTGGACCACACCATATGACTTATGCAGAGTTGAACGGAAGAAATTCTGGCGAGGCTGACGGCTTTGACGAATGACTCAATGGTCGAAAAATCAATGGTTGTGAAATGTCGTGTATTGTCAGCTTTTTGTGAATTAGTTATATATGGCTGCCTGCGCTGCCTGGGGCCCACGTGCTTCTATCTTACGGATCCCTGGAAATAGAATCCTATATGGTCTGGGGAGGCGGAGTGGCTAGTGACCTCTCTAATTGGCTGAAATGAATGCTCAGCCACCAACGATCAGGTTACAAACCCTATTATACTGGCGGAGTCCATTTGAAAGAAATGACGACATATTTTTGGGTTTCCTTTGAAGCAACATGGGGCTTTTGATATTTTTAATATTTGTAGGCTTGTGTTTTGGGATGCCAGAGCAGGCCAGTATCAAATTGAAATGCTGTGACGTTGAAGAGCCACTCCACTTTGTCGCTTATCACACGTGGAACCCCACCGGTATGACTGCGGGGATGCAGCGTCCCTTGCGTAGAGTCTGCCCATATTCATACGCATTTCACCCGTACGATCGAAGAATTTCATCTGGGGTCTTCTTTTATTTACACGGTCTTTGTTTCCTGTATACTCAAACATCGGAGTTAGTGGAGCATAACTAACGCTTAGGCTCCAGCCCGAGCCCAAGCTAATGTTCTAGCGACGAGCGCTGGTCGCGAGGGATCGCCGAGCCAAGCGGGTACCCTAAGCTAGTTTACAATTGCTTAACTCTTTGACGACATGAGACGACCCCACTATAGGTGCACCGCTGACGCCGTCAGAGCAGTTTCTGAGAATTACAAGACAACAAAAGCCAAGTTTGGTACAATATTTCTCTTTGAGTTCTTCATTTCGTATTGTTCGGCTACGTAAAAAAATGCTACCGTTCGCTACTTGAAGAATTTAGAAAATGACGGCGTAAGTGTGCCCCCTCACCAACGCAAAAAGGCAGTGGGTTGCCATACTACTATTGGATATTGGCATCTATTAATATCCGCAAGCCTCCGGAGGATAAGGCTTCTCCAGAGTATAGACATTATCCCCTTCAATTACATCAGGACCAGGGTTCGGATAGAGAACTTCAGCGGTTGTCTTGGGAGACCAACATCCGTTTCCGGTATCTGCGATGAGAAGGCCAGGTCGCTGAGAATACGGGACAGAAAATGCCGCGGATGAGGAGTCAGGGCCAGTGATATTGATTGCTGCACAGTTCATATTGAACTCCTGCTCACGGTTGATCCAAGTCCAAGCAAAAATAGCCTCTCCACTGGGGATGTCGGCGGGGACAGTAAAGTTGAACTCTTGTCCAGTAGGACCATCGCCGTTGAGCCGATGCGGGCAGTTGCCAGGATAGGATGCAGCTACCTGGAAAGTCTCCCCGTTGTCGATGGAGAAGCCTACCTGGCACGATCCACCCCAGTGGTTGCCGATACCTGTCATGCTCCAGCTCTGGTTGCTGCCGGCAGACCAGGTAGCAACAGGAGCACCCGCATCAGTGCCAAGCAGGTCAAGATATCCACGGCAGGGGAATGGAGTCTGACGTCCGCAGCAGTTGTACGGGAACTGGAGAAACTCATCGGCTGATCCCTGCAGGTGCGGATTGTTGCTTGCGTTGAACGGCGGAGGATAAAAGAGCTGCATATGCCCGATCACGGCAGTGACGAACAAATAGAGCAAGAATAAGATGCAATGCATTGCGTTAACCTAGTATATAGATGTCAAGGTGAGAGAAAGCCCATTAATGAAGGGAAACTTTGGATCGAGAGCGCAGTACCTGAACGCTTTATGCGTAATAATATCCTAGCCGTTGATTTTGAATTCGAAAATTGAATAGAGATTGAGTGCTAATGCAGCGTTTTGAACGAGGAGAAGGTTCGCTGGAAGATTGAGACGTAGAGTTGAAGATGGTGGAGGTGTATGTTTTCCCTGGAGAAAGTTTCTGAGTGGCAGGTTTGATCAAGATGAGTTGGGAAGGGCTGTTATGAGAGGTGTCACGCTAACAGATTCACTGAAACTCCACTACCATAAACGCAAAAGTCTGCTGATAGAGCGTTTCAGCTGCAGAGACGTTCCATCCAGGTGCGTATCAATTGCAAGTTCTCGTTCATAATGAATCATATCCTATAATATATGACCTTGCTTCCGTAATTGTCTGTCATAGCCCCATTATTAGCATGTCTTGGGTAGAATGAGAGTTCATCAAACAATATCTGTGTTATACAAGCTGCATGTCCCCGTTCCCAAGCCAACAAGGCCATTTTCTTGAGGGCCTGGCGCTTGGAATGGTCCCTCCGGGACTCAAGTGAATGCGCTACCTCTTTCCAAGCGGGACAATAGGTACCTTTCCCTTTCCGATTGGCTGAAGCTATATATATCGCCGTAACTCAACCCATTTCACGGGTTGGATCCAAGAACTCTATATCGCACAATTCATCACAGTCGCGGCATATAGGTCTTCCAATCCATGCCGGTTCGAATCCCGCTATTTCTGCGCGGAAACGGAGTGAAAACCTTGTTCAAGGATTTTTCATAGGCAAGTCAGGCGCTTGGGGAGCGGTCTTGGTCCAGATCGCCGCTTTAAAACCCTCACAAGGCTTTTGAAATATCTCTGGCAAGAACGTGGCAGCAAACCAACATCACAAACGGATCACAGTAAATAGCAGTCAAACGACACAAGCATGGATTGCATAATCGCAAGCATTTCACCGATATGCAAACAACAGAAGGATCTAAACAAGATTCAAACTCCATTTATTCGAACAATCCCATACTTTTGATGTACTAACAATGCTTACCAACCTCTCGTCCTTTGGAACTTACCTACCGCCGCCAAAGTCCGGCTTGTATGCCTTAAGACCGCCATCCTTCATCAACTCACGGAGAGCCATTGTGGCATACTGAGAAGAGCCGAGTTGGAACTTGAGGACAGCAGCAATCTTCAGCGAAGCTTCGCTGGAACGTTCTGGTGTACTCCCTCTAGGCTTGCCCTTCAGAATCTCAAGATCTGTCTGTACGAGTTGCTCGTCATCCTGAACGTAGCCCTTGACTTCATGAGAATATTGAGCGCCAACACGCGCGACAACCTTTCTGTAGCTGCCACTCAAGCTGATGTCCTTCCATTTCCGACGCATGTCGTGAGGATCAAGACCGCCGCCTTGTTCACTTCCCATCAATTCCTTGTAGAAAGCGCCCAATGGATTGGCCGGGTAGAGGATGTCGTAGCCTGGAAGCGGCAAAACGATGTCAAAGATTGTGTACGCGCCACTCGCGGCTTCTTCCGCTGTTAGTGCACGAGCGCGTATGTAGTTTCCTGCAGCACTGTCTTCTACGGCAGGAAGAACAATGGGCTCGCCATCCTCATCGACTTCCGGTACGTCCTCCTTTATTTCTTTGTCTTTGTGTTCATGGACAAGTACCAGATCGCCCTCGACTACTTTCTTGCCCCATCTCTTCCATCGCTCACCGGCGATCGTGTTCCAAATATACGACTGATACGCATGTACGTACATTAGACGCAAATTTCTTGGGATCGCCTGCAAAGCACCCTGGTAATCGGTGCCGCGTTCAGGATGGCCCAGATGCCGGATGAGGCTTCCTTCAGCAGAAAATTTTCTCGGGAGCATATCCAGTGCCGGGCTGCTCGCTCCGGTCGTTCTAAACGAATCAATGGCTTGCGCGCGAGCTTTATCGTCGGAGGAAATGAGCGTTGAGCCATTCAGAGAAGAAAGTGGATCCTTTGCAGCTGCAAGAGCTTCGGGACTGTATTCCAAAAGGGCATCGATGGCTCCTTTGAGATCACCCTTGAGCATCAAAGTACCTATCGTGTCTGTCCGGGTAGAAAATGTGCCAAATCTCTGCAAACCATAATAGTTGATGAACCCGTCTTCCCTGAGCTTCGCAAGTGCTGCAGACACGGTCCTTGATCCAAGCTCAATCTTCTCGGGAGCGCTGAGACTCTCCTCACCAGGGAAACGACAATCTCGTAGTGTGATGGCGAACTCATTGCCGTCGAGCTCGCCCAATTCCAGGCCACTTTGCCTATAGTCAAATCCGCCGATCACAGCTCCGCGGAGTGTTTTGTTAAGATTTGCTAGACGGTCCGCGAAAACACGGTAAACACTAACTCGTTGTACAGTAACCGCCCGTCGATCTTTGGTTCCAGCAAACTGAAAATCCTTTGGCTTGTTCTTCAACATACGCGCGAGATAGGAGATTACTTCCATAGTGTCTTTGTTCTCTTTATAGAGAGTGAAATGAAGGTATTCTCCTCCAAGCTCTTGCCAACCTAGCTTTCCCCTAGGCCGAGCCCGCCCTTTGCTCTGGCCCCCTCGTGTTCTACCTTTGCCTTGCGGAGGAGATGCACTTATTGTCACTAAGCCGTCACTCCCAGTTGAAGTCTCCAATCTGGAGCAGAAAACACGCCTCATTAATTGATGCATCTGCGTCCGAAGATCTCGATCTGTGATCGTTTCTGACGTGATCTTGTCGAAGGACTTGGGTTTGGCATTTGGGGTTTGCAGTATTTTCTCGTGCAGCTCAATTATAGAAGCAACGACTTCTGGGCCGAAGATTGAGACCAACGATGCATGGTCTTCTGGGGTAACCTGAGCCTGTGTTAACTTAAGGCCAAGCGGCCAAGAATATACCTGATAGGAACTAACTTTGAATTCTTCGGTCGCTTTCTCGTCCTGTGATTTATCTTCGTTCGCAGAATTGGCAGTGGTTGTTTCCCCACCATTTCCATTTGTAGGATCAGAAGCTGTTTGCCCGATCTCTGCCTTTTCAATAGGACCTTGTTCGAGTTGAGGCACTTTGACAGATTCTAGGTGCAAAACCTGACCCGACGGAAGAATTTCGTTTACAAGGAAGTCCGTGTATCTAGAAGAGTTAAAAGAATATTCTTATTGAATTCGAACTCTGTATTACAAACCTTGTCTTTAGTATTCCGCTGAATCCAGATACATCAGGACTTATAAACTCTGTGATGCCCACGTCGCTTTCCAGTCTCGGTTCCTCATCGCTGCCAGCCTTTGGCCGGGCGAGGCTAGCTTCGACTGCCACGGGCGCAGGCTGCTCGTTCGGAGTAATTGAGCTTTGCGACAGCTCAGCTTCGGATGGACTGGCCAGCCTTTGGCGCTTACGCGGTGATTCCTCCATAATGTCCGGAATTGACAGAAAATCCTGATTCTGGCGTTCCGTCGAAATGATTGCTTGAACGGTAAATATTTCGCGGCCGATAGTGGACCAACGGTACTTGCCGCCGTGGTTCAAAATCCAGGGTCTAATGAGTCTCTGCAGAGGCAGAAATATGCGCATTTATTTTCCCTCTAAACAAGAGACTGGACCGTGGGATAGCCGCTATGGAGCATTGAATCCCAGTATTATTTCCTAGCACATCAATGGATCAGGGGATGCAGATCCTGCGGTTGAAATTTAAGTCGACATGACCCGTTCTAGAGCATGGATTGTTAAGATAAGATAACGATCTAAACTTAGAACTTGCTTTGGTGAACATTTCCCATGTTGCAAAAAGGAGAAATTAGATACAAGCTTAATAAATTCTTCAAAGAGACTTATATGAGTAGATGCATGAATTCAGGCCGTATTTTTTTGCTATACACAGGGATGGCCCCTCATGCAGAAGGTGGATCTTTGATGACCACTGTCCCATCTTCCTGGACCTTGAAAAACATGCCATCCATCCCGGATGGTTCCCATAGCATAATAGTACCGACGATGTCCTTTGTCGTTTCCCTAAGACCGCAAGTTTTGAAACCTTTCTTCCGGTACAGACTCGTACCTAGGGGGCTCCCCACGAGGGTCACCGGAACGCGCTCCCTCTGCGCAATATCGAAACCCCAGTCAATCAGCTTAGAACCTACGCCGAGTCGTTGATACTGGGCACCAACAGCCAGCATCGAAAGATGCCAACGCTCGTGAAGGTTATCGAAGAAAGTATAGCCTCTAGTATCGTTCATAATTTTTACGTTTTCCCATGACACTGAGCGATCGGACCCTATTGCCCATGCAAAGGTGTCCTCTGCTTTCAAGAGCATGCGCTCAAGCTCTGTAAATATACATTAGTGAACAGGTTATATGACAATAGAGAACAAGCTTACTCATTCCAAGTGTATCCCTCTGCCATGCCTTAGCAGTCTCGGTTTGACCGTGCCGCTTCCAGACCGCATACCCCATTATTTCGCTTTTACCCGTCCAATGTGCATCTTTCTCATCCGTAACCATTACCCATATTATCGTACCACAACTATTAAAGAGTGTTTTGTTGCGGTTGATAAAATACCGGCGGAAATCACCATAATAGACGTCACTCCGCGGATGCAACCAGGCAAACAAGCCATCTGCCTTGAAGGCAGAGGCACTGAGAGTGGCCATGTCTGAGAAGTCCTCTTGTCTGCACAATCGCTGATGCATATTGGACGAATGAAGAAAACGATACGGACTGCACAAAAGCAATAAGGGTGAAATGCTAAACTCGACAAGCTTGCAATATTTATCGGAAAATCGAAAAAGGACAATATGGAATTCTCTGGAAAACAGTCATAAGCTTATTGATTGAAGAAAACAAGGATTTAATTCTTCAAAGCCAAAATTGAGTCCGGCTCAAATCTTCAATCGACGTGGAAATTGTATATATGTAGAATGAGTCAAAAAACTTTTTACCTGTTCAGGCAGGTCCCTCTGGATTGGGTTTGGGAGTAATTATCCCGCCCTTATCTTGACCTCGGCCGGATCTTCGCCTTTGACTTCTGTTGTCAACTGTAGCGGTTCTACGAGCAGCGAAAGGGACGAAAAGCACGCATAAAGAAAAGGCATGAATTACATGCTAGGATCAAGCTAAACTATGGTCCAGTCATGTGACCAAACAGGGGGATTATCGCCAACATTTGTCCAATCTTATCTAAAGTTATCAGATCGCGACGATCTCTCACCCTTGTGCCGAAAGTGTGTATATAACTGATTTTGGGTTGGATTCCTAATGGCGCTGGTCCAATGGTGGAGTTGGTTGTTACTTTTTCTACGCCCACTGTTTTCACGTTAGCCAACCTTGAGTAATCAGACCCAACAGACTAGAATTTCACGATTTGTAGAGCAGCTTCATTACATTGACTGCTCTACCAGATATTGCTTTCTGTGAGAGTCTCCAAGTTCTTCTGATGTAAACGGTTTAACCCTCTCAAGTATGCTGCCGCTACTCACTTCAGCCCCTGTCCTCGGGATTTCGTGCTACAGAAGAAGACTGTTGCAGGCTTGATGATGATATCGAACTTCTCTAGACCGTTGAGAGAGCTTTTCAAAAGCAAATAGGTGACATCAGACCAGTATGATATATAGATTGTTGAATATAACTCTAAAACTGCTCGCTCTGTTACGTTGGGAAGCTCTGCCGGGAAGAGTGCAAGAACTTCAACAGCATTCCAGTCTAAGCGTCTCTACAGTAGCATCAATCCGCCGATATGCCTAATGCCATATAGACTTACCATATTATGATAGCATAGGTTGACAAAGAGCATATTTAAAGTTCATCGTATATTAGATCCGAAGTTTGCTGCTACGATTATGAGAGTCCACAAAAGGTATACTCCAATCAAGCATGCAGAATCCATCCTGGAAATGGGCTGCAGAAACGTTCGTTTAAAGTCCGAGAATATTCACTCGTTCGTAGAGTGGGTTACTATGTGAGCGGACCAACATCCCTCGACGACCCAGCGGGCGGTCCTCTCCTTCATTAACATCACCCTTTTGAACTAAATAGCACCAGAACACACGGCGGCAAACTTGACGACTCAGCAACGAGTCAGCAATTTCACAGATTTCGAAACCCCACCAGACAAAATGGAATCTGGAAACCCTCCTGATCCTTCTTCCCCCAACCACATCCTCATCTTTGACGAAATTTCAGCTCGTCTTGAGCGTTTCGACGGAGACTTTTCTACCTTCGAACCACCAAGGAGCCGTTTCGCTCGAAACGAGGAATCTGATACAGAGTCTATTTCCTTGAGTGATTTCGATACCGAGGTGCACATCTCTAACGTCGAGGACACTCTCAGAGATCTCGGGCTGTGGGACATCGACGACTCTCCGCTCTGTAAGCAGGGAGAGGTCTCTAACCAACAGTCTCAAGCAGAGATGGCATCCACCGAGGACGAGTTGACCTTTGAGAAGGCGATCCAGAACCTCCGCATTGAAACCTATGACAACCGCAAGATTGCCATTGGTGAGATTCTTAAGACCATCCCGGGGTACAAGCTCTATTATGCTCCCCTCGGTAGGCTGATTCCCCAGCGTGATCATACCGTTGTGATGAGCGACCCCGAATGGATCGCTTTCCCAACTGAGGAGGAAAAAGCTAAGTTCAAAGCTCTTGAAGTCGGCTGCACCGACGGTGTCTGGTGCCACGATCTTGCCCGCAGACACCCCAAATGGATTGTCGAGGGGATCGATACCACTGTCATGTGGCCGACTGTTGCTGACGACGAAGGAGCCGGAAAGATGAAAGCGAGCACTCAGAACGAACCTCTTGCTGTTCCTTACCTTGCAACTTATGACTGGCGTGAGCTCATGGGACGCGAGCTTCCTATCAAAGCTTTCGACTTCATTCGTGCCCGTGACATCATGACCGGTGTTATCAACTACAAGGAATTGCTTAAGAACCTCTATCAGTAAGCTTCCCTTTCCCACCTTTTACTAATTCCACTGAGAGACACCGCTGATTTTCGTCTTAGGTGCTTGAAGCCCGGTGGATACATTGAATTGGTCGAGCTCGATCCAACTCCTCGCACTGCGGATCCCAGCGCCTGCGAGCAGACCAATCCGACTCTTGACCTCAAGTATCCGTGGTTGACTGAGCCACTTGATACCACCATTCTTGCCCACTCTCGCCCGTGGGTTGACAGAGTCAAGATTCGCCTTGAGGGCCTTCCTCCTTATTACCGCGATGGAGAATACGCCAAAGACCTTGGTTACTGGATGGCGGCTTCTGCATTTTATGAGATCCACTGCGATGTCATCAAGATTCCTGTTGGAGACTGGGTCCTCGGCAATCTTATGAAAGGAATCGGAATCCGCATGCTCGACGAGATCATGTCTGAGATCGAGACGGAGAATGCTCTTGTATGTAATGGTTCCTGGCTTTTTATATATCAGAATGAGAATTGACAAGGTCCTTCAGATTGAGTTGCCGAAGAAGGATGACCGCCCTGGCAATGCTAGGCTCAACAAGGCTGACGTTGCCGGCGAAGGCGATAAGCCGTATCTCAATCTGTAAGTTCATTCCCATGTTCAATAAATGAGGCGTATTGCAACGCTAAACCAATTCTGTAGCCGCATTTATCACGGTCGCAAGCCCCTTGTCCCGCTTTTCGGAGATCTGATGCCCGATGGCACCAGATACGGCGTCACCGAGAGCTTCCAGGCGAGCGCTGCTCGTCAGGTCGCCTACCGTGACCAGGTCTTCGATGCCCCGGACTCTTTCGTTTTCAAGGCGGACCGCAAGGAGAACCGTGACAAGTGATCCACAAAATGATGCTTTGCACAAAGCCCACGTTGTGCTTCGTTGCGCGTTGAGGCGTTGTTTTTTCGAGGGGTCCTGGATATTAAACGAAAATTGATCATTCTTAAAGCAAAGGTTTCTCTCGTTTGTCGGAGAGCTGGTGGATGTTGTAACTCAGGAGAAGTTAGGATTTAGTCCACAAGAGAAACCTTGCCTTTGTCTTGAAAACTCTGCCGTGTAATTCATTGCTGCGCGAGTGTCGTATTAACCCTTGAAGAGAAGGTGAAAATTGATCTGCCTTCGCTCAACCATCCGTGCCCAACTTTTAAAAGAAAAATTAATCAAGAAGAGAGCCATAGACTGGAGAATGTGAAAAAGTAATATAATGCTGCCCTTACGGGAAAATCAACGGTCAAAATAAAAAAAAAGGATGTAGCAGATATGCTGATCACGAAATAAAATAAAAGCAACTTTGGTCATGGAGATAAAAAGAGTTCGGAGGCCCAGGCCCTCTTTCGGGCACTGGTTTAGCTCGTCCTACATCTCTATACCCCATTCCCTTAGGGCCAAAGGTGTCATTGTCCCGCTACGGTCGCACCCGCAAATGATTTTGCGGTTGCTTTGAGCGGGACTCGAACCCTTGCCACTGTAGAGAACTTCAGGTCCCCTGGGCCGTCAGCGGGTGAGCCACTTACGACCAAGGGGGCCAGTCCGGTTACAAAGGACTTCCGTAAGAATATTCTTATCCTCCAGTCCGTTTGACGTATGCCCCTGAGAATAAGTCGGAAACACAGCGGGATTCCGCAGCATAACTCTGTATGCGAAGCACAGCAACGAACGAAGTCCGTTTAAAGCCCACATATCTCGTGTTGATGCTATTGCGTGCGCAACTCCTCTGCCTCAGACACTTTCCCAACCATTTTCTTATGTAAACTCACATGACAACCTCGACAACGCTGATCTTGAGCTGCAGTGAGTTTACAAAAGTCTGACCGAGGTGCTGGCCTGAGCTGCCTCTTGCAGACATTGATGGTAAATAACGGCAATCATGCACGTACCTAGCTTCGCCATCGTCTGTCCTATTCGGCTCTGACCATACAGGCAACATTTGAGACCTCGACAGGTCGCTCTTTCTAAGGTTCTGAGTAGTGACGAGACTCAGTCGTCCGTCCCAGGAAAGCGCTTAAGTATGGACGAGTCGCACATCGAGCTTAGTCCGTGAACAATTCTCAATGGATTCTGGCCAATTCGCTTTACATCCTCCAGTAAAGAAAGGTCATTATATCCTTACGACTGATATTATCCTAATCGATATTTCCATAGTTCTGAGGTCGATATGCCGTTGAGTAGAGAAGAGCTTCGAGCTCAAGCTCGCTATATTCGTGAAAAACTCGGGCCTCTCGTCATCCGGGACGGCGCTGATATCTTACACCGCGATTCGCTGGAGAACGTCGAAGCCTTTTTCTCCGAGCTGGCAAGAACAGAGGTTGATATAGATATCCTCAGGTTTACTCGGATTGACAAAGCTCTGCTAGAGATGAGTGCTATGGGATCCAGATGGCCTACATATCTTGTGGACATGGCTGAATCAACCGTACGAGAATGGGAGAAGAGGCTGGGAGATATCCGTCATCTCCGAACAGCTCTCTGGGCACCAAGTGGTAGAATGTGCGGCGTGGCGAGAAAGGGGGGTTGGAAAGCTAGTGTGAGACCAACAAGGCCGGAGCAGATTTCGTATGCTAATGGGAAAGGGTTTCGAAGGAGAAGAAAGGATGGCTTGTCGATAAAGGTGATCCTGCCAAGGCACACGTCGTGGGACATAATTGGATTCGCGCTGGAGAGTGAGTCTAATTCAGTCTCTGGTTTGGTGAGCTTTAGAGCACTTGCTAAGGATAACTCAACAGCTGGTGGATCAAACCGGCGTGCGCCTTTCGCGATGGGGCGATTGACAACCCCAAAGGGGGTATCACCGCTGATGATGATGGCGCATACGCTATCCTCTTGAGTGGAAAAGAGGAGCTAGAGGGTTCAGAGCCGAATTCTATCATATACAGACCAGACCCTACTGATCCAAAACGATTCAAGTTGATGAAGAATTTGGAATTGCGCATGCCAGTACGGATGCTGCGATCCTGGCGATTGCAGTCTGTCTGGGGTCCAAGAGCTGGTGTAAGATATGACGGGCTGTACGTGTAAGTGATATTTCAGGAAAAGCAGATGCTGAATGATAATTCCAGATACAGGGTCACGGGATGGAGCACAAAGCTCGAGGATGGCCTCATTACTTTTACTTTCTATCTTGGCCGGAATGAAGACCAACCGCCGATGAGCCAAGTCATGAGACACCCCACAGCAGAAGAGATTGATGACTGGAAGGATTACCAGGAAATCAAAAGTCAATTTCGTGGAATAGGGCTAGCATCTCCTCCATCTGAGAAACAATGGCTAATGGATTCGGCCCGAGACAGTGGATATTTTAGCAGACGCGCATCAAAGGAATAAGCATGCCAAACAAGAGAGGGGAGAGGCCGATATTTGCAAAGAAGACAGAACATGTACGCGAAACGCGGCAGGGGCAGATGATGCAATCTGATTAGAAGTCTGACTGCCATGGGGATGAAGGTAGCTTGAAAGAATACACGCATCATTAAGTCAATGATATCTCACCGCAAAGAAGATATCCAGATGATGAAGATGATGCAACAATTGACGAAAGGAAGTGACCACAAGAAAGCACAAAATGGATGCAATGACCACCCTATAGAAGGGATACTATCAATGATGACGATGACGACGGTGATGATGTGGTGGAATGCGGTTACGTTGATAGATGACGCTTAGTCATCCAAACACCAAACGACGGCGCGCCATGTCGCTCAATATTGCCATATTTGGACAGGTGAAGCAAATCATCCGGACCCATATGCGACCCTTTTACCTCCGTAAAATGACAACTGACTACAATGATATGAAGGGGAGTGAGTGGGTGCTGAGTTCTTCCGACGGAACCATTTACGCCTTTGTACGTGGGTAAGTACTTCATTCCTCCCTGAAATACTTCGTACGGACGTAAGTTTCGGAAGCGAGCAAGTTTTCTGGGGCATAGCTACGCCGGTAACCTTAATAATATTCCCGGTTCACAGGTTTTAGCTTACGGCTTTGGGAAACCGGCTCAACTCTTCTCCGCCGGCAAGTTACTATTCTGCCGCCTTGAATGGCTGATTTTCGTACGGCCGATGTGCTCTTTGAGATTGAGCATCTTGTGGAAAATGATGATTTTCTACAGCAAAAGGATTCTATACTAAACTCAAAGGCACCATCACTTCTCTTGTATATAATGACAGCATGGGTTCGCTCAAATGTCAGCTTCATCTTCGAAGTCGCAACTCCAGCTACCAATTGATTGAGCACTTGTTATTTGGCAGTTCTTATCTTAAAACTCCTTGATATCGGTTGACGTCTGATTCATAACCGTCCTAGTGAGCCCATTTGCTTAACACTATTTGCGTTTATATAAAATCCACCTTCCCGGACCCTACCACATCATGTGCTGTCATAAATCCAAGGCTCAGCTCAGGAACGGAAGCTCGAAGGTAGGGTGCAGGCCTTGCCATTCGCGCTGTCAACCTAAACGCACAGTGCAGCAAGATAATATAATGGAGAAAGGAAACACTGAAGTCGTTCCTCAGCATTTTAACAACTGGCCCAATTCACAGGGTGTAAGTGCTGGCGCGCCATCCATCATCAGATAACAAACCAGTATTGTGCGGACATGCCCTTCTGACCAAGCTACAGTTCGAAAGCTGGGACGAGCAACGGGAGCCTATCGAGCTCACCGTAAAGGGCGTCATCCCTTCTTGGGCTTCTGGAACTTTATACCGCACTGGACCGGGCGGACGCACCATCGAGACCGATAAAGGAACCACGTTCAAGCTTTCTCACTGGTTCGATGGCTTCAGCCAGGTGCATCGATTCCAAATCATCCCCCAAGGCACCCCGGATGGAGTATCCCGAGTCGTATACAACTCCCGGCACACGGTCGACAAGTTCGTTGAGAATATTCGCAAGACGGGCTCCTTGAATGACTTTAGTTTTGCACAGAAACGTGACCCGTGTCAAAGCCTGTTCAAGAAATTCATGAGCTATTTCAATTCCTCAACGGACGCCAACATTGGTGTCACTGTGTCTACCAACTTCCCCGGACTCCCTCCCATCTCAAACGATGAGCGAAGCAACGAAAGCAAGCCTCACCATGCTTCAGGCATTCAAACCTTGACCGCGAAGACCGACAGTGCAAGGCTTAAGCGCCTTGACCCTGAGACTCTCGAGCCAGTAGGCGTCACTGACCAGCGATGCCTCCACCCAGATCTCAGCGGGCCCTTTTCTGCCGCCCACGCCAAATCTGATCCCGAGACTGGCGACGTGTTTAATTATAACCTCAGCATTGGACGTACTTCTGTCTATCGCGTCTTCCATGTATCTGCCGCAACGGGAGAAACGACCATTCTCGCGACCGTTTCCGATGCACCAGCTGCCTACCTTCACTCCCTCTCGCTCACACGCAACTTTGTCATTCTCTGCGTCTGGAACAGCCATTACGCCATGGGAGGCGCCAAGGTTCTCTGGGAACGCAATATCCTCGACGGCATCAGCGCATTCGATGCTTCCAAGCCTGCTAAATGGTACGTCATTGACAGACACCACGGCCAAGGTGTCGTCGCTTCATTCGAAAGCGACCCCTTTTTCTGTTTCCACACCATCAACGCATGGGAAGAAGAAGCGCCGCCTGCATATGCCGAACAGACCGAGCATGTCACCATCAAGGACACCTCAATCCAGACCGAAGAGGTTATGAACTCCAAAAAGACTGATATCGTCGTCGACATGTCCGTCTACGAAAACCTCGACGTGCTCAAACGCTTCTACTACGAAAACATCCTCTCGGACTCCCCCGCCGCAGCCAAGTTTGTCGGATCCAAAGGCGACTCCGCCCGTGCTCAGCTCCGCAGATACCGTCTCCCCGGCATCCCTGCTCCTGCTGCTCTGCCTTTCCAAGCGCCCGACTTGTCGTCTTCGTCGGGACATCCCAAGCAGGCCAAAATCGACTTCACCGCTCCCCGCTCCTCCTCGGGCGAACTCCCTACCCTGAACCCGAAATACTTGACCCGTCCTAACCGCTACATTTACGTCGTCACCGACTCGGGCGAGCAATCCGTCTTCATGGACGGCCTGGGCAAATACGACACCCTCACGGGAGAACTCACCAGGTGGTGCGAGCATGGCCAGAACCCCGGTGAAGCGATTTTCATTCCCGCGCCTTCGGGCAAAAGTGTGCCTCTTGCTGGACATGGCGAAAAGGGTGAAGCAGAGACTGGAGGAGGACAAGAGGAAGACGAAGATGAAGATAATGGTGTCCTCCTAAGTGTTGTTCTCGACGGTCATCGTGGAAAGAGTTATCTCCTTTGTCTCAATGCGCGAGACATGACGGAGCTGGGCCGCGCAGAGATCGATATGGTTGTCGGGTTCGGATTCCATGGTACCTTTTTTGGTGATGCCCATGGACCGCGCAAGGCGGTGGACTTTTGATCAGACCCTTTTTTTTTGGGGGGGTTGAAGAGGAGGAGGAGGAGGAGAAGGTAGTTCTTTGTTGTTTGTTTTTGCTTTGCTTTGCTTTCTTTTGTTTTGCTTTTGTTGCTTTTCTATTGGAGCATTCGTGTCCCACTCGAAGAATACGCTCGAATGTCTAGTTTTAATACGCAGACTTGTACTTTTAGCTTTTTTTTGCGTTTATACGACTGGTTGCACTAGCGGGCGAGAAGTTAGGGGAATTTTCTATGAGCGTTATGATGGGAAACAACAGGAGGACTCAGCTGGGATGCGATATGAGTACTAAATGGACACTCAATGGAGCAAGGGTAACAGTTGTAGTAATAGGACTTGACTAGTAATGATAATGAGCAATTTTTGACTAAAATGTCCTACTACAAGAGTCGAGTGCATCGCTGGTGAGAGTACTGCGAAGCTGGGTATAATTTTGGGGTTTGACTATTAGCCAAAATGTAAGGGAAAAAGGCCAAAAGCGTAATGTAATCAGAATGCCAATGACAATGCTGGCCCGTTTGTGAATAAGAAAATCTAACCAACCGCGGAGAAGCTTAGGGACGTAGTCGAAAGCGCGGTCTAAGGTGTCGTATACAAGAGACCGGACTGTGTTAGAGCTTTGGATGGAAAGAGAGAGAAGCGAAAAAATGGAAACCTGATACGACAAGTAGAGATGTTCACACACTCTCAAGCATTGACCACGGATCAAAAGGTTGATGAAGACTGTCATATTCAGACGGAAACAGGGGACCAAGTTCTCGTTTGCCGCATGGCGATTGCATGAGGAATTCCTCGGAAGTAGACTCGTACTCTCCAAACAGAGCCTGGTAATCGAGTTCCTCTTCGAGTGTAAGAGTGATGGTTTCGCCAAGGGGCTCTGCTGAAACCGTGTCGTTATTATCAGCCTCAGGTCTCTGATCAATTGTGAAACGATTCATTGGAATTGACGTAAGGGACGGAGTTGGCAGACGGTCTGCGAAGAACAAGGACGTCGTGGAATCCTCAGAGCTATGTCCACAGATATAAGACCGAGCGTGAGGGTGATCTGACTCTGGTGGAGGGGTGGGTGGGGCAATTGGTGTTGAAGCCAAAGATGTATGACAAGTGGAGATGCTCGAAGTATCAGTGAGTGGAGGAGTTGGAAGGTAATCAACTTCAGAGGGTGGTTGGAATTTCAGCGCCGGGTCAATGAGCGGGTCGGCATAGGTATTATTGCTGTGAGCTGAGGAAGAGTCGTCCTCCCAGGATTTGAAAGAAGAGTCTTCCAGCTGCTTTGGCACACCCTGATTCCGACGCTGAAAATCGCCTCTGGAGCTTTGCTCAGCTGAAATGATCGCTGGATCTGGCCTAGCGAGATCGTAGAGATGTTCGTTCACGAAGAAGACGTATTGCTTTGGTGCGGACTGGAGTTTAAGACCTGAGTTATGACCATTCCTTCCCTTTGAAGGGACGGCCTCGCGTTCAAACATTCTAGGTTTTGCGCTTCTCCCTTCTGCCGAGTTTTCCCAATGAAGCAGACGATCTGCTTTCCCTGGAGGTATTATCAGCTGTAATCTGAAACCTTCAATTTTCAACTGTCTTTACCTCGATTAACGTCAGTTTCCGCATTTCCCGGGATAACGACATATTCTTGAAGGTCATAGTCCCAGATGAGATCTCCATCACGCGGAGCACGGCCACTCTGCTTGCCAGGAAAACCGTAGTGCAAAGGAACTTGCAAAGTCTTCCCGAGCTGATCCTTTTTTATGGCACTGATGTCACCAAGAATGCCAAAAGTGCCGTTATGCGGGCGGTAGATGCTTTCATCGCCATCGAAACGATAACACTCATGCGAATAATCCTTCTCGAAATCTTCTTGTGAAGGTTCACGTGGTTTCTTGGTGATTCCACCACGTCTTCCAATTAGACTTGGGCCTGGATCTGTCCGCGATCGCTGTCGACGTATTGGGCCTGGAATTTGTAGAGTGGATGGTTTCTGGGTCAGAGGCTCAGAGCCAATTCGAGTAAGAGAAATGGTCATTGCGTGATTGGAATTCAGAATTACGCCGCTTGATTGGTGATGGAGGCGTTGGAAAGAGAATGAGAAAAAAGAGTGTGTGGGTTTGTTGGATATGGGATACAGAAGTCTGGAAATTTCTGGCAAAGGAGTGACAGGCTGCTGTGGTTTTCGATGGCCGGATTGAAGAAGCACAGCCGCGAGAGCGATGAAGGAGAAGATGAGGACATGATGACAGGTGGGAGATGTGTTGAATGAGCTTGAGAGAGTGATTGAGATTGACTGATCAAAATTGGAAGGAACGAGGAAGTAAAACTGCTTCACGGCCTGAAAAGGAAAGAGCGCGTCGAGTAAAAGCACCTCAGCAGTATCGTGCAAAAGCAACCACGGTCACTTTTCACTGTGCTTTTTGCAAAACAATGATATGAAATTAGACTATCGTGAAAAACAAGCACTCTTGACAAAGAATGAAAATCGCTGTGACAGTTGTTGTCAGTTGTTCTCCGACGTGTCGAGGCCTTGCAAGCATCGCTTGATTCAGCACCTCGTAAGGAGAACTTCCAAGGAATATACGAGATGTAAGGTACGCCACCATAGCAAGGGAACCCAGTCAATCTGTCAAAATTTTGACGCTGATTAAGACTTCTAGCCACGTTGTGATGAAGCCTCAAGTCTAGAACGTGGGGTCAAATGGACGGATCAATTACAGTCAACCTTTGGCACCATCGCAGCAAAAGACGTCTAAACGGACCTTTTCCTGCAAGGACACAATATGCTTATCCCCGTGATTTACAGAAGACGATCTGATCGCAAACGCCATGGCGTTTTTGACTGCAGAGCTCGAAAAAGAAAACAAGATAAGATAACCCCGCATGTTTAGGCCTCATGGTTTGAGCTTGGATTGTACGAGGAGAAGAAGTTTTGGTGGGGACCGGTGACGCAAAGGCCTTGACAAGCGACGACTAGGGAATACGGATGACGATGATGCCGCGTGCAATGACAGAACAGAGGCATTTACGGTCAACTGGTTCCTATTACCTTTGGCCAAGAGTTGGGGGAATAAACTTTGTCTCCACATGAAAGTCCTCTCTTTACGGCTCTCCACAAATACTGATTTAGCTGATACAGAAGAGTGTATCCACTGTGGAGAAGCCAATAATGTGTGCGCGTGAAAGGACGAAACACAGATGGAAAGAGAAAGAGACCCACCCCCACGATATGGGGAAAGAGAGAGCAGTGGGGCCAGCTGGAGTTACTACCAAGTAAGTTGGTAGTCTTGGTCGTCGTCAGTGCCGCTGGCGATGGAACGGCGCGCAGCTTGGTAATCTTCCTCAACATCGTTTTACGTTTGATTGCTCTGGGGAAATATTGGAAAACGAATTCCCCACGTCGAGACCGTGGACGACACTTGGCCGGACACTTTGTTAGTCTCTCACCAGTGATGCAACAGCGTGGGGGTCCCTGAAGAGAGCTCGAATGTGACTGGCGCGGGAAGATGTTCGGGAAGAGTTCGACTCGAACTTGGCCTACTATGGCTGCGACTAAACCCAAAATATGTCGACGGCGGTCGCATCCGTCTGCGCCTCGTGTCTGGCCTTGCCCGTCTGTCTACCTTCATCCGTCTCGAGATGACGCCGCTCAACATGTCCAGCCCCCGGGACAATATGTCTAGGCCGTCCTCACACAAGTCTCTGTACAGGCATGCCAAGGCGGAGAGGCAAAAAATTATGTGGTTGAGAAGAATGACACTGGCAGACGATACCTAACCAGGTAAATACCGCCCGGACGATGCACACTTCGAACGCGAACTGATCCCCGAAGCCTAGTGCCGACGATAGGTTCGAGAATGGGGACGAAACGATTCAAGCCGCTACTCGCAAGCACCTCTTTGGGTCGTTTTGTGAGTCTGTTCAATTTGCGGAGTTGGTCAATAATCTGGAGTTGGTGACCCACTGCCCCACTTAGGCTTTCCCCCGCAACATTCTGAATCCGCGTCCTCTGTTCCGTTCCGGACGAGACCAATGGAACGGCCGCGCTTGTGGAGATGCGCTCTCACATGGTTGCTGGACCGTGAGCCCAAGACAGATTAGGTTGTGGGAATACGGGAAATCCGGAGATAGTCTGAGCGTTATTGCCTTGCTAGCCATCATTTTCGGTGCATTATTGACAATGGCAGCGGCGATCCGGAAGACCGAGGTGGGCCATCCCAACGGATACTACCAAGCATACTAGAAATTCAAAAATGGAAGACCACGTCTGAGGAATTTGATATAAATTGGCGCAATCCTCTTGTATTCTGATCGCCATCCATCCATCCATCCATTTTATTGTGACAGCACTGGGGCACCCGCATTAGCAGGAGCATTTCTCTGAATTGTTTTTTCATTCTTTTTCTTGACTTGGCTCTCCACACACTCACCATGGCCATTATTCCCCTTCACACGCGCAGACCGTCAGAGGTCAGCAATGGCGATGACGACAAGTTTCAGGTTGAAAATATTGAGGAGGTCAACACTACTACCAAGGATGTGCCTCCTCCGTTGGAGCCGCCGCCGCTCATTCGGGACCTCTCCGCCGACGAGAGAGCGCATTTGGAAAACAATCTGCGGAGAAAGATTGATTTCCGGCTGTTGCCCATGGTCATTATCATGTATATCATGAACTATCTGGACCGCAACAATATTGCCGCTGCCCGTTTGGCGGGTCTCGAAACGGACTTGAAGCTCACTAGCGAGCAGTTTGAAGTAAGAGCACAGTCTCTGAACAACTTGGATGTCATTTCTAATATCACTACCTAGACTGCCGTTTCAATTCTATTCGTCGGTTACATTCTGATGCAGGGTGAGTGGCTCTTCCATAGTCGTTTGCGCAATTGCTCTAACTGGCAACTAACAATTGGACAGTCCCCTCGAACCTGTTCCTCAACAAGGTTGGAAAGCCGGCCATCTATCTCCCCTGCTGCATGGCAGTCTGGGGTGTCATTTCCGGAGCAACTGGTGCCACTCAGAGCTATGGAGGATTGATCGCCTGTCGGTTTATCTTGGGTTTCGTCGAGGCTGCATACTTTGTAGGTTTTGGCTGCTGCGACTGTCGGAGACAATAGTCAAATGCTAACAATACTCACCAGCCTGGCTGCTTGTTCTACCTATCATCTTGGTATACGCGAAAGGAGCTTGCTCTGCGAACTGCCATTCTGTACTCTGGTTCGCTCATCTCGGGAGCCTTTTCTGGCTTGATTGCGGCTGGTATTACGAACGGCATGGACGGCAAGCGCGGAATGTTGGCTTGGCGATGGCTCTTCATCATTGAGGGTGCCATTACTGTTGTTGTCTCCCTTGCCGCCATCTTGGTTCTGCCAAACTTTCCCCGGACCACCAAGTGGTTGAGCGAGCAAGAGCGTCAACTTGCCGTGTGGCGATTGGCTGAAGATGTTGGCCAGGACGACTGGACCGACAGCAAGGAGCAGACTTTCTTCCACGGTCTCAAGCTCGCCATGACCGACATCAAGACCTACGTTCTCATGGTTCTGCTCTTCTGCGTCGTGTCTTCGGCCTCCATTACCAACTTTTTCCCCACCGTCGTTGCCACGCTCGGATACAGCAGAATCATTTCTCTCCTGCTTACCGCTCCTCCCTATGTGAGTTTCCCCATACCTTTTCCCGGGCCCCACTCTATTTTTCTTCTTTTGACTGACAAAATAATTAGATTCTTTGCGTCCTGGTTGTCTTTGCCAACGCGTGGCACGCTGATCGAACTGGCGAGCGTTATCTCCACGTTGTCATTCCTCTTATCGTTGCCATTGCCGCCTTTATCCTGGCCGCTGCTACCACTGGCACTGCTCCCCGCTATGGTATGTTGTTGCTTACTATCATCTTGACACTTTTCTTTGTCCTGGATGAGATACTAACAAGTCAACAGTGTCCATGATGATTATGGTCCCCGCCTTTTACAGCGCCTTTGTCGTTGTCCTCACCTGGATCTCCAACTCCATTCCTCGCCCCCCCGCCAAGCGTGCTGCCGCTCTTGCTACCATCAACGCTGTCTCCAACACGGCTTCCATTTACGCTTCCTACATGTATCCCCAGTCCGCTGGGCCCCGCTATGTGGTTGCCATGGGCGTCAACTGCGGAACCGCCTTCCTCGCCATTGTCATGGCCACCATTCTCCGCTTCATGCTTGTCCGGCTCAACAAGAAACTCGACCAGGACGAGCGCATCGACAGTGCCATTGACAGCGGCGAGGCCGTTCCAAGCGAGGCAGCCAAACGCGGTTTCCGCTTCCTGGTATAGAACCTGCATACTCTTTTCCATTGTATGCTTGGTCTTTTTACCTCAATCTTTTGTCACTCGGAAACTGCATAACTCGGAGAGTCAAAAGACTTATATATACCCATCGTTTCTGCCATTTATCTAGTCGTTTGGAGTTTTTACTTTTACAGGCGAATAGCGTTTGACTTGTATCGGAGTTGTCGGAATCTTTCTTTAGATTTTTCCACTTGACAGCATGAATATTACGAATGATAGTATAACGTAACGTTATGAACAGCCTTTTATTTTCTCATTCATCTTCTTGGCGTGATCGAACCATGTGATGTCCATGTGATCCATATTCCATATTCCATATCAAACTTGGTTGTTTCATGTAACTACCTGGTAAATTATCTCTGAAGAAGCGACAGTTTTGATCCATTGCTTCCGCTTCCGCCTGTTTTGCCTGTTTTTCCCCTCGTTCAGAGTCCCAGTCCTTCCTACGTGGTCCAGCCTACTATCATACTATCATTCCTCGCAGCGTGGTCTAGAGTCCCAGAGTCCCAGAGTCCCATTCTCCCTTTTTGCTTTTTGCTTTGTAGTCTTAGAAATAAAATGTCCCGCACGGATGTCTCGAAACGAGCAAAATTAAAAACGCCATTGATATTTCAGATGTGGATATAACCCAGCCCAGAACTCCTTTGTCCGCGCCAAATAATCCATCCGCGCCCATTCGTGCCATCCGTGCCATCCGATCCATACAAATCATACGATTCATACATATATATCTACCTCAAAAATTCTTTCTCTTTCTCTTTACTGTCTCTCACTCTCATCCCTTATCCTCTCCTCTGCCGGTATTCTTTGTCTCGGCAGTGTCCGTCACGTAGTACTCGCGTCTCCATCGGCATGCGTATCTATAGCTGTAGGTGCAGATGTATCGGTGTTGGACATTTCGACATCGCCATCGTTCTGACCAGACCTACCATTGGGATTACCGCTGTCAATCTCCCCACCCGACCCTGACCCGCCAGAAGGACTATGAGAAGTAATCCCACCACCCACCCCCGCCCCGCCGCCGCCGCCTTCGGCACCAGCACCAGCACCAGCACCCCTCAACACACCGGCAAAGGTTTCCAAGGAGCGCACTTCATCCGGGTCAATTTTGCGGCCGGGGCGCTGATACTCGCCGCCGTGTCGCGGGGCGCCCTGGTCATCCAGGTCCATGCGCGCGGTGCGTTGCATGTGTCTGCGGGTCTGGGATTCAATGTATTGCGTGCGAGCGGCGCGGGAGGTGGGTCTTTGTGCTGCTGCTGCGTGGTCGTCGGCAGCAGCGCTGCTAGGAGGAGGATACGACGAAGGAGCAGAGGAGGAAGAAAGACGGGGCCGAAGATTGTCCAGGGCCGTGCGTAGGGCAGAGAGTTGAGAGATGAGGAATTCGGCATTTGTAGCTAGTGGACTTGGTCGTGATGGGCCTGATGAAGAGGATGATGGTAAAGCGGACGAGGTTGAGGCGGAGAGGGAGGATGTTGAGGCGGGTGCAGGCAAGGATGTAGATGCAGAGGTCGCTCCAACCCCAAGAGCTTGAGCAGAAGGGGCATTGAATAGAAACGAAAATGGCGAAATGAGTGATTGCTGTTGTTGCGTGTCGCTGGGCTTTTTGGTATTCTCCAACGACTGCGGCTCGGTTTTGAGATTACTTGACAGATTCGATGATGATGAAGACGACGACGTTGACGGTACTGGCAGAGTACCGGATCGCAAAGCGCGTAATTGTTCGATAATCAAGGCATTTTGCTCTCGTTCTTGCAAGAGGGCGGCATGCAGTTTTTGCGTTTCGCGAAGCTTGCGTCGTTGTAGGTTTATCGATTCGGGAGTTGGACTGTCTGACTCTGCGGTCGCGGTACTTGGAGAATTGAATGATAGGCCCTGACCACCTAGCTGTTAGCATTTCCATTTTCCTTCCTTGATCTGAGCGACAACAAGAACAGGCGCGAACCAGATAACACCTTAAGAGTTGCATAGTCTCGTGTGTGCTATCCGCGCAACGAAATGAAGTACTGCGAGTGAAGATATGATTAAACTGGGAGTGGAAACACAATACCTCATAATGCGCCAACCTGACCCAAGGCACCAGCTCCTCCGGCACAGACAAGATACTCCGCAGGGTATAAATTTCCAATTTATCAAAATCCTTATCCACCGCTGACTCGAGCAGCGTTTCGAGCTGGTGCACGCCGTTTTCAATCTCGAGCTTGGCCTCTGGGTACACGACATTGCCGTCGCCGTCGGTATCCGGTATCGAGTCCGCCCCGGCGCCACTGTTTCCGAATCCGAGGACTTCTGGAGATGTTGAAAGGAGGCCGTTCTCGACGGAGCTGACGGCGTGATATATGAGTGTGTTCATTGCATTGATGATGTCGTCGATCAGAGACTACATGACGCGGAAACGGTCAGCTAGATTCAATCGCAATCTGGTTTACGTGACACGAAAGCGCGAGAGCGACGCAAGACATTGCGCTGTGGTAACCTGAGAATGTGATTCGAGCACAAAACATACCAAAGGCGTGTAGCGCAAATGTTCAGTCAGCAGCGACGTGGCTTCTGAATTTTGTTTGCTCATTGTGAGCTGATCGCGCGCAGACAAGATCCGCGCAGTATTTCGCTGGAGAAAAAAGGTGGGAACGGATTGGACTGTGTCCTTGATGCGATACGGTTCGATGCGACAATATGCGTTTGGATGGTGTGGTTGTTTACAAACTGACTTTAACGTGGGAAGGGAGGAGAGCAACCGGTAAACGGCAAAAGGTTGTTCCGCCTCGCCACGTGATACCGCGTTTGGTTGCATGTGAACGCGTCTCGAATGAAGAGCAGGGCAAGAAATCTGTCTCAGAGAAGACAGAATGGTATTCTTAGATAATTTTACAATGATCGAGCATAAGGAAGTCCGTGTTCAATTTGCAGGCAATATCTCTTCCCATGCTCCTAAGGATACAATGTATATAATGGAATTACCTCAAATGTAACCCTGCCCATGCCCACCGCAACGCCTGTATCTCATTGCTCTGTAACTCAAAACGTCCCATCATTAAACCATATAAACTCCATTATAACCAGGTCTCAATAGGATCCGTATATTAGTTCAAAAATCAAGCAGTAATTGCGGTGCCAGCTTTTCCAGATCCTCGACCTATCCATATCTCGTCAGCATATTTCTCCAATTCCCTTCCCATATGATGAAATTCATCCTTGCTCCGAGCCAATGCGAATGTAGACTCACCTCCAGAAAGGCATCTCCCCGCCTTGAAACCCCACTCTCCTGTCTCTCGAATGCCGCCCGCGCAAGGGCTTCTCTGACAAAGACCTCCATGTATTTCTGCATAGCTTGGCTCGCGTCTTTGCTTATCCTAGTGCGATCATCCTCAAAATGCTCATGAAGCAGCCTTGTCAATAGCTTTGCCGGTATCGTAGGCGTCTGGTCTTGGCTGGCGACAGGTGCAGGTTCCTGGTCTGCGTCATCATTATCATCCACATCGACTGCGACCGATCGTGCCGATGACGCTTTTGCAGCAGATGTCTTGCCGCCGGTGGAGGAGGGCTTGGAATTCGTTCGAGTAGGGGGCTTGAAAGCGGTTGTTTTGCGCTTGGTGCCTGAGCCACCACTTGTGCGTTCGGGAGGCATTGGGATACCTTCGCCTTGAGGGAGTGGATGAGGATGGATATATATGCACAAGAAGCGTGGCGGGAGGAGGGAGACGAAATGGTGGAGAGATGCGCTCCGAGGGCCTAGTGCGTGGGTTCGATTGTGCAATCCGCCAACTGGGGTCTGCGACAGATGCTGCTTTGGGGTTCTTAAAGTGAACGGGGTTCACGTTGAACAGTTCGGTAAGGTCAGTGGGCCATAACTATACGCTACTGGGGATTCGGTTATTTACAGGTGCAACTTCGTTAAGACTCAGTTCACAAGATTAGATGGAGATGCCCCTCATTTTGTTAGAAGACGGCAAACAACAGCAAAATGTATTGCGACTACTCGAGCAATATTCAGCTCATTCTAGCAATTCTACCCACTAAACCCCCTTTCGCGCCAGCTCTATCAATAATACCCTTACACAGCATGTTTACCCTTGACGTCCTTCTTTTTTTGCCTTTTCTCTGAGCTACCCTTTTTCTCCTTTGGATCCTTTTCATCCGACTTTCTCTTTCTTGGATTTGTCTCTTCTACCGCCGGAGCCGGTTGCTGTTTCTTTTTTTCCGTAATCGCATCCTTTTTCGCGGTCCCCTTCTTCAACTCTGCTGCCTCATCACTCTTCTTCCTTCCTGTATCCTTCCGAGTTGCTTGTGGCTTTTGAGGTTGATTCGGAGGTGGAAGATCCAGCACTTCGACATCAATTGGCCAATAATTGATCATTTTGCGAGTGTCCTCCCACGGCACTCCAAAGAGCCCAGAATTTAGCTTGACCGAGAAGATGCGTCCCATTTTTGGAAGTTTCTTTCCCTTGGCAACAGCCTTTTGATGGTCGTCTACTTGAGTATAAAAGTCGCCAAACGCACATTGCGTTGCCTCAAGGATCGAATCCGCTGGATCTACGTTTCTCCCATGTCCTATGGATGTGTGTAGACACGCGAGCCAATGCTTCCGAGGAGCATCTCCAGGCTGGGGTGGGACGAGAATACACTGCGCCAAGGCGTCATGGGCACTCCGGCATCGACCACTTGTTATGTCCCTGAGCCGGGACTGATAGACGCTGTGCGCATGTGGATACTATATGCTGTTAGTTGATTTTCAATGTATACTTTTGTTGGTAGGACGGATTCTTGACTTACCAATTGCTTCATTCTTAACGCGACTCCGCCTCCCCACGAACCTAGACAATTGCACGCATCTATACCAAGTTCTTAGTCAGTTTTATTTCACTTTTCTTTTTTTGTATTCAAATGCTCCTCTTGCTCTTCATCGCACAATGCCCAACAGCCCGCAGGAAGCCAACAACCCGATGCACAATTTGGTGTCCACCTCGTTTGGTGAAACCAGGCCCAGTGATCAGAATGTGATGTGCAAAAGGACGTGAAAGGAAATTTGGACGTACGTATAAGAACCGAATTGTCGGGTGCTTTAAAGATATCGCCGAATCCCTCAGTAAATTTGCCAGCAGGCAGCCACCCTTCCTCGGCTGTATTTCCATTGGCCATGCTGAACCGGTCGTATTGAACGGGGCAAGGAAATAGAGGCTTGAGGAAAACTGCAGTGCTTGACGTTGGGAAGAGAATATTGAGGAACGTCAATCACAGGCACTCAATTATATATAGTGAAAACCCGAAAGAGGGGACGCCAGTAAAAATGATGAAAGCGTTACTTAGGAAAGAACGATAGAGAATCCTGGCAAAATATGACAGGACTATTTGCAGCTCCCAAGACATTGACTCCGTCCTTGAGTAAGAAGAACAAGGCAAAAGGGAACAGAGAACAGAGAACAGAGAACCAAACATGGCGGTCGAAGGCATTTTAAAGCATTGAAAATAGCAAAAGGAAACACCACGTTATCGGCTCTCAAGCAACAAAAGCGCTTTCTTTGTTCTACGCATTCGATGAGGACGGGCAATTATTTCGAAGTTGGACAACATGTTGATGGTTATAGATTAGGCGATCTGGAGATAAAGAAACATCAGTTTTAGATAAGACACTGGCCAACGCTAACCCAAAAATGAACAAGTTCACCCTAAGAGTCCGTTGTGGGGAGCGCGACATAAGGTAACTATCATTCCCCATTTCTCCAGATTCACCTCCACCACAGCAAATGCTCGTGCGGTTTAGAAAGGTTCGTCGTTTGAACTTCCCAAACTAACGATCATACAGGACTGAACAACGGAGGGGACAAGGGACTCAGCCAATCCTCTATCGTCCTTCGGGTCGATTATACTCTATAGAGGGAAAATTATCCTCACCGAGTTAGACCGAACCTTTCTGAACAACATATGATGCCTTTGAATCGGCATCAGTCTTCGTTAGAGGACCTTCTTAACTTTTCCCCACCTTTCACACTGTCCAGCCCAGATTGCCAAAAAGCAGAAGACCTGCTCGCATCACTCATAAATGTCTACGGCCCCGACAAATTGGGCAAAAGACGTTACAAACCAGCTGTTCTTGTCTCGCTTACATATGAAAATATACAACAGAAGGATGCCTTCCTGCGTTACTTGCTTATATTCATGCACAAACGTCTGACTACTGGCGAGGAGCACCACTGCTCCTCCCCCGTGTCTGAAGCCTTGTCCTTTTTCTGCAATTTCTCGTCATGGGACAAGGAAGAGCAACGACGAACCACAGAGACGTTTGAGGACTTCGCAGACTTCCTTCTAGATAATTTCTATTTTCCTGGTAAGTTGGTGGAATCTCAATTTGAGTCGACATTAACGTAAGACGCTAGTCAGGAGCTCATCTTTCAGAACTCCGCAGCCCACTCCAGCTCCCCTGTCCGCCATTCAAACATCTCCGCCGTCTCCCAATGCAAGGAGAGTGTCAGACCTTCGCCACAAATGTCTGATACGCGACCGGCATAGATGCATCGTATCACGACATTTCGATCAAAATGAAGCTCGACAGCGTCTGAAACAAGACGGCCAGAATTATCGTGATGACGATGGGCACGAATTCCGCAAAGAAGTCGCCCCTTTATTCTCGGTATTACAAGTCGCGCACATACTCCCACATGCTCTCTTATCAACTCCGCCTGAGAACACCGTCTTGGTAGGCCTTTTGGTGCCGTATAAGTTATTGCTTTTTCTGACATATGATTCATAGAGTGATGCAAAAAAAACATTGCTGAATATTCTCGACATGTTCGATCGTGACGTCGCCTTACTAATAGATGGTCCCAAAATCGATAGTCCGCAAAATGCGCTAACACTGACGGTTAACTATCATCAGTCTTTCGCTCAATTTCAGATCTACTTTGAAGCTACGGAAAGGCCGCACGAGTACAGAATAATCAACTGTGGTGGTCTGCCTGACCCGCTCTTACCAGTAACTCGCTCTCTGTATCTCTCTGCTGATCGTACCATTGATCCGCCGTCTTCGCGTCTTCTTGCAATCCACCGGGCAATTGCCCGCATCTTACATCTCAGTGGCGCTGGTGACTACTTATTCAGGGTCCTCAGAGACATGGATGATGTGACTGTAAAGGAAGATGGCTCTACAAATTTGGCGGACCTTGTCAGGCTTGGACTTGGTGGTTGGTCGACTCTACCGGTCTACTAACTTGCATCTGCTGGCAGCTCAGATGCTCTATATACATAACATTTCATACGGAAAATTTGCCGAAATGGGTGGGCAAGGAGTTCACCAGGAGGGAATGATTGGGAAAACGGTGCAGGATACCCTTGGCAAGCCAGAGGAGTGATTGCTTTGAGAGTTACACAGTTTCTTTTGTCTTCTAGTCTTTTTAATGCTACCGATCGATATGATTTTATCTGTCAAAGTTTGCGTAATGTAGAGGTGCGCATAGGAAAAAAGATCGAAGAGGAGGTGCGAAAGAAGCTTTTCCAACCGTTCAGTCAGGCCGACAGCTCCACAGCAAGGCGTTTCGGAGGGACTGGATTAGGCCTCA